CGTTGTTTGCATGCATCAAATATTTGCCTCAGTTCAGAGAGCTTCAAGCTGTTCTCTTTAGAAAAATACACAAGTCTGTAAAAATACAAATATATCAACATTTGCCGTGAAAACCACCTCACATTTTCCTCAATATTTTATGTCTTTTTGATCACCTGTCATGATTGTACTTTTCAACCCAAAGAGTAAAATCTGTTCACTTTACTGACTCATTTTAAGCACAGGTAAAAATACAGTCAAACTGAGTATGCAGGTTGACATTAACCATCCTCTGACTAAATGGGCTGTCAGATCAGAGCTTGAAGGGGTCAAGCCTGCATGAGGCAGCAAAGAAAGCCGAGGAAACAACCTAAACAATGCTGGTATTCAGGAAACGGATACTTGAGCTGAGATAGCCTCTATGTGCTCAGCTCTTTGGAAATCAGATCTTCCAATATTTACTTTAGCCAATGTTTCCTTTGATAGTTCAACCCTGCGATGACCTAAAAGAGAACAAACTGTACGGACCAAAGTCGGTGTGTGAGTTAATGATGGAGGATCATCGTTACTGGATAAGCTCATGTCACGTGAAGAGGAGGCAGGCAGTTGTATACAGAAATCTCCCAAATCAAATTGGACAAACTTGTTGAAGAGTTTAATCATTGTTGGCACTGTAAACTAAAAAAAACCACATGACAATTGACGTATTTTGTTGCTGCAGCAGTGTTGGAAAAGGGCCACATAGAAATAGGAACATACCAATTAAAAAAGATCAAATATTGAATATTTTATCCATTTCAAGCCATTAGAAGAAATCTTAACATTAGTTTTAATGTGTAGGCACTATGAGGAGTTACTGTAGTCTCTTATTTTGATGCCACCTTGTTAGATACATGATAAAATAAGGTTATCAGCAACACTACAGACTATAACATTGAACTGAAATGTCATGCTTACATCTGGGATGAGTTGTGGCAACCAAAAGTTGGTGTCTGGCACTCTCTTGAAAGTGTCTCTGTTTAAAAGTCTATTTGAGTTTTGTTGTCAGGGCTGAGTCTGGGGAAGGATTTGCAAAAAGACATGTTCAAGTTTATGTTAATGCCGGTGTGTGAATGCTTCACTGTTCTTTAAGGACAAAAGAGTTCAACCGTGTGCCTGTTTATATTAGTCTGACTTTTATTGGAACACCAGAGCATATATAATAAGATAACCAACTAACAGCAATGAATCAGTTGACAGTTTTGTTGTTGTTACATTATAGTTAAAGATCCTGTGAGGAACTTTCTGTCTGTGTTGACTTTGGTGCCCCCTGTGAACAAAGTGGAGACCCTTATAACACTGATGATGGCAGCAGTCACAAGCATTAGAAATTACATTAAAGAAATTGTCAGTGTTGTCTTTAATGGTTTCATTTGATTCATGGAGGTGCATCGCTGCTCATTTCAGTCGGTTTCTTAACCTATTAAAAACTCCTCATAGGAGCTTTAATACTCTTACATAGCTACGAATCAGGCAATTACATCATCATTCTGAATCCTACAAAAAAAGTTGTCTCTAACAAAGAAAAATAGTATTAAAATGATGATTTATATTCCATTTATTCGCAGTCTCCACGCCCCTAAAAACTGATACTGTCTTAGGAGATCACCAGATTCAACTAAACATGAAAACTCCTCACAGTGCCTTTAGTTTGTTTCAGAACAGAGCTGTAATCTTAAAACCAGATGTCACATATTTGAGAATAAATGAGTCTTTTAATCAGTTTGTCTTTTTGTAGACTTGAAAATGAACAAGAGCTTTAAATAAGGAAATACAATACACCCCCCTCTGTATGTAGAAGTCATTGGTTCCCATGTGCCATTCGAAAAGCAAAGTGCCAATAAAAACTGTAGAAGAAGTCTGGAAGATATTTCAAAGCCACAGTAAGTTTTTATAAGGTCAAAGACAGACACAAAACATTTATTTTTCAACCTAAAAGATTTTGTGTTCCCACCCCTTTAAATAGTAAAACCAAGTCCAAACCCAAACTGTCTTAACTACTGCTGCTACCATTACGGATATTCAATATATTATGACAACAAACTTCAGCATTGCAAAGAGCCTTCTATTTTAGACCTAAATGAGTCATATTCTGCTGTTAGCGCTTCACAGAAACATTAAGTTTAAGACCTGTTTTATCACTCTGACATGCAGGTGTCTGTTAGCCCTGTGGCTCAGTGTGTGAGGTCTTCACACCTTGTAAAAAGTTTTGGCTATTAAACTAACTTGTGACCTTTTTATAAGTAGTCAAAAAAATTAACAGGGACATTTTAAGGGGGAAAAAATGATGGGGATGCATATCTAAAGACTCTGTGATTCTCTGCTGGTATTCTTAAGATTGAAAGGAAAGAAAAACTATTTTGTTTTGGCATCTAGATTTACACCGACACTTCTCTTTGTTCTCCCCGTTACAAAACACTCCCTGACAAAAAAATGCAGGAGCAGAATTTAGGGTCAACTCTCTCTCCCGACCTCCGACCTTTTGCCATTCTTGTCGGGGATGTAACTGTCTTCAGTAAATCTAACTTGTGTCCTCACAGTCCAGTCATCAAACAAGAACAGGCATTCTTGAATGTGGGAGTCAGGGGAGTACGGGACATCCATGATGATTTAACGGCCTCTCCCACAAACGTGGCTTTGTCTGCGTGCGTGTTTGCTCACATGAAACAGGTCTGGGGTTGTTGTTGCTGTTGTCTGGTCAGCAGAGAAAAGCGTGTTTGGCTGAATCATTCTCACTGACTAACTCTGCAGTCTAAACTTTGCCCTGACAGAAGATAAACGTGAACTTTCCGGTGTTGTCACTGCCTTTGAGAACCCCAAAACACACACATTTGATTCAAACTGACGGACAGGCTGGAAGTACATAATGGAGAACAGATTAACAGACAGTGAGGCCATAAAAGAGCTACACAGTATTACAGACAGACTTTAATGTATGCCATATGTTTCATATTCTATCCAGTTCTGCATGACGCTCGACTGTGGATCATTTATGGCTTCCTGCTGTAGGACTTTCATTTTGGAGAACCTGTTGACAGCATATATGCACACATACACACAATGCCCCCTTGCCTTAACCCCTGCAAGATTGCATGCTGGGAGGAATTCTCCATGGCGCCTGCTGAGCTGGGAATGAAGTGAGAAGAGAGAAAATCAAGAGAAGATGTGGAGTAAAGGGATACAAGAAAATTAAGTATTGTCCAGGTTTTATCGAGCCTGTAAATATTCCTCTCTTTTAGTAGAAGTTTAGTAGGACACGGATGAAGCTCGAAGACTTTTATTCTCACAAACTCATACGGATTGTTTGCGTTATGATGGTCAAGTCAAAACAGGTTCACATTTACAGAGCAGAATCTTTACAGACACAACAGGCACTCGTGTTTTTTCTCACTTCTCTGTGCTGCTCTGCAAGCCGAATGTTTTATCACTGTTGATCGGCATTCCTTCTACGTCTTTCTCACAGCTTTATATCTGATAAGCTGCAATCAAACTAGATAGAAAGACTTAAGTTGGCTCACATTACCTCTCATAGTGTTTTCTAACTTTCCCCTGGCTCACATTCAGGGTTTGTGAGACCACCTGTGCAGTAAAAGCTATGGGTGGCACCCACTTATTTCATTACTTTTGACAGGTGCTAATAACAGTGTGGGGATTTGCAGGAGTTTTTAGGAATCAATAATACAATAGATCAAACAAACATAAATAAACTCTGAGTGCAACGTGAAAAAAACTAGAGAAAAAAATGAAAGGAAGTGAAAGCAGCTCCAGGGATGAAAAAAATAAAATAAAGGAAAAGAAAATTAAAACCTCCTTGGGCATGGTTTGGAACATTTTTAACTTTGTCACCCCCAAGTGGAAAGATTAAAAAAAGACTGAAAGTGGGGACACTTTGTTGAAGACTGCACTGCTTTGATTTGGGTAGAATAAATTTCAGAATGGTTTAAAAGGATGTAACATTACAGACAAAGAGACTGGGGTACCTCACTGTGAGGAGCACCACCCGGGTTTCTTGATTCTTGTAGGTCTCTAAATATGACGGATTTGTAAAACCTAATCACTGTAGCATCATTTTGGCAACAAGAAACCGACTGCAGCCATTTCTTTAGTCTTCTGACCGCTTAAGAATCTCTAGTTCTAACTGAATATTAAAAATTCAAGGTAGAAATTATGCCAGTTACTGTAATAGAGTTTACTGCACCAAAAAGTCACTTTTTCAGTGTGGTTGTCTTCTTTTCATAACCAGTTACAACTTCCACCTGGAGTGTAAAATGATCAAATAGTTAACTGTTTGCACTGCACATCCATTATTCCTTGTACAAGCTGGTTGGACAAAAGTGAAATGTCAATTTAAATGTTGCTAATGGGCCAATCTAATGGAAAATACTAATAAGGAAAACGCATTATAATACATGATTAAGATTTTGTTGCAGCTGAAAACTCCTTTTAGCTGTAAATCTGTTTTTTGCACTCTCTGTACATACTGTGACCATGTATTTGTGTGCGCTAAAACCCCTTGATCAAATGTCACTTCACACATGCCACACCTTCCTTTGCATGCTAAGGTCCAATACTGAGCATGCCCAGTGAAAGAAAATTAAACAGTCTTTTGTTTAGCAGCTATCAAGGGGCTTTTGTGGAAGATACAGTATTCAGTTTCACATAAAAAAACAGGTCCCATTGAAGTACTGTGACGGTTAAATGCTATATCACACCGAGCCTGGAGGCAAAAAAACACAACAGACATCAGCAGCTTTATTTGTGCTGCGCATATAAAGGATCCAACGTCAACGAATTGTTTGATGTAGACACCAAAGAGTAAGAAGATCCAGAGCGCTGAAGGGGCAAAATACCGACAACAAAAAACTACTATGTTGTCAGTCAGATTCAGAGAAGAGACCAGGTTTCATTTGAACTAACCTCTTGCATTAAGTTTTCATAAACAAGCTTGGGAGAGAGATGAAATTTAATAAAGGTAGTGCACATTGTTTCAACTTGTCACTGTGAGTCCTTTATTTATGGTTTGTGGTGCTTAAATCTTTGAGTGGCGTGCAGAATCCCTCTTTGATAAGACATATTGTTTAACCAGGACAAATCAGTATCAATACACTGTAACGCTATGCAGAGATCATAATGGGTAATTACAGTCATTCAAACATGAATACGCTTTCTCCTATCTCATCTGAAACAATGACATGTGCTCTACTGTGCTCTTTTATATCACTTTAAGGTCATTTAAGTACGTGTAAGATTGCAGTGTGCACACAAGAGATTAGATTTACTCTAAAGAAACAGACCATGAAATCGTGAAGGATGAGATTAAACACATCAAGCTACATATTCAAGGAGTGAATTGAAGTTTATTGGTTCTCCTACTTGATTCTTTGGAATGCACAAACAAACCCAAACAAAAAGTGCAGGACTAGAAGAGCCCTTGGTGATTCAGACTGTGCGTTCTTTCTGTTTTACTCAAAAGGTTTAACCAGAGCTATTTTTATAGCCAAGTAGGTAGTATTTGACGCAGGAGATGAGGCCAACAGGTGAGGCAATAATTGCATTGGAGTGATTGGAAACATAGTGCCAAAAGACAAGGATAAACACTGTGAAGAAGCAGCAGGAAAACCACCCAGATCTAAAAGAGAAGGTATAGTGAGAGACAGAGTGGAGGTGGGCGGGCCCAGGCTGAGATAAGTGGCACCTTTGGGTGGTACACAACTGGATAAAAAGTCATATTTCAACACATGGTGACTGTATTTTGGCCCGCAAGACTAAAATGTGGCAATAAAACTCCTGCTCAATCAGGATGAAGCACAACTGGAATGTCTGCACAACAGCTTGGGACATGAAGTTCACGCTGACTTACACATGGGGTCACAGAAAGAAGCAGAAGTGTTACCCTGTTGGAAATGTGTAAATCGGTAGAACATCCCAGTGTTCTCAAGTCAAAACACAGGTATACAGACATGAAATATGCTTGACTCAAACTAGAGATGCTTGCATTTACATGTTGACTGAAAGAGCACTTTGTCCACAGGGGGCGCTGAAATCATTATAACCAAAAGTTACTAAAATGAGCTTTAAAGAAACTATAAAAAATACAGTCAGTAAAATGATTACAAAAAGGCACTTACTACAGTGTGTTACAGTCTAATGATGCTGTTTTATAGTTTGCTAACAAGATTTTTCTGGTTGTTTGTTTCAAACTTTTACTTGTTGTTGTGAACATTTGAAAATACATGAAAAATACTGAAAACATAATGGATGAACTCGGAACAGTTACAGAGAACTGAGTTAACTCCATCTGCAGGTAAAGAGTGTGATATGTCAAAAAGTTAAAGACATAAACCGTCTATCATTAAGGTGTTTATCTACAGTATTTATATAAAACACTCATGTGCCAGCATGCAAAACACATTTGAAAGTATAGTTGATATTTTTAGTCATCGTGTAGTAACTGTTTAATGGTTTTTGGATAGTTTTCACTTTGTGTATTTGTCAAATCAAAAAGAGCCAGACACTCAGTGTTGTAGCCCATTTTTTTCAAGTGGTGAAAGAAAAAAAAACACATAGATTTATGAAGGTGTACGGCTTACTGTTTGCAAACAAAAAAGAAATTAAGGTGCAAATTATAGTTTAAAAAACACCCAGGAAACCGTGTTAATTAAACAAAATGCTCCATAGAGGTGAAAACATCCCAATACGGCGCATTTCATTTTTACACCAGAGAAAATGGGAACAAACAAATAAAAAGAAAGGTCTGTGGTTTTGAACACAGCAACATGAGGCCTTTTTTGCTGCCATCTTACACTTCCAAAATGAACGGTGATCTGACATAATCGTTTAATTTCTAACAAAACGGGTCCTTCATATCCAGGAGGCACTGCAGATATAAAAGTAAAGAGAGCAACATAAACACCATAAAAATGCAGAGAGGCCACAAGGTTCCTTTCTGTTACATCCAGTGCAAAAGTCTAAGTCAAAGTTCAAAATCTGCCACATTGACGCCTAAGTTTAGCTCAGTATGTAGCCATGAAGTCTTGTTTCTTCCCCTCCTGTTCCATCTGTCATCTTGGTTCAGCACAGGCTGTCCGCACCAAACGCCTCAGTCAACTTTTTTTAAGTCTGTCCTTAATCTGAACATGAAAGAAGACCCCTGCGGATAAGACAAGAGCTTGGATAAGAAAGACAAAGAAACAGCGGCATGTTGAGGAGGAAAGCTGAGACTACAACTAGGTTTACACACCAACCCAGTGATTTAGAGTCTGCCTAGATTAGCACAAATCATGCCCAACCACCAAAAGACTGGGTGGTTATCACCAACGACAAACAGACACTTTTGGACTGAAGCTGTCTCGTTAGATCTGTGAGTGACGAATGGCTTTCTTAATTATGAGAGTCAAAACCCACTCAGAATCTAGAGGCAGCTTCAGTCCAGATCTGTGGAAAAGTCTTCTATGAAATGACAGAAAAGCGGTTAGAGCATCTGGTCACTGCGAAAAAAGAAGACATGTTGTTCAAGGGTGAAACAAATCAGCAGCAATTTCACCACTTCAGCCTCAGATGTTTTTTTCTTTGTTCGCTCTTTAACTCTCAATCAGCCAAGAACTCTATTCTTGCAAAGAAGAATACTTCTCATACTAAACCAGCCCTTTTGAATCCACTACAGTATAGTGTTAGTTTAAAGCTAAAATGATGCAAACCCCCTGATGTCGGCTCAAAAGAGGAAACCAAAGAGATGAAAGTGCTGCTCATTCATAAAATTCTGGTGTCGGTAGAGAGTAGAATTGCTGTGGAGAGTTCAGGCAGAGGCAGAAACAGAGTGCACTCATGACACTAACACTAAAGCACAACCAATAAGTCAGTTTCTTTTACTTACACAGACACCACTGCACTCACTCACTGCAGAGCTTACTTCTTCTTCCCGCCTAATGACATATTTTCAGTTTTTTTCTTCTGTGCCTCATTGAACAAAAGACACACCTTTATGTTAGCAAGTGGTTTGATGCATGTGTGACCCCACCCAGCTGAAATAAGTTACATGAATGAAAATATGTGGTTTTTCAATATTCAGGATTTACAGACTCCACAACAGAAACCTCAGTGTGCAGTAAATCATATTATATGTGTATTCTGTACACATGTATATAGTAAATAAGACTCATCTCTTTTTTTAACTCTAAGTTTCTTTATCCTTTAATTTCTCTTTTTGTATCTATGCTGTTGTAGTTTTGGAATTTCCCTCTGTGGGACTATCAAAGGACAATATATCTTAGACAACATATCTTCAATTCTCACACTGTGTGCGCTTGGGTGTGTATGTGTGGGTGAGTGAGTGAGGGTGGGTGTGTGTCTTTGTGTGCGTGTGGGTCCATGGGTGGGTGTGTGGGTAGGAGGGTTGTGTTTTGTTGTTGTTAATTGTTGTTTTAAGCCTCTACGAGGCACTGTGAACTACATTTTTTGTCTGAAAAGTGCCATAAAAATAAAGTTGAATTTGAATTAGAATATCTTATATATCTTATCTTATCTTACATTAAAAAAAAAAAAAAAAAAATTAAAAATGAACAGGAAGTGCATCTTCTAAGTAATAGTTCAACTCAGGGCACACTATGATTGGTGCTTGGGTCTGAGCCTCTCAAAATGAGTCAAATTACGCAGCAGGTAGTACACTTTCTCGTAATATGTAACCCAGACATGTTTGTCCTTAAAAGTAATATAGATTACAGTGTGGTAATCTTACTGGTAACAGTGCCTTGATTTGAACAAGCAAATGTATGCTGATGATACTCTTACATGCACACATGCAAGAACAGTCAAGCTAGCTGGACTGTGCATTCTGGACTACAACAGAAGCATGGAGGTCAAACATGGCAGCTAACTAGAAGAAGGCTAGAAGATGATTCTTGCTATCAAGTCATCTAAAATTGATGAAAACATGCGTGAACATAACATTTTCGTACATTTGTATCTGTTGCCTTTAACAGGAATTAACAAATATCTATCAGATTGGCATAAATCCTCTCACTTTGAGTATTCAAGGTTTAAACTGGAAAACATCTGACACTATTTTCTATGTAGTCTTCCACTTCTACTTTTTTAATATCTAGACAACTACATGTGATAGCTACATTGTCAGCTAATAACCAATAATGTTTACATGTGTTAACACGGGAATGGCACATATGTGACTCCATGTGTTTGCATGTGTATGTGATTGTGACTATGTTGCTTACCAACAAGTCAACATGTCAGGAACATTAAAATGTGCTAAAAGATGCTGACTTGACATAGCAGATGAAATTTGTTACAGACATAATAGAGCAGAATAGAATAGAATAGTATAGAATAGGTTCTACCTCTGTCATGGCATCATCAATCTGTTTCAGCTCCTCATAGTGGTCACGAGAGTCTCTCAAAGGTTGAACCATGATCTCTTCGATCTGAGGGAAAAGCTGTTGGACGCCCCAGAGAGAGCTTTACTTGTCAATGAACGTGTGCATTTTTAACAAGCACATGTGTACACTCACTATCGTACCTTCATGACAGTCTCAAACATTGGGATTAGGACAAACTTGATGAATCCGATCTGAGCAGTGGGTTTAGTGACCTTATCTCTGTCCATGAAGGGAGCCACAGGGAGGCCCTCAGACTTCTCCCTGTCACTCTGAGAAGCACACAAGTGGAAACACTGATGTGATGCAGACAGTTTGGTGTCTGAGTTGACCTGACTGATTAAGACTTTGGATTTTCAAGTGCTTTCATTAAGGTTACCTGCATGAAGTACTCCTCCAGGAGGCAGTCAACCCATGGCTCTGCGACCTCAGTTGGCCTCACCTCATTGGAAATATCACAGCACTTGATCAAAACCATCTTTAGCTGCATTCACACAAACACAGAGAAATAAAACCACTTAAAAGAAATGTAATCAACATAAATATGGCTGAACTTTTCTAGGGACATCTACTGACATCTGATTGGAACCAGTCATGAAGTAATACCAGATGGAGAAGCAGAGTGATCTTGCCAGGCATATTGTATACATACACATGTCACATGCTCTTCATTGGTGAAATCAAAGTTGTCCACTTTGTGTTTGAAGGAGTCTAGTATCTCGCCGTGTCTGGCCATGTCTGTGGCCAGAATGAGGGTGATGATTGCCTAGTAACATCAGAGCAAAACAGCTTGAGAATCTAATTTAATAATCAAAATAGTCTTTAAAATATAAAAAAATGTCTGTGTCTAATGAAGGTTTTTTTCATCTGACTTGTCGGATCTGTTTGAACGCCTCTGGATCCACATTTGCAAAGATATTGCACTCTGGCAAGGAGAGGATCTGGAAGGCCACAGCGCAGTGGTGGTTCTCCAGCGGTGATATGTCATTGTAACGCACCGCCAGCTCTGTGCGGGCATTAATTTGGTACCTGATGGATGGATGACACAGGTGAGTGGATAGATAAGCAGTTCAATCTCATAAAATTTACCCATTAAGAGAAGCCCTAGCCTGCCTGAACCTCGACATGATAATGTGAATGTTTTCATACCTTAACTCTCTCCATGCTGAACTAGTTTCACAGTTCACTGACAACAGTGTTGTGTAGAAGATGTCAAAACATACTGGGGTCACTGGGCATCTGCAGTGCAAATTCTGTCAACACCTCTACAGACGGAACAGTGAATCTTACGTGTTGTTGTAGCCGGGGTGGTCCAGGTCATGACACACAGCAGCTGTCATTAGAATACCCATATCTGTGAGCGTCAGCTTCTCCTGGACAAGACAGTGTATATAAAACATAAACTTGAAAATGATCTATTTTAATGAGCTACAAGTCTATCTTTTAGCTTAAAAACACAGATACAAAAATGTAGGCTTCATACCTGTAGGTTGCAAAGGTGGATCATGCCATACATCATCTGACTCACGCAGAAGCAATGGCGGAAGTTGTGGAAAGGGTTGTTGCGGTAATTCTCCTGAATCGCCAACTATAAGGCAGGAAATTTTCTCTAAATGGCTGAAAAAGTTCAAAACAAAAAGTACCTCCATCCTTGTCAAAGATAATAAATGTTTTACCAGCCAGCGTTTGAGTGTGATGGGGTTCATATTAAATTCCTTCACAAGTCCCAAGTCATGGTACATGTACTCCAAACAACTCAGCATCTGGAGCCATAAAAAGAGAGAAAAAGAAATTCAGAGTTCATTTGCTGTTATCATGGGGGAAAACAAGTGATTGTGTTTCTGAAGTGCAATACCTCATTGTGTTCCCAGTGCCAGACATCAAATGTTGGCTTTTTGAGAGCCTCCACAGTCTCCTGAGACAGTGTGTACTGTACACACCAAACAGGGAGAACCGTTAGTACGTGAAAAGATGTAAGAAGATGGATGGAGTAAATCTACTCTTGTAAGAGGGAAGGTTTTTATTTTGCATGCAGACATACCTTTGGGTAATTGGGAACATCTCGTCGTGGAGTGACTTTTTTGCCATCGTCTGAAAAGTTGTATTTGCACGGGCAGTTTACTCTGAATTTAAAAGACAAGAACATTTATTTTGCATGATCTGGTTTCTGCCAATATCTGCAGAAAGACATCTCATATATACACTTTTCATTTACCTGCCACCACCTCTTGATGTCATCTCATCTCGGAGCTTCTTTAAGTCATTTTTACACTTTTCAATCTCCACTACCTTCAGGCCTTCCACTAAAAACGACACAAATATTATAGTTCACTGCAGCTCTGGGGATCAATTTCTTTTTAGGGATTATTTCTCTTAAACTGTGTGAAGCACTCACATTCCACTCTCTTCTCCAGCATCGCTAACCTGTTGGTGACTTCAGTCTTCAACTCATTGATACGAAATGCTCTGTGAACAGAGAATATATGAAGAATAGGAGGAATAAAAATGGTCAGTTAAGGACAAAATCACTGGAATCAGGCCAAGGAAATGGTGGGAGAACTTGTTGTCTGATTAAACCCGTCTCTATGGGTTGCAGCATGTGTTGTCTCTGAGTTACTGCTGACAGGTATGTGTGTGTGAGGTATGTGTGGGGGTGGGGACTGGTAGTCTTCAGCCATAACATAACATAAACAACCGAGGTGTTACCTGCTGAACTGATCTGCCACCTGGGACAGCACGTTCTGAAACATGTCCTCCTTCTCTGCAGACATAAGTAAGTCCTTATAAGTCATCCTAAACAACAATCCCAGCTTATTTAATACATATGTATATATTATTAACTTATTAGATAAAATAAAAATGTTGCTGACAGTTTACCTCCAAGTTGACCTGTAGACAGAGGGACAACCTTGTACAGAGAGCTGAAAGGAAATCAGAGGAAAGTAATTCATTCTTGAAAAAAGAAAACAGGTCAAAGTTTTGTAAAAACCAACAAAGTGAGATGATGGTTACTACAGAAAATAACATCAATATTCTGTTTGTGTTACTTTTGAGAGTTGGTGGGCATGGTGGGATCTATGGAGACCAAGGCACCCTCTGGGTTCACCATCATGATGGCAGTATTCCTGTAAGAAGAGCACAAGCTGAGAACTGATGAAGCAGAGCAACACCCCACTCTGAAGGCACTGATGGTGGGGAGCGCTCATGTTGATTCTGGTGGTCTCTTTGGACAGTCTATGGGACAAAATCAGCAGCATTTTATTGGGATTAAGACTACATTTGTGTCATGTACCTATTTGTAACATAAAATTACTAACTGTGATGTAGAAAAGACCAGACTTTGCAAACGTAAACTCAAAGGCAACCAGAGGTACTGGTTTAACATCATTCATCACAGCATAGTTGACATGATGTGTGCTCCAGTGTCCCACAAATGTCAAAACAATGTTGATAAAGACACAGTTGAACTCTTTTGTCCTCAAAAGGAAGTGACGCATCACATACTGGCAAAAACAATAAATCCAGTTGTCGTGGTTGTTTTGCTTTTTTACCTAGCTAAGCCCTGATTGTCTAAAATAATACTTTTTACAGAGTGTATCAAATCAACAAACCTGGGAATGTTGGATGAGGAACACAGGAGCTCCTTAATGTCACATGGGCTGCAGTGTCGACTGAACACCACCTGTGAGATAAAACATTTTAAACTGGTTTCTTAAATCAAATACAAACTTAATTCTCAATTTGTATATTTAAATTAAAACACTGTGGGGTATTATGAATGACAAATCATGTGTTATCTGTGTCCACACTTTCTAGAGGCACACCTGTGCACAAACAGCAGCTGTGCTTTTGAAAACAGCCGCAGTGTTCTCGGCAAAAAAGGTTATCAAATTTCATGTTTTTTAGACAGCTGAGTCACACGAGAATGTAAAGTTAGGGTTGGTTCCTTTATGTAGTTGAAGAGGATCAAGTCAACAGACCAGTGAGAAGAAAGACAAGACAGCTGAAGGGTGGTCAACATCACCCAGACCTGTCATGCTATCATCCTAGTGAAAAAGCCTTGTTATGGTTCATCTTTAACAAGTACAAGATCTACCTCAGGAGCTTGTGTTAGCAAAGCCTTGGAGTGTAAAATCTGTGATCTTCAATCTTGAGGTGAGCAGGTGTAGCAGACAAACATTCAGCCCCAGGCTTGGCGGCTTGGGGCCCTTGAAAAGACATGTGTCATTTCCAGCTATGTACTTGAAGCACTCTACTTCACCAGATCAGCAAGTGCTCCATTAATCTGAATGTCAGTATGTTTGGAACGCTGAAACCTGAGAGTCAGGCCTTTAACCATTTTTCACGACTGTAAATATGTTTCTAAAGCTGCAGCTCTACTGTCACTACAATTAAAACGCCTAAGTTATCCAGTGTCATACCAAATTTCCTGTTCACATTTTTATTTCTGTTAAATCAGTCATTTACATTTTGGATTCTGGTGTTTTTTTTTTTTTCTTTTGCATGTAAGGAAAGGCAAAGGTCTTGATCCAACACCTTAAGAGTTTTAAAGCAGAGGATAAGGCTGCTGAGAATGAGTGTTCGATTCTGTCAGTAACACCTGCAAGGCAAACTGCACCGCATCAGCATCTAATTTTAGCTCCTCTGCAGGTAAAGTTGGTCTACGGGGAAAACCTGCTAAGTGAGTCAAGAAGGTGATTTAGAATTGAATCAGGTAATTGCCCTGGTTATAATTTGTTGGTTCAAAAGATAAATAAACGAATAAATAAACAGAAGTATTTTATTTCCTACCTTTACAAATGTACGTCATTTTTTGAGTCATTTTTATATTGAAGTTGAATTTTTTTCTAGTTTCAGAGACAGGATATAAGATTATGTTCTGGCGTAAAATAAAGTAAAAGGTCAATACTCTGCAAGCCTTCTGAATGAGAACCTCAAACAAGAGAAAATACATCTTAAATATATCTCCAATCACATCACCTCACTGACATTGGGAGAGGGAAGAATCACACATAAAAAACACCCAATTATTTAATGATTAAAAAACACAAATTAAAGTATTTTCACAGGAATTAAACCCACCTTTTGCACTTTCCCATCCACATCCAGGTAGATGGTTTTGGGGGCATAGGAGGAGGAGCTGGAGCCCATGCTGACCTCCCTCTCCTCTGTTATGCGCCTGCAAAAATTCTGGTGTAGACCCCCGATCAGCAAACTTGAAGAGCTGACAAGCAGGGTGCTTTCACAAGGGGCAGCTTAAAAAGCAAGTGAGGTGAGAACACACACTTTCAATTTCATGAAGCAAGTGCACAGTGGTGGGACTAAAACAGTGAGTCATGACAATAAGAGAGTAAAATAATATGAATTAGTTACATGAGTTACAGGATAACAAAATATTTGATTTTTTTTTCATAATTTTAAGATAAAAAAAACAACAATAACAGTAAATTACTAGAAAGTCGTACCATTAAAGTATCCAATGTTGTTATTTTTCCATAATACATAGCTAATGACCATGATTAAATTAACAAGTAAATAATTCAAAACAAAGAGCAAAGTTAAGTTGATTCACAAAATGCAACAGCAACAGATCTGAAAAACTCACACAGTCAGCGATGCAGCTTCCCGGTGGAAACTGGAGGTAATGTCCCAGGTGCTGAGGATGCAGCTGACTCACATGCAGACACGCTTAGATAAAAGCTCACATACACAAAGGGGGGAGCCACAGGGAAAGAGAGAGACAGAGACAGGATGTGAGTGATGGAGAGGGCGAGGAAGGGTATGTGTGAGGGAGCTGAGAGGGCACGGAGCACTACGAATACAACTGGCACTCTTAATGGTTGCCAAGGAATTGTTTCTATGGAGAGAGAGAAAAAAGACCCCTAATGTCTTAAGTGGTGCAGGGCTTTACCTGCAGTGGTCCTTATCTACATAGTCTGATTTACTGTGTCTCAAAGGAGAAATGCATCATGCTTCATTAAATGTGAACCTAAAGTCTTTATTCACAGCTATCTGATAAAAGCCTGGCTTGAAAATTATATTATACCAGTGCTCTATTGAAACAGGGATTATTATTTGCCTAAAAGGCAAGCAGTGCACTGACAAAACACTGATTAGACTACTCAACTATACACAGAAATTACATCTTATCAGGTGACCTCCACTTCCAGCAAAGGTTGGTCCTGATTTCAAGTGTAATCTTGCTGCTGTCATCCACTGCGACGCATTAGTTCTGCATTACCTTTATGTGAATGAGGGTAACATTTCCTTATATGAATTGTTTTTTATGTATGTGTTTGCGTGTGTGTTACATCCGCTGTCCACTCATCCACTCCACTGTGAACAGGTCCAGCAGATGGTTTGGTCAGGTGAGTTCAGCAGAGCTCTGAAGGAGTTTTCAAGGTGCAATTTATTTCTGGCAACAAGTATCAAATAAAAATAGATCAAAACACATGTTTGAAGAGCAGTTTAAGGCAGGTCAAACCATCTCAAACGTTTGATAAAGGTCTGCTTTTTCTTATCTTGACGTGTTAAATTTCTTTTCAAGCTGCTTTTTTTAAATCCCTAAATCTTTTGAGGAATTTACCATCTGCAAATAATTATAAGGCTTTCCATCATTAGATCCTCAGTTGAACATCATACCTTCCACAAAAATACCCCTGGAGGGATGAAAGAAATTGAAAAGGGATGAATTAATGGCTCTTTCTCAGTCAGTTGATCTGATTCGGTGATATTTCCAATCTGGGTTTTCAGTATTGCGTGTAATCACCTTAACCCTATGTTTTATTCATGCCTATGTAAAACACATTGCAGACTATCTCAGCGTGATGACTGACAAAGATAGCCAAACAAACAGGATCAGCCCGATGCTCGCATCAACTTCGGCCTGAACAAGCCTTTAAAAAAATTTAAAGTAGGGTCATTTCCATTTGATTACTACGTGATTTTGAAAGAGCTGTCAATGAGGGTTAGAAAATACTCAGAAAACTGTCAAGTCAAACATAATTCATTCAACATGGCTGTACATTTTTTTCACAGAGTCTGGGTCAGCTATGTCAAATTGGTTTGCAGAGTAATATAGAGCTAGCACCAGCCCTCAGTACCTACTACTGGTTAATATCTACGTATCTTAACCCAAACACATCTGATGTATAACTTAATTATCTCCATTTTTAAGTCAAAATACTGCCAAACACTTTGCCTTCTGACCAGTGCTATAACTTACAATATAGCTTGTAGCCCGGTGATCCTACATCATGACCAGAATTTAGAGCTTCCTTTTGTATGACGCAGCAAAACACCGAAAAGCAAGCCTAAGAACTTGTTTGGTCTGTCATGAATAATGCAGCTCGGTCCAGGAATTACTGTGTTCACAATCTGACATAAAAAGAGACCAGGGTGAGTGCAACCAGCCACCTACCTGACATGGATCTCTGTAGTTTCTGACCAGGCACACATAAAAAGGCTAGGTAAGAGCTTTTTAACAATACAGTCACCCTCCTCTACTGGGAATTTCACCTTTACCGGCTGGTGTGAACAGGGACATTAGTGAGGAGGCCCAACCAGGCAAGAGAAAGGAGGTAATTAATTAGAGCTGGAGAGCATCATACATCACCTCTATTCAGCTCATAGGACACCTATAACCCCCACACAGACACATACAGGTGTACGCAGATGTGGTCCTGCCCCCAAGAGTTTAATTAGAGCCTTGGCCTCCAAGCTCCACTTCCACGCTGGAGGGAGAGGTGGGACAGACGGTGCAACTAATGGAAATATGAGATCCAAATAGAATAAATGCATTTTCTACACACATTAAGACACATTAATAGAGGACATTTAATTTTTCCACCCCCTGTAAACCTCAGGTGATTATCTGATGCTGTATCTGTATTCATGAGGCTGTGTGCTGATGAATATATTTTGTTTGAAACAGAACAAAGACAGCTAGGCCCAGATCAAAACAGGCAGCTCTCACACCCTTACGCAACCGCAAGACTCATCGCACCTTTGGTAACGGAAGAATCATTTCAGGATAAAAGCAAATAAATGAAATCCAGCAGATTTTCATGACAAAAGAGGGCCAGCTGGAGCTCTAAAGGGAGCACATTATCCTGATAATCATGATGGGAACAGGCCACTTTGTTTTTCTTTTGAGCAATGGTATACTCTTTAAAAGCTTACCTCACATAGTACAGCTCAGCACATCACATCTTCTTATGTTTAATCTTTTGTATATTTATATTTTGTTCTCCCTAAGTGCAATATATATGATGTTGATAAAATAGACCCTGTGTCGAGTGGTTATTTATGGGAAGTTTCCAGATACTGTAAAACCACTTGTTTGTCCTCAATCAAGACAAGATGAGATGGAAAATCAAATCAAGACAATGAAACTGCATAACCTATATCAGTCTAAGACTGATTGTGAGTACTGACATTAAGTACTGTTCCATCAGCTTGATCTTCACTGACCTCTGAGTCATTTAGAGTAAGATTTTTATTTTTTTTTAGTCAATCTGTTGCTCATTCATGCTGTCTTTACATAAAGCAGAATAAACTTGAAGTGCAGATAAAGATATGGCAAAACCAGTGTCTCACCAGCTGCTTTACCTTCAGGATCCCACAACACTTACGGCAATGGTTGAAGACAAAATGTATGCACTTACAAACCGCACGTGTATTCCTGCTGTTTTTTTACTCGTCAGTAAATGTATGCATTAAAATGAAATGTGTGGGTGACACCTAATGGACTGGAAGAGTATTGCAACTGTATCCATGCAAAGAAGGTAAAGCACTGCCCCCCGTTGGAATTACTTAATTCACAGCGTGCAGAACAAGTATACAAATAATAGAGTAACCTTTTTCCTTCAGGGTTGTGGTTGCAAACCTTCCAAAATGGACAAGAAACCAAAATCTTTCTTTATGTTTTTTTATTACCTTAATGACTAAATGTTGAATAGGAATAAACTTTGTTGTTTAATTCATTTTCTAACAGTAAAACAACTAACCAAACAAAATGAGCTGAAAGAAAAGGCACCAGACCAGAAACTATTAACTTAAATATGTACAGGTTCTTATCAAAAGTTCCCATTCATCATTAATTCATCAAATTCCAAATATAAACTGGAGTTGGAAATCTTTTTCAGCATCATATACATGATAAACTACACGTTCTTTGAAAAATATCCCATCTCATATGGCAGAAAATTATCAAGAGACTACAGAATTGTGCATAGCTGTAGAGAAATAGATGATAAATAATGAAATATTTAGAGTTAGCTGAAAGGAAATTCATTTTTTACCCTAGAGCGTCAAATCCATTATCCAAGAGGCTGGATGCAACAGGAATACCAACAAACTATACATGTGCTTTACATTTCACAGAATATAAACATAGATCCAAGCAGCTGTTACTGCTGTGATGGACACTGAGTCTGATCGCTTGGTTCCTGACACTCTGCCTCTGTGGGCAGGAGACTGGATGGGATGCCTGCAGGAGGACGGGCTTTTCTAATGGGGCTGAAACTACGTGGGGATGAACAAGGGGATTGGGCAGGTGAGCGGACAGGGCGTAGGGGTGGACCCGGAATCGGCTGTGGGAGGGGCTGTGCCAGTGGAGAGGGGCTTCGTGGGTATCTGCGTGGGGCAGACCAGATAGGCCGGTCAGTTCTGTTGGAAGATGGGGGAAGGACTGGGGCGTAAGTAGCAGGAATACTCAATTCTGATTGGCTGACAGCATTGCCAGGACATTCCTCCAGACGCTCCAGTGTCTCCTGTGAATGATAAACACATTTTAAAGTCAGTTTTGTTGTTTTATGTGACTGATGCCATTCCTAGCAAGGTCAAAGGTGTGAATATTTTTAGTTTTGAGGGAAAAAGTTTGAAAACTAATGGAGTCACCGTAAAAGTATGTCAGCCCAGAAGATGAACCCTCATGAATGTGAATACACAAATCACTACTTTAAGAATAAAATTCCTTATTTTTAAGCAGTTTCTTTCAAAATTTCTGCACATGCATGAACTCTAAAAGTTGGAATCTACGAAGACATACATGACATGTTTAAGGAGTTTTGATCCAACCAAGAAGCATCACAATAAGGAAGACAGGAATTGTCAGAATTTTTGTAGGTGTGTAGGTGTGTGTGTGGGATTGGCCATACATATTGTGTTGGTGCAGCAAAGAGTAGGTGGTCAGGAACCCAGTGGGAGCAGGGTAAACAAAATGGTTTGGTGCAGGGCTTTACTGTGGTTTCTGGTTTGCAAGTGCAAAGCATGCTAATGAGAACAAAATATCCTGTTCTGGCCTACCTTCATTAGCTTCCTACTTCATAACTAAATTTGGATTTTGGCTGGATTAAAATTGACTCGGTACAATTATTTCTTGAGAATCACAGTTATGAGTTACTTCCTTGGTTTTTGACTAACATCTCAAAACTACTTTGATCTGAAGCTCAACTAAAATGGTGAACAATTGATGCATGGAATCAAATCAGTTTAACATCAACAAACTTATGGCAAACATTTTTGGCAAAAACATTTTATGCCAAAATGATTTGAAATAGAAATTAACAGTTTAAATGACCTACATCTTCATTGAGAACATAAAGAGGCATGGGGCTCCTTCTGCCAAGTGTAGATGGTTTGGGAACGACATCAACTGCAAAAGAAAAGTGTTAATGAATATAGAACCACCAGTCTACATTAAAGTTAATTGGGCTTTTTTATGATATGTAAAATTATTTTCAAGTGTTGCTTTGCTTTTTAAAAATGTGGATGGTGAACTGTTGTTGTTTTTACCATCATGACCATTTTCACTCTGCTCCACATAGACGGGAGCTCTTTGGGGGACAGGTCGATGTTTCTTTCTGAAGTGAGTGGAAGAATAAAGTCACATCACACAAAGACGCATCAAAATCTTCTGCCAGATTGCACCATACAAAAGCAACAGGTTACACTGTTTTTTTCTTTTTCCAGTAAACGCTCAGGGTAGGGTGGCACTGTTGAGCTGTTTGAGATTCTGCTCACATCCTTAAGTGCAATATCAAAGCCAATGCGAAGGAGAGGGGAAAAAGAGAGGAGGACAGAAACGGGTGGACAGAAGAGGGAAAAGGGGGGAAAAAAAGAAAGAGCACGTCTCACTTGGATGGTTTCCAACAGGCACACACCGTCACCAGGGTGATTAGGAGGAATATGCCGCCGGTGGACAGGATGATGTATAGCGAGCTCCGTCCTAAACCAGAGGAATACGGAGAAGTAGACAAGAAAAGAAAGAAAGAAGGAAAGGTTTGTCAGTAACAGTGAGGAATTTCTACTTTCTGTTTGGTGAACCACTGACTTGCACTTTTCCTTCTCAGTAAAGCATTAAGACTTGGCGTGCTCTCCCATTATACAGTATTAATACCGTTGGACCATGGAAAAGAACATTTCAGAAATTCACATCTGTCCTTAAGATGAAATATGTTCTAATTTGGATCATCCATCTTTCTTTAAACTTCAAACTTTTCATGAAACACTGCAGGAATATGGAGCATGCACTACTTTTAACTGCCTGTTCTATGTTGCCTTCAAACTATTATAAATGTGGTTGCATGAATACGGTGCAGTGAAGAAGCACATTAAGGTAGTCCCTTTGGGAATTTGTGTCGTGCTGCTAAGCATGCAGAGAGAGCAGAGAGCAGTTTGAAGTCCCTGTAGCTGTCTCATCATGCAGCACCATCACAGTACAGCAATAATGAAGTGAGGATTACTGAGGTCCACTGAGGCAAAGCATCCTCCCCACCTGACTTCTTTTTCTGCTCCCTCCTCATAAATAACCATCCATTCATTGGATGACACAGCCTCTCCCTCTCACTCAGCCTGACATGTGGTGCTCTACTGGCGCCCAGTAACAACCACCGTGGGCCAACTCTGCCTGGATTTGCACTAGTTGTAAACAACATTGTTTGAGAGGCAGGCATGCTTGTGTATGGATCGGCATGAGATGATAATTGCTTCTGCTAGCTACTGAGAATGGGTGGCTGCTAAACAATGAGCTGAAATATGCACAGTTTTCATAATTAGATTCTCAGGGTATTTACACTCCTCAATACTGGCTGGTTTTGATTCGACCTAGAAATCAAAAATGTAACTTCTACACCAAGTTTTAGGTTGTAAATCTCTCAAAGGTAGTATCACAGTTGAAATACAATGTGCTAACACTCCAGGCCAAACCTTGTAAGAGTTTTCTTTATCTTTAATGAGCAGGTATAACTTGAGATCCTACCCGTCTAACATGCCACCTACTGTAGACGGTGAGCCTGACAGGTATGCTCTTCATGCTGCTGATGGGGTTCTCCACAGTGCACGTGTAAACGTCATCATCTGACATCAGAACACGATTGATGGTCAGCACCTTTTGGTCGTGTGAGAGCAGCAGGCGCGTGTCATTGGTCAGCACCTGGCCTCCTTTCAGCCAACCGTAGACGGGCTTTGTGCCGTTATCATGGGCACAGTGGAGGTGGAAGTACTCGCTGTACTCCAGGACGGATGAGGCCATCATCTGGATGTAGGGCTTGGACACGGGGACTGAGTAGGACAAAGACAGGGATTTTGTTTGAAACGCAAATATACAGCATAAGTGAGTCCTTGATCTCTGCTTATAAAAGGAAAGATGATGAAAAGATACAAGTTAGTGACTTAAAAAGAACTCCACAAACACTTTGAGTCAGAAATTATATTAAAATTACACTCTCTGGGGTGAGATGATGCTCTTTCAACTTGTATTAATTTTTTTAAAGCTAAAAATCCACTTCAGAGTTCTGCTCAGATGTTTTGGAAAAAGATAACTCACTACATGGGTAAGAAGTGTTTGTTTAAAAAAAGAGGTAAATTAGTTATTTTTCAGCTTGTATTTGTCATAAAGAACCATCACTGTCAATATCTGTTTCCTAACCAGCTTTAAACTCCTCACTGCAGCATTATAAAAACTCAAGCTTACCATCCACTGTGAGCTCGATGTAGTGATCTCCAGTAAAGGTGTCATCTGTGATGGAGATCTCCACCTCGTACGCGCCTTCATCTGTCAGCTGCAGGTTGTGAAGCAGCAGCGAACCGTTCTCAAACACCAGGATACGGTTGCGGTACTCCGGCCTCAGGTTCCCTATGATGTCTGTTCCAATGGACTGCACAACGGTGATGGGCTTGTCTTTGTCCCTCTTTATCTGCCACTTGATCACAGGCTTGTCTGAGCTGCTGCTGGAGTAGCTGACTGACAGGAGGGCCTCTCTGCCAACTGTGCCCCTCACTAGCTGGGTTTGGCTTGTCACGTTCACCCCTGACACCTCACCTTGACAAAAAAAGAGATTTGAGGGCTTAAACTGAGCAGCAGAGAGGCAAACTCAAAGATAGTAGAAGTAAACACTAAAGGCCCGCGGCAGCCTCTGATGCTCTGCCAGTCAGCACAGACCAGAGAAATCAACAACGCAGTGTAACAATAGAGGCCTTGTGCAAAGACACAGTAATTAGTGCTACACTAATTACTACTATTACTACAAGAACAAGCATAATAGAGACCACACAGTTGACAACAGGTATGGATACAAAGTCCCTGCAAAATAACAAAGTCCTTTTATGAAGGTACAACATGTCCAACAATATCGGTGACATGCTAGTATCAAAGTCTCTAATCTGATTTTAGATAAAAATGGGATTGTAGTGATGTGTTCAGAGGCTGTTCTTCTCCACACTTGTTGAAAGGTAATTTTTTATGTCCTCTAAACATGTGCTTCCATTTTGAACTGTATATGAAATAACAGTAAAGAACTCAATTTTGCAAATTTAATTTTTTTGTCGACCAATTTTGCATTTGAATTTGGTACTGATTACAGAGGAGTTAAATTCTGGGATGACTTTTCACAAGCTATTCAAATAAAAAATAATAATAATAAAATAAAAACTGCTTTATTGGGTTAAGATTTAAAATATTCGAGGGTATACATATTTCATTTCCACAACTGCTAAAAATCCCCAAATTTGAGTGAAAGCAACAAAAGAATATAGTGCATACATCTTTGTCTTGGTGACAGACTTCTCTAAAAAAATATTTTCGCACATTTTCTCCTGTCAACACCTCCTGAATTATATGCACTGAAACAAAACTCATGCACACAATTGTTGAATCCCAGCTCATTTGTCTAATTTTGTCTTAAACATGTCTCCCCTCAGGAATTCTTCACCCCTTGTTGTGAACAAGTAATACACTAATTTTGATTTGTGTTCCCCAATTATCCTTTAACTCCCATGGGGATAAGGTATGACAATGTGGGCCGCATTTCATCCTTTATAGGACAGCCCTGTCTGGGAAACCAAACACAGCGCAGTTATTATGTTCACAGTGGAGGTTCCTATAATTCAGCTGGAGCTGAACACATGGAGGTTCAAACACTGGCTGCGTGCCTAAGAGGGACATCCTACTGTTAGGGCCTCAGTGATGGAAAGATCAACCTACAAGAGAGAGGGAGGAGAGGGAAAGCCGGCACTGTTCACTATTCTCTGCAGTGAGGCAGTTAGCAGGGCATCGCCTCATTGCCGTGGTAACCATTTGGTCCGCCTGACAGGGGTTGCCAAGGCGATAAGACAAAGGGCACGATTGTTGGAACTAGTTTCCTCCCTCGAAAAGAGTGAGAGAGTGTTAGAGAGAAAGTCTTTGTCACTGGTGAAGTTGGAGATTGACACAAGACTCAGTGACTCTACCAAAACTGGCCTTATGGGTAAATGTGCTCCATGGCACAAATGTCATCAAATATTAAGACTACAAAAAACAGCATTTGCCAAACTTTTTAAAACTTATTTTACTTCAAATCATCTCATCCACCAGCATTGAAAAAAAAATAGATGCTTTATGTCCATAAAAAGTTTACACCCTCCTACTTAACCTGCTTTTTCTTTCCTCAAACACCTACAATAGCCACTCCACTTCCTTTAAGCTGGCAATGGGGGCCCATTACAGAGCGCCACCCATGAACGAATCCATTGTGTTTCAGACCGTGGATCACAAGGACAAGAAATGACATCTACAACTAATTCAACCTGGATTGACTTCGCCTCAAAGGGCAGGAAACTAAGCATTAACTTTTTCTAATGAGTTAAATAACAAATGCAAAAGACAGTAAGCTAAGGGCTTTAAAGTGAGGCAGATATATCTTAATTGAAACCACAGTAACCAATTACAGGCCAAGTCTATTTTTTCTTTGCTGAATGGAGTTGAATTAAAAAAATAATCCACTTGTCTTATCTTTTTAAGAATAGCAAAGTTTGAGAGAGATCCTTGACTTACCTGTGAACAGAAAGAGGAGGAGGAGGCCAAAGAGCGTCAGTAGAGGAGGAATGTCAGTAAAACTGTCGCCTGTAGAGGAGGTCTTCCTCTCTGCCTTCATCTTGTGTCCTGGGCAGAGTCTTTCTCCCACTTAGTGAGCATGGTTTATCCACCCCGAGCACGTTTCTGCTGCTCAACACTCTCTCCTCTGCCTGCCTGCCTGCCTGCAACACTGGCCTCTGCCTGGTCACACTGAGCCCCACTCTCCTCACAGCACCCCAGTCACTGCCAACAACAGCCAACTGTGTGTGTGTGTTTGTGTGAGCGTGTGTGTGTGTATGTGTGGGAGACAGAGACGTAGTGTAGATGAGCTCCTCTCTTCCAGTTCACTTTGCACTTTCAGAGAGGACCTCAAAGAAAATACTGTTTAGTTTAGTTTTTTTCTTTCTTAGTGGGAGGGTTAAGTGTCTTTAACGTGTGTGCTCTGTAAAAAAATTAAAAAAAATAAAGGCAGCAAAAAAGTCAACGCAATCAAGCGGTTAAAAAGTGGAGTTAAGCTTCTTTGTGAGAAGTCCTGCTGGGGAGAGTCTACTGTATCTCAGCTAAAGCAGCAACTCAAAGAGGAGCCCCCGTGAAGCTTTGAAATGTCCAAGTTTGGAAAAACAAGTCACTCTCCCCCTCTTTGGCCCACTTTTGTCACATTGTGTGAACCCCTCTCCAAACTGGAGCCTCACAATAAACCCAACAATTTGTTACTTGGCAACAGACCCTGCCGATGACCCACAAACCGAAAAAAATACATATCCAGCTTCCAAATATTTTGCTGCAGCCTCTGTCAGTTACATTATCCATGATACCGTACCTGTCTGAGGGTTTTATCCTGATTTATAACAAAAAAAGACATTAAATTTGTACTAAAAGAGGGTGTATGTACCCATTTCATCCTCTAGGTGGGGTAGAAGACACATTGCGGCTGTACAATGGTGATGAAGGAAATGCTCTTAGAAAGCCCTTAACCATGAGCATGTGATGTTCAGTTTGTGCTTTTAGATTTACATGTGCTACAGATGAGTGAAAATAAAAGGGCAACATCTGGAAAAAAATGAAGTTAGACAGGGAAAAGCAGATCAAAAACAGATGTTATCATAACTTTAGTGATTAGGCCTGACTGCCCATTTACAGTATCTGAGTGCCTTGTTAGCAAGACTGTCAGTTTGTATTATGCGAGACTTGCTGCCACGTCTAAAACCCCCATATGTTGCATCAGTCGTCCTCACTGTGTCTGAGAGATTAGGCATTAGCTTGTATGCACTGATGACTCAATTGCTTTATAAGTAGTTCGCCCACTTAGGAAAAGCTGTCTTTTGTTAAGATATTTTTAAGAGCATTTTGTTTGACAACAAAAGCAGGTTGTATGCAGAGGAGGAGGAGGCATGGCTGAAGAATGTGGGAACAGCTGCTCTTCAACAGCACTCTCCCAAGGCCCGGACCCTCTGTGAAGTGGGCCATCAAAGCCGAACCTCTCCCCTCCACCTCTGCCCTTGGTAAAAGCTGCGCCTCCCTCTTCCTCTCATCTTCTCACACACTCTAAATCAAGGAGGGACTCTTTCTGCTGGAGTCCATAAAGGAGACAGAGGGAGGGAGCACAGACAGAAAGGGTCTGTGTGTGTCTCAGTTGGGATTCATGAGTAAAGGCAAAAAAATGTGCTTGGTTGTGTTTGTATCAGCACTGCTATCATCTTGACAACAAATATAAAGAAGTGTTTTTTTGTGTGTCTTTGATTCCCATATTTCACTGTAACTGGTGGCTGCTTATAAATCTGTGGCATTCAAGTGCAGTCATTGTATCCCCTCATTACTGCAGAGTTGTGTAATCCACTTAGTATTAATGATAAATTACCTCATAAGATGTTGAGAGCAAGTGGCAGAACAAGCAGAAAGTGGATAATTGTGCCCCCTATTGGTCAGTCTGTCATCTTTCATCTCTAATTATCACCCAAGAGACCACATAATTTTTTTTTCTCACCGACAAGCTGTCTGAGAAAGAAACCAACCAGGCGGATCTTTCACATGATCAACACCTAAAATAGTCCACTTTCAGCCGAGCAATTTGAAAAGGAAAGAATATCGTTGCTGCCTCAACATGATTTATTCAGATGTATCCTGGGATGTGATTTTTTTGCTTTACAAAGACTCTGATCGAGACTTTTTCGGGCTCTTTTTTTCAAACCTGTCTTTTACCTCAACCTCAGAATTCAATCTACAGCACCAAGTGGGTGTTGTGCTATGTTTGGAGGTGTGCAAAATATTGATTGCTCTCCCACAGTCATTAAAGAGACAGGAGAACGTGGCTGTGGCACCTTGGGACTGAGTAGGAGAAAAGAGAGAATCGGTCCGTATAAAACCATAGAAGATATTTATGAGAGCTCAGCAGAGGAGGAGAAACGTCAGCCTGAGAAGGAAGTGCTTGCACTCTGGCTCTGCAAAAACCACTAAGAGGAAAGACTCATATTCGTTGTCTTATCTCCACAGCTGGTGACACAGTCGACAAACAGTGTGAGTGCGTGTGTGTTGGTATCTGAGCGCCAATGAGTGACTTGAGTGGGATCTGCATATTAGAGTATGAGTTGTGTTTTTTTTTTCTTTCCTGTGTGCAAATGCATGTGCAGTTTGAGTGTGTGCAGAGTGCAGTATGGCTCAGATGTGTGTAGGTGGGCTGAGTGGGAGCATGAGGAGACTGAAGATGCTCTAGTCTGTTTCTCATAAAGTGCACAAGACTGCCTGGGCAAATGAGGCAAAATTGTGTTATTCTTTTGTGGTTTCAGCAGCCTTATTGCAATAAAGGTCTGCTGGTGTTGCAGAGTATCCGACCAGTGCACACGCAAGTCATGAGTGTGGGCGTCTTTTTCACAATGCACCTGGACATGAAACATTTTGGCTTGATGCATCCAAGGTTAAATCGTAACATGTCTCCATCTAAAAGCTATAAGACTTGTTAAATACCTAAAGCATTTGTCTTAAGTAACTTGTTCTTACGAGTACAAGAAATCCAGTTCTACATGATGATTTATTCATGAGCTTTCTTGCGCAAGAGAGCCACACTTGAGACAAAACATCATTTCAGCTTCATGGAGACTGCTCCCTCTGATTAGCAGTCCTACTTATGTTGCTATGACAAGAGGGGAAAAAAAGCAACACTGCCTGCTTCAGTGTACAAAGATCACATGCGACAGTAAAATATGACATTTGAGATACTGCCAGACACAGTGAGATTTTTATCCTGAATAAATAAACCGTAAAACAGACGTTTCAGCGTATATGCAAGGTGGATTTATTAGTGTAATGCCAACAAAGTTCAGCAATGTACTACTCTATAAGTTTTAAAGCATGACAGTTCTGCAAACTCTGACAATGGATTTTCACACACTTGATTTAACATTTCAAACCCTGTAACACAACAACAGAGCATATTGAACCAGTGTTTCATAAGGTAAAGCTGTACCAAATGCATCTGAAATTAAAAGTGTAAGTACTGCATGCTCACTGTTGTGGAAGATCAGATTTATAGAAAATGCTTGAAAAGGTGAAAACTTACTTATCATGTGATCAAAAAGATATTCAAGGCAGTTCTAATCTGACTGAAGTAAATAAGAATAAATAGATCATACATAGCTACGTCTCTTTAGATGTTTTAGTCATTTTGTAAGCATTTTAAATAGGTTATAATCATAATGGTCAAGATGCAAGCACATCAGAGAACAATGCAAAACAACAGATAATTGAAGCCACTAATTAAGCAAAGTCTAACGCTGATGCATACAAGGTCTATACACAGATGGTCTGAACAGTTCAATCCAAAATAAGCCCTGTTTAGCATTATGAGGACATTCATTTTCACATTCACAGATCATCATCTAAAAACTAGCACACTACCAGAAGTTTCACAAGTACATGCAGTGAGTTGCAAATTCTGGGTCAAAGACATCCGCACTGATGAGACTGCTGGAGAGGCAGCGACAGAGTGTTAAAGTTCACAAAATTCACACAAAACACACACCCTCAAAACTGCAGCTTCATTTTCTACTGCTAATTTGTGTTGAGAAAGAAAAAAAAAAAAACGTTAAAAATAAAAAAAAGAAAAGAACTCATGGGTAAAAAGGTGTGCCTGAAAGCCAGCCCAGCCAGCCATACGCCAGCCATCTCTCGCTACCTTGCTTCCAATCTTTCTCATCTTCTTCATCCAGGTCAGGACAGGGACGTCACTGCTCTGGCACTGATGTGTCGTCCCTCTCTACTGCCCTCGATCCTCCTTCTATAAACAGAAATAGAGAGAAGTTTCCATACACTCTCTTTGAATCGAGGTTCAATGTTCCAATTTACAAGTGTGAGGTTACATGTGGGCTACATAAACACACTACATAAAAACTTACCACTAAGTTGCTCCTTATTTCAACTAGTAAAGTAAAGCTGGGACAGCATAAAACCTGAATACGGGGATGAGAAAGGGGTCTCCCCCAGTGGGAGGTGCCCGTGATGCTTGGTTCTACTTGGACAGGTCCATTAATTCTACCTGGCCCACTGTAACACACAGTATATACCTCATGCACCTGGAGCTATAAATACATCTCCTACATAAGTGTGCATGGAGCAGGCAACTGGGTTAGGGAGAGGCAGTAAAGAGGAGCCCATGTATTAGGCACTTCTCATATGAAAATGCAGTTAAGATGATATTTTGAAGGCTTGAAGTTAAAGCATCCCCCATTTCTCAAAATATTAGATTGACAATACAAATTACGAGCTGAGTTGACATCTTCATCCATATGTTTTTCATACAATACTGACTTTGTTTTCCATAAGAAAAGTCCTTTTGAGAAAAGTGGAAAACTATAACTGGAATCTAAAGGCAGCCTTTATGTCCTGAAACAGTCGACACCCTAAGGAGAAAACAGCAAATCAATTCTTAAACCGACTGAAACTTTTCTGATTCACGTTGTTATACAATAAGAGAAAAACACGTCTACCACCAGGAGAATGTTGCTTGACATTTTCCCAGCAAAGCAAACCTCTGGTGAATATATTTTCTGTCTTGCTATTTCACAGCACAGAAAGCAAAAAGAATCATTTATAACCCCTTTAAACAGAAGAAGTAATTGAAAGACTCAATCATCTCTAGCTGGAGACCCTATGGTGTGATTAAATGAGTCACTCAGTTATGTACTGCATTAATCACACTTGGGCTAACCCATAAGGGCCTCTAATAGGTTTTTTAATTATGTATAGCTCTTAAATGTTTTCTTTTTCTAGTTTGATGATGGTAAATTGGTTTGTGTTGTGGCACTGTGCTCTTACGTTCCTCTCGAGAACAAACTTCGCAACAAACATTTTAAAATGGGACACTTGCACAGCGAAAGATGAGTGCTTAACATGCAGAGCACCCTCTAAATGTCAAATTTTTCTAAAGTATCCTACTGTTTTATGACAAATAGCAACTTAAGCTCTCCATCTCTTACCTGTTGTAGTCACAGCTCCTGATGGGAGCTTCTGTTAGCATCCTTACCCTCACTATCCATAATGCCCTCTGTCGTGGCATTATGTGGCCTACTCTTACCCTATGGTCCTACACAACTGACCTCTGTCCCCCTGGCTGCCGTTGAGCACTTCCCCTGTGCTGCTCACCTCCTCCCCCTCCGTTTTGTCCTCCGGCTTCATCTTCTTGCGGGTCATGTGACCACGGAAGCCGGCCTGGATCTTTGCAGCGGCTCTGTTGGCCTCAGGGTCATCCAGGGGGATGTCCATGATGTCCTCCTCCTCCTGAGGCCGGCTGCACTCCTCCTGAAGACACGACCAAAAGGGAAGCAATTACAAACAGAGATGAGGCATGTTTGATATGAAAAGGTTGTGTTTTGTTACAACACTGGTGAGAGAATAGATGTTTTTCAATGCCATCTTTCAGGCAGTAAGGGATGTGTGCAAGCTGCAGAGTGGCTCATCCTTATTATTACATGACTTCAATGAGGCTCTCAGAAGGTCAATAATCTACATTGCCTCCATTTTTCTCTCCACTTCTCCCCTTGTCATGGACTGAATAACACTGCTGGTGAGAACATGTCTGAGTCAGGCTATTTCATAATGAATTTTCATAGTCTGCTCTCTCCCTCTCCCTTTGTATTTGTAAGGTTGAGAAATCTAAAGATTCTCATCCAAAAAACAAGGTCTAAGTTTTCTTAATAAGAGAAACTGTTGGTGACTTAACATAATTAATTATTCCGCTTAAAATTCTGGTTAAAAAAAAATTAATAATCTGATATTAGAAATTTACAATCCATTTAATACTAACCTTTATCTCATTTTAAACAACTATAAGGTTCAACACTTCTTGAAAGATGTGGTATAAGTTTTTGCCCTGCAGCTCAGTGCCCAAAAAAGATGACCTAGCGAAAATGCTGCTGTCGTCAACACCATCAGCTCTTTCAGTGACTGAGAGAACAGCATCCACTGTCCCGGAGGAAACGTCGGGTGGGTGGAAGAGAAATTCTGGCTTGTCATAAAGTGTTGGTGGAAAAGCGCCAAGGCTGTCGACAAGTTATGTAAACAGCATTTCACATTCTGAGGCAAACAAATATCGGCTACTCCCTGCGCTTTGCTTATAGAAAACAGATTGACATTTCAGACAAAGGCAGCCCACAGAATAAACCCACCGTACCCACCACCTCGATGAAGCTGTGCATCATGTCTCCAGTGAAACCCCTCCAGTGTAGGAGTGTGACCACCCACCTGTTCAGCCAACATTCATTAGCCTCTATGTCTGACTGCTCTCACAGCAGCCAAAACCAGCTCCTTTTACAGAAGCACTGATACCTGACTGCTCTGCTGAACTGTATTGGCTACACACCCCAGTGTTTTTTTATTGACTTGATTGCCTCAGGGACTAAAGACTTCATCGGACACAATCTAATTTCAAATATTCTGATGCAAAAGTCACTCAGTGGTATCCTCACAAGACTATAAATGCTTCAAAGCAGTGTTAAATAAGTTCAACCTTAAGTGCTTAATCACCTGTAGTCAATTTACCACTCAAAATAATACACAGTAATGTGCATAGACAGCAACACAAAAATGGCAGTACAAAAATTACAAGTGAATGTCTTCAGTGAAAATCAGTGTTTGAATCTATCTGCTGAACTGATTGGTGAATAAAGTGAAATATCAGAATCTTCCAGAAAAGTTGATAAGAAGCTTCTACTTACATTGTGACAGTCCATGTCTCACTCTCTCAGATGACTTCGGTCTTCAGGTGAGCTGACCTAGTACGACTTGAGCACTTCGATCTCTAAGCAGACCCAAAAAACACTCTTCAAGGGTGTCTCCGGTATAATACAAATGCCTCACTGGCTCTTACTAACAATCACTGTATGTTCAGTAACACCCGCTCACGCACGGAGTGAGAGAGAGACATACAGTCTCAGAGAGAATGGAGGAGAGAAAGAGGGAGGGAGGGAAAGAGAGACCTCCTACAAACATGACAGCATGTGTTCCATCTTTTCAGGCTCATTAAGGCTGCTGACCTACTGTGTTCACATTACAGCTACAGATCCTGATGCATCCCAACAGTCACCAAGCACAGGCTGGAGAAACTAATGGGGCTGAATAGTAGGACTGGATGAGTCCATATCTGAGAGTTTAAACACAAATGTCATGATGAACAACACAGCCCTTATGTAACCCAGTAAAACACAAACACACGCAACAGAGCGACACACAAATTCACAAGTTGCAGTGTTACTAACCAATGTAAACAACAAAACTCCACAAATAACAGATGACAGACGCAAAAATACTATGTAAAAGCCAGATGGTCATAAAACAATAATTGCTGACTTTCAAATTCTACTAATAGCGTGAAAACAAAACAGTGTAAGCATCTTGGACTGCTTTACACCAGGAGGTGTTATAAATTTATTAGAGGCAGAGTGAGCTAACAGCCCTCTCCATCCCTCTGATCCCAGCTGGTATGGCCGCCCACACTCCTCTGCCAGCCTCAGAGACAAGACGGAGAGGGAGAGAAACACAGAACGTCAATTTATCTGAGTTTTATCTCTGACATTAACACCCTCCTGCTGTTTTGCTAACTAGAACTCATGGTGACTAATTTCACTCGGCAGATGTGCTTTATCAAATGGTTTACTAACTTCATTTATAAGAATCTCAACCACTGTAAACAGTAATTAAATATAATGCAATCAATCATGCTTATTTAATCATTTTTGCATCTTAAACAAGCATGATTTACACATATATCATAGCTTAAACTGTGTCCCTGCTCTCTTATTGTTGTAGACAAAAGAATCTCAAGTGCAACAGCTTCACAGTAAAAAACAAAATGTTAAAAAATAGACTAAGAAAAGACTTCTACAACACGGCAGCAGGCACACTGTAAGACAGGCTGACTGTTACACTGAGCAGTTTTGTTGCAGTTTTGTTCCAGCTGAAACAAACCCAGCTATTAAGCGTGGATACTAAAACAAAAGTGTTGTTTTCCTGTCTAATCACTCAGTTAGGAAGTGCTTTTGAAGGTAGATGACTGATACAGATGGTGCATAGCAACTATCAGCATCACCATCGCCTATTAATTCCATGACGACACTAAAAGAGAGCAGGATGGTGAGGGGTTACCATGGAAACATTCTTAGTACCCCTTCCTACACTCCCTCCTTTACGTGTTTGGAGCTCTGATGGTCCAGACAAATCAGACGGGGATAACTCTGACAGCAGTAAAAATGTTAAAGGCCTAATTCACAAGACAGATTGTTCCGTCTGTCTTTTACGATGATAGATTACTGTATCTGGTTTCAATCAGAAGGGGCTGCAGTGAGGGGACCGTGGCTCCGGCGCTAACAAAGCCAAAGTGTTACAGTTTTATGAGCATGAAGTAGAGCACGCATCTTTGTTCAGCCATGTGTATAATCAAAAACAGTTAGTGGAGTAAAAGACTGAATCAGTTTGGGTGGGTTTTGAACACGACCCCTGTTGATGACATTCAAAGTTTATCAGAGCTACCTGCATACGTCATACAGAAAAGGGACTATTTTGGGGGTATTCTCAATCATCTGCCCCTAGAGAGTCCAGGCAGGGAAGAATGAGGACCCCTGTTGATCAGAGCTGCCCTTGAAAGGTTTACTTATATAGGCTACATGAGACAGGAGTGGAAGCAGAGCAGGCTGTAGCTCAGCTAAAAACACTGCTGTCTGAAAGTGAATATTTCCCTCCGCTTGTTGATAAAAGCAGTGGAATTGTGATGTTTTTAACAGCCTCTCACCATTCAGGAGGCTAAACTATTTGTACTATTTTTCTTTTTGTAAAAGTTTTCATCTATAAAATGTAATGAGCAGAATAAAAAGCACCATGATGTACCTTGTTACTACCGTTGCCTTTAGGCTCTGAGGTGTCCTTGTCAGACTCAAGCTGAACTTCCCCTCCTGGGTGGTCATGGGGGAGTTGCTCTTCACTCAGAGTATGGCTGATGCTGCTCTCTTCACAAACAGCATCACTCCTCTCCTGTACACAAGAATCCATCTTTCCTTCCTCTTCAGGTTCCTCTGTTTGTGATGTTTCCTCCTCCAATGTGACCTCTAATTCTGCCGCTGAATCTTCTGGAAGGGACTTTGTGAGTTCTGTTGGACTTTCATCGATTTCTTTGAGTAAAAGTTGTGGTTTTGTTTCAAAAGTTTCACTTTCTCTATCAACTAATATATCTGAGTGTAAAACTTGAGAAGAAATATTTTCTGCACCATCATTTATAACTTCTTGATCATCCTCACTACAATCCTCTCTTTGTGTGCCCACCTCCTCTCCCTCCAACAGGCCTGTTGTTACACTGTTTTTTGAATCAGGATCATTTGAATTCTCCATTTCTTTTATGAAATTCTCATGCTGGGAGAATTTGTCTTCAGATTCCTGCCAATTCTCCTCATTTTCATCCTCCAGCTTCTCTTCATCTGACTCTGGAGTGAACTGGAGTGATGAAATGTTGCTTTTACCAACTTCATCTCCCTCATCATCACTGTCTTTTGTCTTCGCTGTCTCCTTCACTGTATCTGATGTCTCTTGCATTTTTATGTCCTGATCTCCAGTATTACCTTCTTCTTCAATAACCAACACCTCAGGTTCACTATGACCTCCTGTGCAAAGTATATTTTGGTCTTTTTCCACAGCAGTAACCTCCTCTGATTCTTCCCCCTGTTGCATTTCTGATAGTGCAGTATCTAAGTCCTCTGCTGAATCCTCCTCCTCTGGCTGTTTCTCCCCATCCTCTTTAGTCTGCTGAGCTTCTGGAACATCTTCAAAGCTAATCTCAACCAAGGAATCCTCCTTTGGTGAGGCATTACCTCCCCCCATATGGGCTAAACTTTCATGTATTCCCCTTAAAGTATCCCCAGTATCTTCTTTTTCCTCCTCCGTTATTTCTGCCTGATCTTCTGCTTTTGGTAGATTGCCCCGGGGGGATTCAGATTCAGACAGCGATGATTCTTCACCAGTTCTTTCAGGTTGAGGTGCTGAACTTTTTGTTTCAATGAATAGTGTATCATCCTTTGCAGTGTCTCCTTCTGTTGTTTTTTCTATTCTACCAAGCTCTTCAGCACAAATATCAACATCAGCTACGCCTGAAAATGGAGGGACCTCCTCTGGATCTTCAATTTCAGCTTTTTCCTGCTTGTCTAAATCTTCAGTCTCCTTTTCTTCACCCGCAGACTCTTTTATATCACCGTCTTCTGCTAGCCCCAACTCCTGAGCACACACGTCTAAATTTGAGACCCCTTTGAATGAATCTGTGGCATCTAACTCAGAGTCATGAGTATCATGATCCAGAAGAGAGCTGCCATCTTTTTCATTAGCAGCACTGTCAACTGTATCAAATGGAATTATTGTTTGAGCTTCCTCCTCCTTGGTCTCACTCAGTTCACCTGGCTGTTTGTCCTGAGCAGGGAGCCTGTCGTCTGATTCCTCCTCCGAAGGTTCTTTTTGCAATGAAATGATTTGTTTCTTTGTTATATAACTTTCCTCCTGAACCTCCTTTTCTTCCTGTGTGCTTTCAGTTGAATCTGTCTCTTTTGAGGCAGTAGGTTGTAAAGATGAAAGATTTGAAACATCTGCTGAGTGACTGGATTCATCCTCAGTTTGGGATTCATATGAATCTTCTCTAAAAAAGAAAGATATACAGTGAGAAATAGAGAGTAGAAATTCAAGAGCAGTAGTTTAAGTGATGATTATTTCTCTCCTCTGTAATTCTCCTCTGGACCTTGTTGCTGTCTTCTTGCAGATCTTTTCCCGCCCTCTTTTCTCACCTTTGCCACTGCAAAGTTTCACTGTCTATCAGCGCTTTCTTGGCTGACAGTCTGTTGGCTCCTGGTTTAAGGCCTCTGTTCAACAACTATACTTGCCACAGAAGTTCCTCACATTAAATTGTTCGGAAAATTTGAGCATGAAATAAACCAGTGTTTTGAGACAATTAGGGCTGGGCGATAAAACGATAACAATATTGAAAAATTAATTTCCCTAGTCAGCATTCTGCCAAAGGGGAGTTGCTCGGGGTCTGCTTCATGTGCTGAATTAGAACCAAGTAACAAAAACTGCGTAGTAGCAGGCTGCAGCTACATGCAACCATAGCACTTTAACAGGTGAAGCCAACAGCACTGTGGGTGAGAAAAAAAGAAACTGAGTGCTACCCCAGGCAGAAATGCAGATGACGGCTCAACAGATGACGACATCGTTGACAACACTTACATGAAAACTTTGGTGGTGTGGAAGTTTTTTGTTTTTTTGAGGTCGGACATGAAGCAGAGTAATGTGCACTACAAATTATGTCAAGTACATGTTCTGCAAAGTCAGGTAATACCTCAAAACTTTTTCACTGCCTGAAGCAGTTCCACGGGACACAGCACGCGCAATGCAAAAGGTTACAAACCCTGAGCAAAACAAGGAGCCCATGGCACCTGTGCAGCTGAAACAGTTGACCATTCAGTCCACTTCTGTAGCGCAAAGCCTTACGACGCAACGTTAAAAAGACACAAAGACCTCACATATGCAGTAGCTTATTGTATTGCAAAAGACATGCTATCAATAAGCACTGTTAAATTTCATTTTTTATATCATGATATAAAGCGATATCGACTGATATATATATATCGCCCAGCCCTAGCGACAATGTACTTTCTTTTCAGAAAGCCTGGTTAATGCATGCAAACCAAAATCTCACTGCTGCTGCTATGATAATGGCCGTCATGGTTTCTAGGGGTTAAAAAAAATCATGTCTGCAGAATATTTTACACAACAACCCTCGATATTTAATAATTAAAATATTTTATTCTAAATTCTTCTGCCCCTGTCGATTTTTCACTATTCTTCCTCTCACTTCATCCTCTCCCTCTCCTGTTGAATCTCCTGGCTGCTGGCAGCACATAAAATGACACTCACTTGGAAAGATTCACTTCTGGTTCTTTCTCTTGACTTGCCTGTGGTGGGAAAAAAACAAATGTGTAATCATATATGCACACTTGAGGAAACAGAGGTAAGGTTTTACAGATATTGCGAGAGCAGTGGATTGCACTGCTGACTCATTTCATACCCCAGCAGAAGCCTTGAATGCATGGTTGTTGTAGAACCTATCTTCCAGTTTTGCAGCCCACTCAGCAGGGTCCATGCCACTCTCTACAAGTAGAAAATAATTACCTCACAGCATTTAATCGCCTTGTTGTATTAATTTTGCCATGCATAAAATTTCATTTACCTTCTCTTTGCCTGAGAAGAGCATCAAAATGTTGTGCAGCATATTTAGGAATGTCTTCCGGCTGGTCTCGCAGGACTTCCCGGGCCAGTCCCTCCAGGATGGTACCGAACCCTCGCGGGACCCGCAGGTGGGTGTTTGAGAAAGGCACTGACATTTCCTGCTTTTTTTCTATCCTATTTTCAGCGGTTACCACGGGTACAAATCACTTCTGTGATGTTAATTTCGAACAGTCTATCCAAGTTTTTCTACTTTCTGATGTCAAACGTATCAGAGTAGGTCATAAGCTAACACAGAGACTGCCAAGCTAGTTTTAAGCTAACTCAAACTTTACGTTTTTGGCTAGCTAATCGTCAAAAAGCACCAAACTGGTAGCCTGTCCTCAAACACTACATTTAAACTGTTTGATAATGTGAAAACATAAATATAAAGTTCAGTACGAACTGTAATGCAGTTGCAAATCACCCTCACTTAAACATTGATACCAAAACCAGGTGGCTATGGTAGTTTTGTTGACCACCGTTTCCAGGCAACGGTTGTCCCTACGGATAGTGGCAAGGATCAAACGTTACAAAACCGTCAAGAAAACTGTCTTTATTCGTTGACAAAAACAGGGTATCAATATGTACAGAGACGATTATTACTGACCTATTTATCGTCTTGCTATAGCAATGTTAAACACAGTAAATTAAATGTTTTTTTAACAGTATCACAAAGAACTCTTAACGTTGTTTTCGTCTTTAAATCCACATCCACAGCAGAGATGACCTCAGGCATATGTGATGACGGCGTACTCAGAGTTGGTGCTCATCTTCCGGCTGATCTCTCTGGGCTGCGGGATATTCAGTCTGTCAGCTGAACGTGAAGCCTGCAGGTGAGACCTGGGTTCCTCTCCCCACCACTGGAAAAAGGCAGAGAAAAGTACAAGCCAAGTCTTAAGAAGTTTGTGAGTCTTTAAAAAGTGGTAGGGGAGAGTGGGATAAGTTGAGCCACCCCCTGTTGCTTGGAAATGGTAAAAGAAATTGATCATGTGACCAAATATTTAGGAGCTGGGTGTCAATTCATGGAGTCTGTGAAGGTTAGAAGCTCATGGGTGAAGGGGTTAGATATTTATTTCCAAAACAAACATTTTTCACTCTTGAAAGTGAATTTGGTCTCTCATAAGTTTTATTAGAATTGTGTTCAGACCAAAAAAAGATCATTTTAAATTTGTTTAATAGATCAGTTGTGGTATCTGTGAGCTACAACATGAGGTCAAAAACGAAAAAATTACACCATTTTTTCAAAACTATGATTTCCTTGATGTAGTGATCCGAGATATGAAAAATGGCTCATCTTACCCCACTCTCCCCTACTGAATTTGGCAAATTGTTAACCATGCTGCAATAAAGCAAAAGTGATCACCACAACATAAGCATTTTCATATGGAGACCATGTTTCTGGTTTACTATTTCAAAGGGCTGCCCTGAAAAGGAAACAGGAAACTTTCCTGCAAACCTGTGATTCCGTCCGATGAAAATCACAATTAGATTTCAAGTCAGAAGTCTTGCCCCTCACCTCTTTTTGACCATCATGATTCTGGTAGCCGACCTGAGTGAGCTCTGGTGTGCTGACGCCTCGGACAGTGATCATTATGTCAGCATATGGCACCTCAGTGTCTTCCTCGTTATCTAAGCAAAGAAATAATTCAGTTTATCAGTGAATTCTTGTCTTTGAGTCTAAGGCAGTGGTGTGAGGATGGCTGCAAATGTCATCAAACCTGGTGTAGGAATCCTCAAAGTCACTCTCTCACTTTGTGCGGACTGTGGCCCTATAGAGAGAAATATTGCAAATATGAAATACAGGACTGCAAAAGCTTTTGGTACTTCTTTTTAATTCTTCCAATTTAGTTTACCTTTCATTGTTGGATGGGCAGCTTCAGGAGGCAATGGTGAGCTAAAACAATAATAGATGTAATACACTTACTGGATCTATTCAATTACACACAAACTTATAAATACATTATAGAGTCTTTGAGGGTATTTAACACACAGATTTGTGCATAATTATTCCTGATTGAACTCACCCTGACCTGGACCCAAAAGGCTCCTCTGGAGAATGTGACAAGAATAACAAAGAGATGCAGTTGTGTCATTTTATTTTATTTTTTTATTCAGAGATTTCTACTTTTAAAGCAAGTGTATGTTGTCAGAGTAATATTTGATAAGCACCTTTACAGTTCCAGCTCTGTCTGCTCCGGGTCAGACAGAGGTAAGCTGCCAATGCCGCAAGCACCATGGCAACAGTAACAGTGACTGTTGCTAATACTTTAGTTCCAGTAAACTCTCCTGTAACATTAGAGGAGACTTTTAATGTGAAGGAAAAAGTGGAGATTTATGCAAATATTTAACAAATGATATCAGATATAGAAAAGGTGTATGCATAGATTAAGTTGTGGTTTGAAAAATGATATTGATACATTTTATGAGTAGTGATGAATTTTGTATTGATCAGTACAAACTCACCTCCGTTTGCATTGTTAGGCTTAGACGCTGGGAAAGATGGAACAAAACATCCATGAATGTAAGTCCTTTCTCAGAATAATATAGAAACAACTTTGAAATACCACCTTGGTGTTTAAAAATGAGTTTTCCAACACTTGTGAAAATTTGGTTCTCACCTATTTTAGTTTCAGTTCTTTGGGTGGTTGTCCAGCTTGGTACCATAGATTGATCTTAATCACAAAAATAAAACCATAGTTAAAGTTGATTTCTTATAATCTGTATACCTGTTCTTGAACATTTTAGATTTGAGCCATATCTCATAATCCTTCTCATAATAGATGTCTCTCTACCTTGAAGCTGTAGGACCACAATTCGCTGTGTTTTGTGCAGAAGTCGAGTGTCATCTGTAGCCATTGTGTAGCAAGTGTAGTTTGTCTTGAGGTCTTCAGTGGACACATTTGACAGATGAAGAGACACTGAGCACTGTGTGAGAGTCCAGTGACAGCCTGATATGTCTGATGATTTACTCCAGCAGCCACGAACAAATCCAGAGGAGCAGTCGTAAGTGCAGTTTAGAGTAATAGACTCTCCCAATCCTACACTCAAGAAATCCACCGGCATCTCTGTGCCAACACAGGTCACAAAATCTGCAACAAGAGGTCATTTGATCTATTTTACAAAAAGATATACAACAGGTCGAATACATTTTGAGCATATTTTTATACTACAGTGAATTGTTGAACAAAAAGTGCATGCAAAGTTCATATACTCTACCTTGTGTCGTCCAAAAAAAGAGCAAAGTGAAGCAGACTGAGATCATCATGACAGTTTCCCGTGTCACTGATTCCTTCTGCAAAGCCTGCTAGCAAATATATTGTGCCCAAGCAGTTTGGCGATGTTTGCACCTGCAAAAAGAAATGCAGAAAAACCACAAAGTGCTCCAACAAGTGAGTGAGGGTTCAGGATGTGGCATACAACAGTTCTTAGAGCTGTGTAAAAATAAATCTGAACTTTCCATTCATGGCACCTGACTTCCTTTAAAGGCGTATTTTTCTTGGCAATATAAAGAAGAAGAAAAAAGGATAATTCAACAATATGATACTCTTAAGGCCTTTTGGGTAAACCATATAATTATCTGTGCAATAACCCGGCTGACTTGCTTGAAAAAATACACAATGTGTGGTTAACACATATCTTCATAAGCAACACTGCAGCTCTCTCTGCTCAAAGAGAGGATGTGTTTGGCATTCTTTTTCAACTAAGATTAAATAATTTATTTTAAAAATCTGCCTCCTTTGAGAACAAAAGATGTCATTTGAGATAAAACATTTGATTTCAGCCTTTGGATTGACTGAATAATTCTACAAATCCATCTGATTCCAGCTCCTGTATGTTTTATTCTCTGTATATTCCTAATTGAATTACACCAGTGTAAAAAATTAAAGGGATCTGCTCTCTTAGACAATATCTAGGTTAGCTTTAGCACACACTAATGCATTATGAAAGCAGAAGGTACAGTTTCAGAGCATCGTCACACACCATTATCAGCAAGGGCACTCGCAAGGGACTCGTATTTCGTGCTCTTGTTTCACTCGCACTGCCTGAGAGGGCCTCTCACTTTCATGCCTCTAAACTAGCAGTCATGCAGGCAAAGACCAACGAGTTTCAATAAAAAATACAAACAAAAACAGCTGACAGAGCGGACTTGAATAGAGATTCAGAGATGATTTTCTCATGGAAGATTATGCATTTGTGTTATTTTGCAGCTTTAGGGAGTGTTCTGCTGCTGGTACACTCTGGACTCACCTCAGGTAAGAAAAGTGACCCCGAAGAGTTTTGTTCTGTTTTAAACACTTGCAGCAGTTTAAGACAATTAAAGATTAGATAATCAAGCATTTTGACTTGTGCAAAAATCGTAGATCTTTGCTTACAATTGTGTTTGTATTTTAGACTCATCTGAGGGGAGTGCAGACCTCCTTTTTAAGGAGGCAGACATTGATCAGTGTCCAGAAGGAAAATACTTCTCCCATCGGCTTTGCTTAGAGTGTCCTTCAGGCCATTTGTAAGTCATCAGCCAACTTTAAATTACTTTCACTACATCTGCACTAAGAAATACACAGAAAAGACCTGAATTTGAAAGAAATGTTTAAGTTGAAAAGTATAAACTTAATTTGATCACTTAAGATTATCCATTTTTTGTGTTTCAGTTGTCCTGGAAATGTATCTGCACCTCATAGATGTCCAGCAGGAACATTCAATCTCTACACTGGGAAAAACAGCGTCAGTGACTGCAAGGTAGGACACAACTGAGGATTCAATTCTGTTTTTGCACAACCTTCTTCTGTAAATAGAGGAAATGAAAAGAAATTCATCTCAAAGCATGCTTGCTTGTGCCAAGGATTAAGAAAAAGCCCTCAATTACTTAACGCATCACTCATGAAAACAACAACAACAGAAAAAATTAACCTCCCAGGTGTGGTCAAAAAGTAAAGAGAGAGGTGAGGTAGAGCGAAAAACAAAAATTGGCATCATGACAAATATGGTAACGCAAAGTAAAAGGAAATGTAAAGCCACAGTCCTATTACAACGCCAACTCATCAAACTACATAAATTGTCTGTTCTGTGCTTGATTGTGTACAACAGGTTTTTTTCATTAACTGTCTTCACTCATGTTTTTATGTTGCAGCCATGTTTTCCTGGTCTGATCAGCTCTGAGGATAGAGTGGACTGTAGGCTGTGTCCTGCAGGTTTCACATGTGATCCAGCCATCGGGACCCTCTCCATATGCCCACCAGGATACCATTCTCCTGAGGGGGTCTTGCAGTGTCTGACATGTCCTGTAGACTCTATCTGCACCTCTGGATTTCCCTTTAAGGTAAGACATATTTATTCAAAAATGTGTTTGATCTGACAGAGAAAAACTTATTAAGTTTAATTAAAGTCATACTTTATATTCATCATCTTCAGTTTTAAGAAAGAGCTTAAAATCTTTTTCGACAGGCTTCTAACTGATGTTAATGTTGAGGGGCCTCTGTGAAGTACTTGTATCTATGCCATTATATGTATTGTGTTTCTCTGTATTCTATTGCATTTTATCCTTATTGTAAAGCACTTTGGAATTTTATCTATGAAAAGTGCCATATAAATAAAATTTACTTACTTACTTACTTCATGTGTCACCACAAATATGTGTCTTTCAGTGCGGGCCTGGCAAGGAGCCCAGCACAGATCAAACCGTGTGTAATGACTGTCCCCCGGGCTCTTATTCCAATATGTGTACTATCCAGTGTCTGCTGTGTCCAGCAGGTAGTGCAGTGATGAAAGGCTAATTACTCATCTGCTCTCACTACTTTTATTTACAAATGAGTGTTTTCGAATAAATTGAGATGAAATAGTTTCCACAGTAATCAAAGTTGTCCTGTGTCTGTTATAGGAAGTTATTGTCCCAGCAGTGGGACATCACAGCCACTCTCCTGTCCTTCTGGTTTGTCTTCCACACCCGGGCAGACTCTGTGCCACAGCTGTAATGATTCGTCTTCACTGTGTGGGGGAGCTGTGAGCCCCCGCTGGAGTCAGCCTCAGGTCCACAGGTCCGGTCACGCAATTACCTGCCGACCAGGAACATACAAAGACACGAGAGATGAGTCAGCATGTGTGGTCTGTCCAATAGGTTGGTGTTTTCACAACATACGGACATTGCTGTCTCTGTTTCCCCTGTACGAACTCTTATATGCTTTTGTTTCCTTTCCCCAGGTTATTACTGTGTGGGAGGAGTAGCTGTAGCCTGTCCTGCAGGGACTTACGGCCCCAAAGAAGGTTTACAAAGGCTGACAGACTGTGCAATCTGTCATGCAGGTAAAGTATGGAATGAAGACACTTTTTATATTGTTACTCTCACAGCATGAACCTGTGAAAATACTAAACGAATAACAGTTTTCCTTGTTTAATTGGTAGATACAGTAGATACAGCTGATTATTTATCTAATATAAATACTTAAAATATATCCTGTAGAAACCATTTTTTCAAGAACTTATCCATAAATACCCCTCTCCAGGGTTTTACTGTCTGGAAGGCAGCTCAAGGAGACCCACCTCACAGTTCCTGTGCCCACAGGGCTATTATTGTGAAGAGGGCACTGCCACCCCACATGGGTCACCTTGCCCTGCTGGTACAGCGGGGGAACAACTGGGTCAGACAAGTAGGGCAGCTTGCAAGCGATGCAAAGAAGGACGCTTCTGTCCTGCAGGTACGTCTCAGCACTAAAATACTGGAGAGAGAAAAAAAAGACAAGAAAAAAAAAGAGATGACAGATTTAATGACTGCAGCATCTATGAAGAGAGGACCTTAAATGAGGACTACATACTTAATCCTTCCATCTTGTCTTCAAGATGTCATGCATGCCTAAGTACACACAGCGGGTACAGTGAAACTGAAAATAGCTCATTAACTCAGCTGTGGTCTCTGCAGGATGTAATGTGCACAATTTTCTGCTTTGCGTGTTACCTGTGTGTCTGTGTTCATGCACATGCACCGCAGGCTCATCTGGACCTGGCTTACCGTGTGCGCGGGGGAGATACTGCCCTGCTGGTTCCTTGGAAGAAGTGATATGTCCTCGGGGCACCTTTACCCCTCATCAAGGAGCAATAAGTGATTTTACACATCAGTTATTAATTTTTTCACCACCTGCTTATTGAGTAATATGTCATATTCACATTTATGGATTTTTTTTTACTGCATTTCAGGTACAAGGTTTCCCCTAGTCACTTATTTAGAACTGAAGTTATTATCTGAGAGCAGCTCTACAGTCCCTGTCCGCCTCAGTCTAGCTAATAAGATGTTCTCGCAGTCTATCATACATGTCTGTTTTATATAAAGTGTTCCTTGGTTCCCATGATAAACTGAATTGCGTATACAGTGTATGAGAAATTTCAACAGATGGAGGCCAGATGGGCAAAGAGAGAAAGCATCTATTTCAGTAATAAAAAAACAACTGTTAATGGAAAGCTGTAGTTGTGAACAGAACTGTGAAGAGAAACCTAAGTTTGTGCTACTTAAGGACTGTTTAATAGGGGCACACTACAAAAAATCTCATTGATAAATGAATCTAAAACTCATCCGAATCTTATCCTGAAGTCTTAACATATGACAGCAATATATTTTCATCAGGTGTGAAGGACTGCCTCAAATGCCCTGCTGGTTTCTACTGTCCCGTCGGCACAAGCGACCCTGTGCCCTGTCCAGCAGGCTCCTTTAACCCCCTGGAGGGTCAGGATGAATTAGCTGATTGCAGGGAGTGTTATGCAGGGAAGGCCTGCACACAAGTAGCTCTGAGAGCCCCTGATGTGGATTGTATGCAAGGGTGAGTAACCTCTTCAGATCCTCTTCAGAAAGCAGTCATCTGTGATAATGCTTTCTTGTGTTCTCTACCCTGGATATTTGCTTTTAATGCATTCACACAAAGTGGTTTATATAATCTCACTGTAATCACATTTGTTCTCGGATATATGTCTTTTTGAAACTTGCCAGGTTTGTGTGTCCTCCTGGTTCTTCCAAACCCAATGCGCCAACCAACGCCTGCCCACCAGGGACACTGAGCAATCGCACGGACCTCACTGATCGCTCACAGTGTCAGCGGTGCCCGGCACGATACGCCTGTCTTCGAGGTGCCATTTGTCTTTCTCACATACGCATTTTCAATTAGCTTTTGAAACCACTGCTGGGTGTTTCATTATCAGCAACGATTTAATTTGTTCTTACAAAAAAGACATAAATTAAATATTAAAATAACAAATGTTTTACATTTGGAGTTGACCTGATGTAGTTTAAATTTGTGCAGAAATGATGCATTCTGTTACACACATTTTGAACTAATGTGACTGCCATAAGGTAATAAAAGTATTAACCCATGTTCCTGCCAGTTCTGTAATTACAGCCACATTTAAAAATACATTAAATTTTCTTTTATAAATAATGTATTTTAGAAACAAAAAGCCAAAGTTTTCATTTTAGATATTGTAAAAGCTGATCAACATTTGTTGTTCTACTAAACCAGTGGAATCTATTAATTCACAGTTGTCCCTACTTTTTGCCTTATTATCTATTTTTATCAGGAACTGGAGGTATCCAAAGACCTCCAATTTCCTGCTTCGCGGGGCATTATTGTCCCCCTGGGACTATGTTCCCCACCCAGTATAAGTGTCCTGTGGGGACATGGAGTGGTCAGAGTGGACTGGAAGCTGAAAGTGAGTGTCGGCCATGCACACAGGGCTGGTACTGCTTGGCTGGATCTGCAGCTCCGTCAGGTCGATGCAACTCTGGACACTATTGTCCTGAAGGTACACACAGGTTCGGATGGAAGATTCGATACAGGCGGTTTGAAATTTAAATAGATGAAAACATCAAATAATCCACAACTCTGCAGATCTAAGACTGAATCTTGTGCATCTCATTTGTTGCGTCATTTCATGTATTGCTGTAATCATGCATCATTAATGTGTTTTAACTATTTTGATGTTGCATCACCAGGGACTACATATGGAACCCGCTTTCCTTGCCCTGTGGGTACCTACAGCCTTCAAATGGGAAACAGGCGCAGAGAAGATTGTCTGATTTGTCCTCAAGGCTCATTCTGTCAACAGGGAACCTCCAAACCTTCCCCTTGTCCACCGTAAGCAGTAATTGTGTATTGAACAGTAGAAGGAAAATGAGAGCGTGACGATGAGGAGATGTAAAATACATTGAACAGCTGTTTGGTTCAATATATCCACTCCTGTCTTTCTGCAGCTCCACATTTCGCCGTCTGAAAGGAGGTCAGAGGCTGGAGGACTGCTCTGTTTGCCCCGCTGGCTATTTCTGTCCCCACTCAGCCACTGTCAACCCTAGAGTGTGTGGAGCCGGCAGCTTCTCTGTAAGGCCTCATCGATAACACAATCCACTGTGTCTGGTCAACTGACTGGACCAGCTAAAGCAGAGCTGATGTATTCGACTTGTCATTCCATAAGCTGTTCTGACTGCACTATTTTTAGATTAGCATTTTCCGCCTACATTGAAACCGTCTTATATTACTCACCATGCACGTACATCTGCAAATGTCAGCAAGAGAAATAGTTTAAGTCAAGTTCTATTGTAGCTCATCTTTGGCTCTCCGTGTCCAAGTATCAGTATCAATGTTACATCAGCATCTTCCAAGTTCGATCCTCCTCTCCTTGGAGTTTTTCAAGTCCGTATTTTACTCCGTCCCTCCCCCATACTGGTTGGTATCTTTAACTTCAGCTCTCTGAATCTTCCTTCACATTCTCTGGTGTGTAGGATGAAGGCTCTGTGGAGTGTTCGCCGTGCCTGCAGGGCCACTACTGCAGTAATGAGACCACCAGTGAGGAAGCCATGTTGAGCGTCATGGTGTGCCCCCCAGGTTTTCTCTGCTCTCAGGGTCTGGCCAGAGACCCTCAACGCTCAGCCACCCTCTGTCCTCAAGGCTTCTACTGTCCTGGGGGAGGGATTGTGAGTCAGAGATCCATACATACAGCCAAAGCACATTATTTTTCTCTCTCAAATATTTAGAGCATTAATAGTTCCTAAACTATGTTGTCCCCCGTAGGATCCTAATCCGATTCCTTGCCCTAATGGTACCTACAGTGAATCTCCTGGTCTACGTGATGCAAGCGAGTGTGTCAAGTGCCCTAAGGGGAAATACTGCTACTCCCAACAGCCTCTGGAACTGCCTATTACCAGACCTGTAATATCTCAGATTGATTTAAAATACAGTATTTAGGATAAACAAACACAGCAGTCAGTGTTATGACATGTTCTTAAAGCTTGCATGATTCTTGTTGAATACAGTCATTTGGATAGCAGATGGACACTACTCCTTTAAAATAATACACTCTTTTGTTAGTAATACACTGTTATCTTTTAGACAGGAGTGTGTCCCAGTGGGCACTATTGCCCCCCAGGAACTGGCTACCCCTACACCTACCCCTGTCAGCCTGGTATGTACAGGAACAACACACTCAGCCACAGCGGAGAAGTGTGTGTTTTGTGCCCATCAAGGCATTTCTGCAACAAACCAGGAACTCACCTGCCTGAAGTCTGCCCTCAGGTAGGAACATTCAGCATTATCAGTCTCCTTTTTCTTTTGCATGTGTCAGACTTTAACTTGCCTTAAAATGCCACAGTCTTTAAAATCCCTATCTTTCTGTCTGGAACTATTTAAACAGGGTCTCTACTGCCCAGAGGGCACCTCTTCTCCTGATCCGTGTCCTGAGGGGACCTACAGTTCTCGCTCAGCTCTCAGTGATGTGTCTGAGTGCTCTCCTTGTGGTGGAGGCCAGTACTGCAGTGGTGTGGGACTCACAGAGCCCTCTGGAAACTGCCAAGAGCGCTTTTACTGCAGAGAGGGAGCCAAGTCTGCAGTATGAAAACAACATTTTGATATCTTTTAAAATAGATGATAGAATTGATAATTTTTTTTTACAATTTCCTTTTCTTTACTAATTCTTTTAAGTGGTTGCTCTAAATCATTTAAATTATATAAGACCAGTATGCTCAAAATGATCATTTTATCACTGTTCATTTTTGGCTTGTTCTCTTTACATGTATGTGCCATGGCTTTGTCCAGACTCCTGCTGATGGACCAACTGGAGGTCTGTGTCCAGCAGGGAGTTACTGTCCTGTGGCGTCATTTTCTCCCTCACCCTGCCCCCCAGGAACCTTCAGCAACAGCACAGGCCTCAGCCGCCCTGAGCAGTGCGTCAGCTGTCCACCGGGGTAATGACGCGCACACTGAAGTGAAATTATGTGACTATTCAGATATCTCATTTTTCAGGATGACTTTGAAAAAAACGGTGCTCTCTTTTCTTTGTGTCAATTCTCACCTCTTTCTTTGTCAGTTTCTTTTGTTCTGGCTCAAACAACACCTCCCCTTCAGGTCTTTGTTTTCCTGGTTTCTACTGCACCGGCGGCTCAGCTTCCCCTGTTCAGAACGAGGCAGACAAGGGCTATTTCGCCTTGGAGGGGGCAGCCAGGGCACAACCGTGTCCTCCTGGTACTTTTCAGCCGGTATGAAACAGTCCCCGCAGAATACCAAGTGCTGCACTTTTGAAAGTGCACTGATGAAATGACACGACGAGATAAAGCCATGTTCAAGGTTGTCTATAAATACTCCACAGCATCGAGCTGCACAGTCATGTGTGGAGTGTCAGGGAGGCAGATTGTGTAACCAGACAGGCTTGTCCCAGCCACCACTGTGTCCCACAGGACACTACTGTCCTCCAGGGTCATCTGCTGCTCGACCCTGTCCTCCAGTCAGTATTGTGTGGGTGTGGAAGTGAACTGTGTTTAAATGTCAGTGTGTGTCTGTTATTAAAGCAACATCTTTCCTTTTCATCATGTCATTAGCTGACTCTTTTTGAAATCCTTCACATCATCAAGATTGCTTTAAAACTTTAAAAGTTAAAAAAAGTTAAAAGTATTCATTCTGATCCTACAGGGCTCTTACTCCGACCAGACTGGTGGTGATGCTGTGAAGCACTGTCGGCCATGTGAAGCTGGATGGTTCTGCGGCAGAGTGGGTCTGTCTAAGCCTCAGGGCCTATGTGACCCAGGGCATTACTGCTCCTCTGGAGCCCCCACTGCCTCTCCTGTAAGACATAACAAATGACAGCTTTTATGACTGGGCTGTCAGCTGCTTATCCAAGAAAAAGGAGTCTTGTTATAAAAGTGCTTATATGGAGTATCTTTGCTGTTATCGACTTGTTTAAATGTATGTTTTGTCAATATTTATAAGCAGTTTTGTGAAGAAACCATCCATTACATATAAACCATATTGATTTCTTCATAATATATGATCAACATGAATTGTCAGATATTTTGTTTTCCATCTGATTGTTGATACTTTATGTTGATTACGGGGTTTCAATCAAGCAAGACAATTCTTTATTTTATTATATCACAACATTCAAGTACATCTTAATGAGGAGACAAGGAAGAGTGGAAATTTCTGGTTGTGCTTCATGTACATTTCTGCCTTTTGATTTGTCGCTCTCTAGTTGATTTGGTGGCAGCTGTTAATTTCCCCACTCATTTTTTCTCTACCAAAGTGTTTTCTGTCATTTGTTGCGAACATGAATTTAAATGCATGTTTAGCTCAAGTTATCACTGGAAAAGTCAATGTTTCTAATGGCTCTTTTTTTTCCTGGAAAAGCTTCTCTCAGTGTGTGCGTGGGAAATGACTGACAAGTCGTGCTTCCCACAGCTTTTACTTTCAAGTTCTAACTTCATCTCAAAGACAAAATTAAGAAACTCTCATGTTCTGACTTCAAATCATTATCCCCACAGGTAGCTCTCATGTCAGGAGGTGTTTGCACTGCAGGCTACATCTGCCCGCGAGGGACCATGTTCCCCCGGCAGCACCCCTGTCCTGTAGGAACCTGGAGCAGCATTGTAGGAGCCCAAAACCTGTCCTCCTGCTGGCCTTGCCCTTCAGGACTTTACTGCAACAGTACTGGACTCAGCTGGCCTTCAGGAGCCTGCCACACAGGTAAACATTATTTTTTGTCCAAGGTGTCTCATAATTATGAAAATCAGTGTAGATTACATAAATTACAAACAAAAACAGTCTGTAATTCTTGACAGGATAAAATGTTAGTTTTTTTGATCATCATTTTTTTATTTTATTGGTACTAGTTATGCTGTCACTTTTTAAAAATGCCTTTCTAATAAAATGCCGGCTTCAAAGCATGTTGTCTAGTTTGTGAGTGACACAAAAAACATGAATCTGAACAAAGAAGCATCTTATAATATTTTAGTTTGTTAAGAGTTGTATTGTCTGTTTGAAGGGTATTACTGTTCAGGAGGAGCCTTCTCTTCGATGCCATTGGACGGTGTTACAGGGGATGTTTGTCCTGTTGGACACTACTGTCCCAAGGGTTCAACTTCCCCCATACCTTGTCCTGATGGGACATTTTCAAACACTACAGGTATTGAAAATTCATCCTGTGGTCCCACATAAAATAAAAGGAACATAATTTGACCTGTTTAATGGAGACACTGCTCCATCTTATCTATCTTTTTCTTTCTCAAAGGTGCAGAGGCTTGTGATGACTGCCCCCCAGGGACCTACTGCCTGTCTGGAGAAGGTGTCCAGCTGTGTCCTGCAGGACACTACTGCCTCGGTGGTGGTGTTGAGGGAATCCTCCCCTGCCCTCCTGGCACATTCAGTGCACACATTGGCCTCAGCCAAGTGGAGCAGTGCCTCATCTGTCCAGCAGGTGAGAGTGTTGTCTTACATTTCTCTTTATTGGTTTTCAAGAATTTGAAAGTCTCTCCTGAAATTTTCTTTGAGGTGAATTCAACTTTAATTCATTAACTTATCAATCTGCTAGATGTTTAGGAACAAATGATTGAATGAGTTTTTGAAATTTGATTAACTAGAGTTGGAAAATTACTTTATGATAGTGTTTATGATCTGTTATATTTCTTTTTTATTCTCACTGAAGTGATGGTTTTAATTGTTCACGCTGTGCTGACAGGGTTCTACTGTGAGGACTGGGGTCTGTTTGAACCTACTGGACCCTGTCAAGCTGGTTACTACTGTATAGCAGGTAAACTCCATGTACTGTGACCTTACCTAAAGAGCAGCTCCTATAAACAATAATGGTGGCTTTCTTTCAAACTAAATCATGCAACTCCACTCATCTTATATGTGCAACTTTTAAAGGTGTGAACTTTCAGAATCCAGATGGTAATTTCAGCACTGGAGTGGGAGGGGCGTGTCCGTCGGGGAGGTATTGTCCTGAGGGAACCAGCCTCCCATTGCCCTGTCCGCAAGGAACCTACTCTAACAGGTTAGTGGATCAATATGATGCTTTAACAGTCTTTCAGTTTGTTGTACTTTTCAACTGTATGTTTAAGATTGAATGTATTTGTGGTTGCAGTTTTCATCTGATGGATACCTTAGGCTGCAGTCCTTGTCCAGCCGGTCACTTCTGTGGCACTGCAGGTCTCACTCATCCATCTGGACTGTGTCAAGCTGGATTCTTCTGTCCAGGGGGGGATACAACAGCCACAGGTAGAAATAATCATATTAATTGGTATTTTTGGATGATATAACGGAGATAAACACAACTTCTTTATATTTCTATAGAATAAATGTAGTCTGCTGCCTTCAGGTATCAATTAAAAGAAAAAACTGTAATTAAAAAAAATGGTAAATAATGAATGTACTTCACACTAGGGATGAAAGAGAGGGAAGTGGAGCAAATGCATTATGTGTAGAGAGAAATCTTATGAATAGGCATCAGTTTAATGAGAAACAGATGTTGGTAAGTGCAGGGAATCTAAACGTGTGAGGTTGTTTTGTTAAATGAATGATTACTGTATGAATCAGGATTTAATCACTGAACTCATCACATTAAAGGCTTAGCAGTCATAATCCTCATAATTTACTGCATCTAATTGTTTACTCCTTTCCAGGCTCAGGGGGAGGTCTTTGCCCATCAGCTCATTATTGCCCAGAGGGTAGTGAGAGGCCAATACCTTGCCCAGCTGGGACCTACACCAACCTCACAGGGCAGTCCGTGTGTTCTCGCTGTCCAGCTGGATACTACTGTCCAGACAGGACTGGCAACTTCACCAAGTTCCCCTGCCCGTCTGGTTTCTACTGTCCCGATGGTAAACTCATATCCAGCACTGTGAGCAATGGTTGTTTGCCATGTTACTGAAAATGTTAGACAGTGTTGACATGAAGTCGAATTCACTGTATCAACACTTTTCTGTGGTGTACTGCTCAGGCTGAGTGGCTGGAATGATGGTATTGTATAGCTCTGTTTAATGATTGAAAATTATCTAAATGAAACAGTGGTTATAAATCACTGCTTCCCAAAAAGGAGGAAACTTAAATGACAAAATTAAGGAAAAATCTTGATATTAGTCAATTTTGATGTAAAATTTAACAATCTAACTGTAGTTACAACTATAGCTGGATATCAGCTGGTTGCATTAAACTACTTCCAAGCTGAACGAGACATAAGAGGAAAACTGCTGCAGAGTAAATATAGTCAGTTACCTCCAAATAACACATCTAGAAATTATTGTAATTTAACTGCTTGTATTCTGTGCACAGGAACTAGGCATGCCACCCAGTTTCCCTGTCCCCGTGGATACTACAACCCGCAGCCGATGACTCAGAGTCTGGACAGCTGCCTGCCCTGTCCTCCAGGACACTACTGTGAGAAGGAGGGGCTGACCAAAGTCTCTGGAAAATGCAAAGCTGGTCAGTAATGATTTTTGTACCACAAAAAGACACAAACAAAGCAATACAGTCCAGTTTTTCAGTGTCAGGACTTCTGTGCCTTGTGTCCTTTGTGCTATTTGTCTTTGGCGGCTACCGTGCTAAACCAAAGTAGTCCACAAATACTGAGGTAGGGTGCAAAGAGTGAACATTAGGCAGCAAATATCAAGCTCAAATTCACCCCTTATCAGTCATTGTTTACCCGATCCTCTCATATAATTGTATGTCATTAAGCTTTAATGATGCAAAAGCTTTTAGATATACAATTGTATATCCTTTATTTATGCTTTGAGCTGCAGAACAGCCTGGATACAGACCACTTAATGAAAACAGATAACAGAATAGTGCCGTCCTGCTTTATTAAGCTCCTGTTTCTCATCGGTGACTCATCTTTCTCACCTTCCTCTGTATCGCCATCTTCCTGCAATTTTGGCACATTTTTTTTCACACTCATCTCAGGAAGTGGTCATGTGAAATCTTCACAAATGCAGCTCTGTGTCAGCAACAGGAGTGTTTACATATCACAGATATAGACAGCAGTCAAAACATCAGAACCTCGCCTTCATTATCTCCCACTTTGTTTCTTGCTGTGTTTTCCTTCCAGGCTGGTTCTGTGTGTCGGCGGCGTGGAACTCCCAGCCTTTTGACCTGGACAATTACACAAATGCCAACTGCCTGTGTCCGGCTACATCCACCGGGGGGCGCTGCCAGGTTGGCTTTTACTGCCCCCTGGGTAGCTCAGAGCCCTTACCTTGTCTGCCTGGAACCTTTTGTAACATCTCAGGTATTCAAGCAGGTTGATTCAATTCACCTATCTTCACTTTGTAGCCTGCCACCAGCAGGTCATGTCACTCCAAAAGTAGATCAATGTTCAGTAGTATCTGTTAATGTATGTTTTGGATATCATCAAGCCAGCACGATTATTGATTTTACTGCTGTATACAGTAGATGCTAAAGTCACAAAAGTTTTATAAAGTATTATTACTTCTTTTTTAGAGAAACACCAACTACCCTGAAGAATGAGTGTTAGTCTCAAAGCAGCATATATAACAGATATTTTCAGATACATTAACTATGATTAATATTGTACCTATTCTATTTCAAGGTTTAGCTCTTCCGATGGGTCCCTGCTCCCCAGGGTACTACTGTGTGGGAGGAGCCTCTAAGGCCAGACCATCAGATGGAGAAACAGGCAACATTTGTCCTCCAGGGACATACTGTGGTATGACCTGCATTACAGTTTTGGAACATTTGTATTATAAACTTACCAACAAAGTAAGCCAGTGAAAAGTCATAATGTTACTGAGTATAACTGTAAAAAAAAGAACAGCTATTGGCAAGGGTTCTTGCTCTGTATTGATTAGAATTGTTGAAATAGCAATACAGCCCCAGAGGTTTTCTCAGGGTTCTCTAAAGTCTTTTCAGAGCCAAGAGACATGCAAATTAGCTGGAGTCCAGACTCTATAAAGTAGCTTTAGCTATGACTCAGGTGGACTGGACACCCTAAATCACCCATGGGTATTAGTATGAGTCATCTTGTGTCTATTTGTGTAAGCTTGCTTATAAACTGTTGGCCTGCGTAGGGTGTTATCACACTTTCTGCTCTGTGTCCTGGGCTCACATGCCCTACAACTCAGGATAGATATTTGCATGGAATGGCAAAGATTCAATTCATGAATGAATCTCTACTCCACCTATTTTTACTCTACAGTTAAGGGTTCTGGAGGGCCAGAGGTGTGTCCAGCGGGTACTTTCTCCCCAGTACCAGGTCTGACCAGTGGGTCTGGCTGTCAGCCCTGCACCCCAGGTTTCTACTGCAGAGGGGCAGGTCTTAAGGCACCTACTGGACCTTGCAATGAAGGTCAGCCATATGCAGCCCCATGATTCACTGGTGTTATGTAACTTAGGTACATTTTTGATAGTTAACTGTCTCATAAAGGAAATGTACTTGTACTCTTGTACTTTGTGTTCCTTGTCTTCATGATAGGCTACTGGTGCCCCCCTGGTCAGTCTCAGGCAACAGCTCTGCCATGTCCCAAAGACCACTTCTGTCCACAAGGTAGTGCAGCTCCAGAGCCCTGCCCATCAGGGACCTACCAAGACAGAGAGAAACAGGCAGCCTGTATTGTCTGTGGGGCAGGTATGAGTCCTTTACTTTTTAGACCTCAGCATAAACATATATCCCTTATTTTCTGAAACCTGTTTTCAGCCTTTTGGCATTTTGTTTTGCTGAACGGGCTGTAATAAAAACACCTCTTAAGCAATGTGTCTAATTTATAAAAGCTGACAACTTAGTTACATGGATGCATGCATTCCATTTATTGTGCTGCACTTTGCAAGTTTGTAGATAAGTTTTCAACGAATGTTGCTGTTTTATTTTTATGTCATGTTTTCATGTTGCTGATTCCAAAACCATGTGTTTCTCCTCTTTCAAGGTTACTACTGTGATAGGCGGCTAGTTAATGCCTCTGTACTGAGGCCTTGCCCCAAAGGACACTTCTGCCCTGCAGGAACAGCCTTGCCTAACCAACACCCCTGCCCTGCAGGCTCATTCAACCCCAGACAGGGCACAGACAGCCTTGTGGGTTGCATGCCATGTGCTGCTGGACAGTACTGTCCCTCTAAAGGACTGTCAGAGCCAGCAGGTGAGAAAAAAGAGACTCCTTTTCATTTTTCAGCCTTTCTCGAGTCTTTAAATGCCCTTACTGCTCTGATTTTAGTCAAGTAATTTCCACCTTTACTCCTGTTTCAAACATTGGATGCATTTCCTATCCAAGCTAATAAAATACACTTCTTTGAAATCTGGACTCTTTTGGAGATATCTTTAAATTTACTGTAATTGCCATTAGCTATTTGCATTACTGACTCTTTCATTATGTCTTGTATTGATAGTTTAGTTATCAAACCAAGTCGCTGTCTTCTCATGGTACATTTTATTCATTTATTTATTAAAATACTGTAAAATATTCATGTGTTTTGAAATTCTCTTATCTATAGGACCATGTCATGCTGGTTATTGGTGCAAACAGGGAGCGTCATCTCCCAGCCCACTAGATGGACTCTCCGGCTCCCTGTGTCCACCTGGTCATTACTGCCCCCCAGGTAACTGCCTTCAGCCGCCAGCAGCCGCTTAAGTGCCTCCATGCTGTTCCTGCCTATAATGCATCAAGTTATAAGGGGGTCCTTACTTTCAAAATAATATAATATTTTTCATTAATCTGATGCTGACACTGCTTGTTTTATTAGCTGATGTAATTATAAAATTATACTGTGTGAGATTATTTATGTGCTGCCATACTTTGTTCCAGAGCCGAATGTTTTATTCATGTTAATAACCATTCAGAGGCCTACAGGAGGCTCTGACAACATTTATCATGTTAGTTGAAGACTGTTTTCTTCAAAGTAATTTGTAAACTTGTTCTCTCTGACTTGACCCATGCTTTAAAAATGCTGCTGTAGGGTAAACTGTCTTGTTGTGAGCTGCTCGACACTGGGCACATGAGTGTATCACTTGCTTATTTATGGATTAATTCTGCTTACAGCGCACAAGAAGTTGCCACAGTTGTCATCTTATTAAAGTCTTTTAGAGGATTTTCTGCACAGTCCTCTGTTTACTTAAAATTTGCAATGGTGTGTGTGACATCTTTGCAGGCACTACGGCTCCTATAGCCTGTCCTGAGGGGACCTGGTCAAACAGCTCAGGACTTCGTACCCGGGGAGACTGCAGACCTTGTTTGGGGGGATTTTACTGTGACTCTGTCAGCCTTATGAAACCTAATGGACTCTGCAGTGGGGGGTACACCAATGTCTGAAGAACACTTTGTCTGTACTTTGAAATGATGTAGGATTTACTCCCCATTAAGGAGCAAATAAAATATCAGTTTATAATCATAAAAATAAAGAGTAAAGGGGTCATATTGTAAGCCGGGGGAAAACAATTAGTTTGAAAACTAATTAGCCAATGCTAAACAACTGCTAATGGCTACTTCCCAGCTAACTTTTCAGGATCATGTGAACAGGAATTTTTGTGTCTGCTAATGTATTATTTACCAAAAAACACAAGCTTATAGAGATTCAAGCCAGCTTAAATATTAGCTAGCCAGTGTTCAATTATCCCAGTGAGAAATACTAAGTGAGCACTGGCTTTTGTAGACGCAACATACACATGCTTTCATGTTTCTTATGCAGGTATTACTGTGTAGAGGGCGCCGTTACACCAACCCCTACTGATGGGAAAACAGGGGGACCCTGTCCTGAGGGTCACTACTGCCCAGAGGGAACTGTTCAACCTGTGCCCTGTGATCCAGGGACTTTTGTTGCTGTTACACATGCTACTCACTGTGAGCCCTGTGTGCCAGGCTGGCATTGTGTTTCTGGCTCCCTGTTCTTGTGTCCTGCAGGTTGGCAGTTTTATACGCCTTTAAAGACAATTTATGAAGACTTTTTAAGCTACAATGGAACCAAAAACACTACTAAAAAAACAATAGTGTGACTGACTAATCTATACATTTATCAATTTCCTTATGTTTGTTTTGTGACCTTAAGGTTTTTACTGCCCTGAGGGCACTGGATTTGATTTGAGAGGCTGTCCAGAGGGAACCTATGGTCCTGACCCTGGCTACTGGTCTGTATCTCAGTGCAGGCAGTGTGACGGTGGCCATTACTGCTCTTCTAGAAATGGCACAGCTGTCACCGGTCCATGTCAGGAAGGATATTACTGCTCACATGGCAACATCTCCCCCAAACCGCTGTTACAGGCTGCAGGTAAACAAACATCTTTTCCAGACTTCACGTTTACATATTCTATAAATTTTCCTCGAATTATCTGTTGATCATCAATATTCTTATTTTGAGACCTGTGACAAATTATAGGATGTTCTCTGTGTCTCTCATCAGGAGAGGGAGGGCCATGTCCTACTGGTCATTACTGCCCCCAGGCCTCCATCCATCCTCTGCCCTGTCCACGTGGCACATTCTCCAACCTCACCAAATTAGTCTCCCAGGTCATTTTGACTCGGTGTAGCTCACACGTCTCCCTGACAATGATTGAGAGGGAAGTCTCTCCCCTCAAAATTAAACCATGTAGAAGTTCTTGTTTAGGGAATTCAAGCATCAATGTATTCCTCATTTTTCCTCCAGAGGTCTCAAGATTCATTTGACATAAAAAATAAATGATGAAGCACAAACAGTTTCTGTCTTTTCAGATCATATCAATAGTCGGCTGCATAAATGGCTCAGAAATACGTCTCTTGATCGACTCACCTAAGATTGTAGGGGATATTTCTGGGACGTATATTGCGTCTAGATTTATTTATTCATTCAGAAAATCTGTCACTTATTTCCTCCCATATCTCATGAGCTTTATGTCTTTTGTCTTTATATCTACGTATATGACAGTTATTTCATATCGAACACGCTGGCTCTCCAGGCAGCATCCTAACGGTGTCTTTCATGCTATTTTCAAAAAAATCATCTTCAATTCATCATCAGCTCTATACAGACTACGCAGTAACATACAGCTGCAATGTTTTCTGTAGTCACAGCCAATCAATCTCTAATCCTAGATCAATATTAAGGCAGGCATATTGTCTTCTCTCAATACCTTACAGCCTCTTTCTCTCTCCCTGTCTTTGTCTCTCTCGTTTCCCCCCTCAGGAGAATTGCCAGCCATGTCTCCCTGGTTACTACTGTGATTCTGTGGGTCTCACAGCACCTTCAGGGGAGTGCTGGGAAGGCTTCTTCTGTTTGGAGGGTTCAGATCGTCCTGACCCTCCTTTGAGAGGCAGCCAGGGAGGACCGTGTCCTAAAGGTATTTTGTTCCACCAGATTACACGCCTTTATTCCTCATTGTTCGAAAATAAATGAGAGAAATGTATCCAACAAAAACTGCCCGACAACAGATGATAGAAAACCACATGTAGCTGTTGTGTAGAAGTTTTCAAGATGCTTTGTTTTAACAGGCGTTAGTGGAAAATCATAGTTCTCAAGCAGGTAACTAAGTAAGAAATATGCGTAAATCTGAAGCTAGTTAAGTGAGGCGGTAAACAAAACAGTCTTCAAGTTAATAGGGCTAAACATTAGCAGCTGCTCTTCTCGCACCAGAAATCGAAACCCATCTCCCATGTGGATTTTGCACGTCTCTATGTGTGTGCTTGAGTGTGAATCCCTTTCATGACTCCTGTCTGTGCACAACCAGGTTATTACTGTTCAAAGGGCTCCATGGCTCCTCAGCGGTGCCCCCTGGGAACTATCAGCGCGAATGACGGCCAAGCCAGCTGCAGTGCCTGTCCCCCAGGGTAAACTAGCTTATCAGCCATGCACACTCACTTTGTACTGTAAACATATGCACATTTCCACATGTAATCATGATGGATTACTTAAGAACTAACAATGCTCTTCATGTTTTTCTTGTGCACATGTATTAATGATTTTCCCCTCCTTTCAAACATACACAAACACTCACAGACACTAGTACACTCATGCCTCATTGCCCCCACAAGCAGCCAAGAACTAATTTATTCCCTCTTTGTTGTCTGGGTAGTTTTTACTGCCCTGGCAGGAGTAATGGCTCTCTGTCTCAAAGTTATGAGTGTCCAGTGGGTTATTACTGCCCGGCTGGGACATGGTCCAAACACCAGTTCCCATGTCCAGTTGGATCCATCAACCCCCACACTCGGATGGCGAAACCCCAGGACTGCTTGCTTTGCCCTCCAGGTCACACTCCGTTTACTACTTATTACGCTATATATTGCTAAGTTTCCAAGGTTAAATAGTTGAATTAATGTTTTAAAAATACATAATAAAGTCCAAGGCTTTTATTAATCCAATATTCAGGGTTTGTTACACACTCAATGTTCTGCAGAGTAATTTTTCTCTGTTCCTCTAAATTTCACCCCTCTGTCCTGATCATTCCAGGCGCCTTCTGTGCAGCCCCGGGGAAGGGAGTTATATCAGGTCATTGTGATGCAGGGTACTACTGCCTCTCAGGCGCCTGGTCACCCACACCACAGGACAAGGGGACGACAGGTGATAAATGTCCTGTGGGTCACTACTGTCCCAAGGGGTCATCAGTACCACTGCCCTGTCCCATCGGACATTACAGCAACAAAACTTTGAACACTCAACTCTCTGACTGCTTACCTTGTATTCCAGGTTGGGTTGAATTTTGTGTCATATATTTGTATTTAATTATGTCTTTAAGAGTATTGCATAATTTGAAATAACAGAGGATAATCCCTTCACACACTCCCCGCAACTGCTTAGCAATGTGTCTTTTTGTGTTGCAGGATTCCTCTGTGCCACTAGAGGGCTCTCTTTCCCTTCTCATAACTGCCCAGCTGGCTCATACTGTCCAGGCAGCAGCAACAGCAACAAAGAAACATCTATACTCTGCTCACCTGGACACATGTGCCCACCTGGAACCAATAGGCAGGTGCCCTGCTTGCCAGGGACCTATCAGGATTTACCTGGACAGGTGAGGAAGTGAAGAATAAACGTCTGACTAATGATGTCATTTGTCTACAGTCCTAAAAGAAAGATGAAGGATCATTTAAGGATGTTAAAGTAGCTGAGTTTTCATCGAGAAAGCCACAAAGCGTGATATACTGGATATAGAAATATGTTCCCCAAAACTGAAATTGGAATATCGACTAACTGTACCTATAAAAGATGGGTTGTGAATGTGTCATGAATCTGAGTAATATAAGCATTCAAGGGGAAGTTATGGCCCTCCTGGAAGCAGAGAAAAAATGTTCCAGCTGGCCCACATTTTCTAAAATCAGTGCAAACTTTGTACAGATGAAAGTTCAGCTTTTATCTTCTCCAACACAAGCATCTAAAGTGGCAGTGTTGGCTGATGTAAGCGGACATCTGTATTTATAATTGTATTTTTACACAGTGTGGGAAATAATTATGTCTTTAACTTCCTCCTCCACAGGCTGAGTGTGTAAAATGTCCAGCAGGATTTTATTGTGCTGGATCTGTGGTTGCAGAGAGCGGGTATTTGTCTGGGACTCACACTCCCATGCTGTGTCCTAAAGGACACTTCTGCCCACCAGGTAGGGTACAAAAGCTGACACATCAGCTGCACACGTAATATGTAATCATATCATGTTTTCAGATGTGAAAATATGTTGGACACATGATGCTGCAGGCTCAGTGATATTGATTTCTCAGCCAGCTATTATGCTTTGAGTTGCATGTTGTTGGACTGGGCTGATTTTGTGTGTACTCCTGGATAAATGGCTGTAACAGTAAATGGCTTTCTAATTATACAAATGGGCATTATAGAGCATAATCAAGATAAGGCTGGTCCTCTCAACCTGCTCTGTGATGTTTAGTCCTCCACCATCTGTAGATATTACACGCTATTTATCTACAGGAACACAGTCTGGTGTGGCGTTCCCATGCCCAGCTGGTGCCTTCAACGGGCAGATGGGGTTGTCCAATAAGTCTGGCTGTGAGCTCTGCCCTCCTGGGAGATACTGCAGCTCCTCTGGTCTCTCTGCCCCAACTGGACTCTGCTCTCCTGGGTAAACACAGGCAAACTGGGGGAACACTCCATCATGTTAACTAACAGGTTTAGAACGACATGACACTCTGTTTCTGTTAGATCTGTCCCCCATGTCTATATTTAAACCCCCTTTTTTGCTTTGCTTTTTGCTTTCTTTCTCATCTATCACTCTCCACACCCCCCACCTCTATCTCTGTCCTCATCATCTTTCTGTTCCTAGTTACCTCTGTATCCATGGTTCTGTTTCTGCTCAGCCAGAGAAGGGCTCAACAGGAGGCCTTTGCTCTCCAGGGTCCTACTGCCCCCAGGCGACCAGCTATATGGTTCCCTGCCCTGCAGGCACCTTCAGCTCCATAGACGGTGACGTATAACACTCAACAATTACACAGATACACTGCGGGTGACATTTAAACATAATAGACTGACTTAAGAGGACTTATCGATGGTATTAAGAGTAAGCTTTCATAATCAATGACAAAATTCCCTTCCTTCCTGCAACAGAAAACAATAATTAGAAACCAAACGAGGTGGAAATATTTCACTTAATCCTCATTTTGAGCTTCTACATCAAACATATGCGTCACAGTTTTGGTTTTCCAGGGGCAGTCTCTGTGGAAGTATGTCAGCCATGTCTGCCTGGCTATTACTGTGCAGAGGTTGGCCTTTCTTCACCATCTGGGCCTTGCAAATCCGGTTTCTACTGCACAGAAGGATCCAGAACAGCTACACCTTTGGGTAATACCACACATTTCTAATTCTTTCTGTTTTTGCTCATAATTTGCAGCGCGCCAAGGCATTACAACATTCATAGCTGGTTGTTTTCTTTCATAACACAAGTGACATCTGGGTCATGAATGTCCGAGAGGATTCTGACATGAGCTTTGACTCAATTTCCTCAATTCTCTTCTGTTTTTATTAAACACCTTCATGGCCTTTACCTCCACAGTGCTGAGCAGATCTCTGCAGAATATTTACCAGTTCTCATTACTTTGACTTGGAAGAATTTTTCCTCTCTAGGATGGCAGAAAATAGCTCTGGCCTTTAAGTTCACTCCCTAACCTAATAAGTAATGACATCCAATAAAGGTCTATTGTCTCACTTACAGGAGATAGCACATCTCCATCCCCACTTCCTGATGATTCAACCCTGGGTCAGCTCCATGGTGATGTGTGCCCTGTAGGCCACTACTGTCCTGAAGGGAGTGCAAAGCCAAGTCCCTGTCCTCCAGGTAGAAAACTATCATGTCCACAAAGAGCCTTTAAAGAAACGGAAACGGTTTATGTTTCTGTTGTCTTGATCATGCAGCTGAAATGTCTACTTTAATTTCCCTGAATGAGCACAGCCTCTGACCTCTTGCATTTTATTACACTGCCTCCAAAGGTAGTGTGCGGTACCACAAGGCCCCAGGAGGTACAGTACAATAGAGAATGTATCCAGATCTTTAAAGGAGGTTGTAAAACCTAATGGGGAGTCCAATATAACTGTCATAATGGTCAGCTAGCTGCTTAACTGAGTGGATGAATAGACCTGTCCAGGGCTCCTCGACATACCATATCTGTCTATGTGAGAAAAGAAAATTAAATAGAGTGGATATTTTTTTTCTGTGATAGTTTGTTTTCTTAATGCAGGTACTTTCTCAGGAAGGTCTGCAGCAGAGTCTGAGGCTGACTGTGAAGCTTGCTACGTGGGTTCTTACTGCCCGCTGTGGGCTCAGACCTCTGTTGACCTCCTGTGCCCCCCAGGGTGGTTCTGTCCAAAGGGATCAGTGTCTGGACATCAGCCAGGTAGAGTACACATCATCAGAGGTCAGCTCAGGTTCAGCCACTGTAGTCCATGCACTTCATCATGCTCTTTTTTTCAACAACACAGTGTCTGGTCACGTACAGTAAGTCTGGTTTCTGGACAGGGTCACTCACATAATCAGGCTTGTTAAGAGATAAGCTTCTTCTTCTTACTGTAAGAAGTGGTGCACATGTATGAGATACTACATTTTCACATAAAGAGGAACACCAAGAATATTATAAAACAGCAGAAAAGAAAAAAGAAAAAAATTAAAAATTACAAACAGCATATAGGATTGAAAGCTCTCAGCAATTTAAACATGTCAGTTTATGTTTTTTTGTTGGGTTTTAAAAACATGTACCCCTAAATCTTTCAGAACCAAAGAATTTTATGAGAAATATTTTTTTAAATTATTAAAAAAATTATTTTTATCTCATCTTATCTCATCCCATCTCATCTTATGTTATCTCGTCGCACCTTACCTTACCTTACCTCATCTTATCTCATCTCATCTCATCAATTGAAGTCAATGACAGACCACACTAGTCAGGCTATTAAGCCTCTCTGATGTCTTTGCTTTCCTTGCTCATCTAGTTCTATGATTTAGAACACCTCACCTCACCTTATCCCATCTCATCTCACCTTATCCCATCTCATCTCATCTCACCTTATCCCATCTCATCTCATCTCACCTTATCCCATCTCATCTCATCTCATCTCATCTCACCTTATCCCATCTCATCTCATCTCACCTTATCCCATCTCATCTCATCTCACCTTATCTCATCTCATCCCACCTCATCCCATCTCATCTCATCTCATCTTATCTCATCTCATCTCACCTGACCTCATCCCATTTCATCTCACCTCATCTCATCTCATCTCACCTTACCTTAACTTCCTTTACCTACCTTACCTTATCTCATCTCATCTAATCTCACTTTACCTTACCTTACCTTACCTTACTTTACCTATCTCATCTCATCTCCTCTCATCTCCTCTCATCTCATCTCATAAATTGAAGTCAATGACAGACCACACTAGTCAGATTACCAAGCCTCACTGATATCTTTGCTTTCCTTGCTCATCTAGGCTCTTGATTTGGGGTGTGGAGGTCATTTAGAGGGGAGTGGTAGAATCAGGCTACGTTGATACCTTGAGCATGGCTCTCAGAGTCTGGGTCTGTTTGCTTACAATGGCTGCTAAGGCCAAATGATATGCCCTGTAACCTATTCGTATAGAGCTAAAATCCCAGGACAGGGCTTCATTTTGGAGAGGAGGTTCTAGTGCTTATCATTTTCATAAAGGCACCTGTATCTTGTATTTATCTGAAAGATGTTTGCCTTCTGAATGCAGCCTTTCTGTTATTGCCCCCACGGATATGTATATGTTTACAAACTTTCTATTTGTACAGCATGTGAGGGGGATTTATGCCTCAGACAAGCTTTCCCCTTCCTCTTTTATCACGTGCACACACACCCACCGATTCTATAAAAGGCACACTCTTTCCCTTTTATTGCACGGATCTTTAGCTAATTTGAGCGTAAAATGGCTCAGAACCCATAAAAAGTCTATGGCTTGTGTCTGCCAGAGACAGAGTACCTGCTGATGAGCCTTTCAGCTCTCCTGCTCGCCTCCCACGGGATTTTCTTACAGGACTAATAGTGCTCAGCGTCACTCTCTTGTTCATTTCTTTGTGTCATACTGAGCATGGAAAAATACAGCTACCATGGTTTTTGTTCTGTATAAAATTCATCACATAATTGTCTTTTTATGGATGAAATCTATTAGTGATAAAATAGTCTGACATGTACATATCTTGTTTTATCTAATGAGAGATCTTTTTATGCCTCTACTGCAGGATATCAGTGCCCACCTGGCTATGCCTGCCCAAATGGTAGTGCTGATCCAACAATCTGTGGCCCTGGAACTTTTCAGTCCTCACCGGGACAATCTACCTGCGACATCTGCCCTCCGGGTAATCAGAAAAGACAAGACAAACTCTAAAATCAGAAAAAGGGTGAACGAGAGCTAATTACATTATCATGCCCAGGTTTCTACTGTATGGAGGGATCATCTGTGCCATCTCCGTGTCCAATGGGCAGTGCCAGTCCATCAGCTGGCATGACCTCTCTGAATGATTGCACCCCCTGCCCTCTTGGCTTCTTCTGTAACAGCAGTGCTCTGACAGAGCCGACTGGACCCTGCAGCCAAGGTCTGACAGTTCTCCACAGGACATGATGTCCGGCAATATAGCTTTTAAGCTTTTATTCTTCTGTTTGAGCCGCTGTTTTCTTTACATAACACAGTGCAACTTTCTTTTCATCTATTACCACAGGACATTTTTGCTCCCTGGGGTCCAGTGAGCCCTCTCCTGTCTCAAAACCTTATGGAGATGTTTGTCCCAAAGGACACTTCTGTCCTCAGGGTAGTGGGTCACCTAAACCCTGTCCCTTTGGCAGCTTTCTCCCAACGCCTGGAGCTTCCTCTTCCTCTCATTGCCAATGGTGCCCACCAGGGAGATACTGTCTGAGCCCTGCTAGCTCACAGCCCACAGGTTGGGGATTAGCATCGCTGGATGAGTACAAATGTCCAATTATCTCGAACCCAAAACATCATCCATGTTTCATGCAGCAATATTCTCCTAATTATTATACAATAATGATAATTACTATCAAAAATAATAATCAATGAAGTCAGTTATGAGTCAGGTATGATTATAAGGTCAAGATCTCATGCTTGCACCCTTTCCCTAATTCCCCTGGTTGTCAGGTTTGTGTTATGCTGGATACTTCTGTTCTGGCGGCACTAATAGCCCCTCTCCTCGGGCCAGCCCCTCCCTGTTCAGCTGCCTCTGTGAAATACTGGAGGTTTATACCACAAAGACAAGCAACGCCTTCTGGATGCACAATTTGCCCTGCTTCAACAACTCCAGTAATTCTGGTAAAATATGGTTTTCTTGACTCTGTAACAACATAGTAAATGCTTCCCTTGAAAGGGCAGTACATCAATTTCTCCAAACTCTGTAACTCGCGTTTAGCTCCTTACATGTTGTGATAAATGCCCCACAAGGCAGCAGCTTTTCAGTTTGACCTTCCCTATAAGTATTCTACGATTAATCATTGCCTCATAGTGCCACATTGTAAAAAATATCCCCTCTGCAGTCAAAACTGTGAAATCAGCTTGCAGAAAGAGTAAAAGGCTGCCTTTTTATTTCCCATCTGCAAGACAAAGATATTAACTTTGACATCTTTCATGCTTTATCTGCCATGGTCTATAATAGGAAGAGATGTCAGCTGGATCGAAGCGGTTACACCGCCGCTGGGAGATTCAGACCATATCATGACTCACTCATCGCTGTGTCTCAAGAGCCCACACTATGCATGTTCCACCTACAGAGGAGATATCTGCCCTAGAGGTGGGTTAAGCCCTGACAGTGGATTTTGTGTATACGATGGGCTATACTTTTCTGCACTCCCTCAAGCACATGTTATCTGTCCTGCACTTGACATGGTAAGCCCACTTAGTGAAATTTGCTCTGACATATGACTGATTTAATGTGATCTGTCCAGTATGTGTGGGAGGCTCCAGCTTAAATACAGATTCAGGATGAGGCTGACAGGGGTTGGTAGACCATATTGTGAACTAATCTCAAGAGTACAACAAAATACAAGCAGCACATTATCAAAGCTGATGTTATGAAAGTACAGCATTTGTTTTGTAAAACTAATTTCACTATTCCAAGACCTGGGAACATAAATGTCTGAGTTAGATCTCCCTCTTGTGTTGCTGGAGATATTTGATTGGGATTAAACATAAAAAAAACAAAAATTAAATAACAGCTCAAGTCAGATGAGTGAGGAACTTATTTAAATCCTTGCAGCAAAGTAATTGCTGCCCCCTGAAACATAAAATGACTTGTGAGTTTGCTGTGAAGAGAAAAGCAGAAAATAAAAGTGTGTGGATAGAAAGTTCAAGAAAATCCTCTTTCTCTAGAGGGAGTTTGTAAGAAACAGTAATCCTCCTGATTGGATTGTTGCTTCTGCTGATGTTAATAGCAGCAACACTTTTGTTTTTGCTCTTTTTCAGGATTTTATTGTCCCCTGGGCTCTGCTTACCCACAGCCATGTAAGTCTGGCTCTTACTGTAACCAGACTGGGCTAGATGCCCCAGCAGGGCCTTGTGCTGCAGGATATTACTGCCCTGAGGGCTCTCTAGACTCCCATGCAAGCCTCTGCCCCATTGGACACTACTGCCCCCTTGGAGCTCCTCTTCCCCTGCCTTGTCCCATCGGCACCATAAAGAGTGAGATTTAACTTTTATGTAAATACAGTTGCACTTTTTAAGCTCATCTAATGATAACTTTTTATGATTTCTGTTTGCAAGAAGGTTTCAAGCAGGAAAGTGTGCGATACTTGTGTTTTCTACCCTTCAAAAGAGAGATGAGTCAGTGATCCTCTCTGCTTTTTTTGCTCATGAATTAATGATGAACCGGTAATCAGGCACAATACAACACCTAATCCTCCTTGTTGCAGACATTGTCAGTTTTCCTTCTTTATGTCCTTACATGAACTTTTGTATCTCCTCGCAGTTCAGTGATGCAGAGAAATGCAAGAGGGCCTTTTCTTCTCCCTTTGGCACCTATGAATAATTTCAATAACAAAGTGGTTTAATCGCGTAATGGTATTCCTGTCTTGCGGCTGACAACTCGGATCCTATTAAAATGTGCTGTGGTTTCTTTGTATGGTTATGAATTAGTAACCCATGAGGAAACAGGTATGCAATCGTATTTTGTTGACATGCAGTTTGGATCAGTGACTTTGTTTGTCTGCTGGCCGACTGACAGTGCACTTGGTCTCATGGCCAAAACACCAAACTAGTTCAAACTGATGCATTTGTATTTATTTAATAATTCTCCCACATGTGTACTGTGCGCTTTCCAACAGGTTTCCTTGGCGGATCTACAGTCGAGTCTTGCCAGCTGTGTCCTGCAGGTCACTACTGCCACCACAGAGGAAAAGCTGAGCCAAGCGGCCGGTGTGCAGAAGGTTACTACTGTCCTGAAGGACAGAGCTCAGAGACACCACAACAACATTTGTGCTCAGTGGGACATAGTTGTGAGAAGGTCAGTCTTCTAGTATTAGTCCTAAAGCTACTGTCAGTCATCCTTACTGAATATTACATGTGATGCCTCTGCAGGAGTCCTCCTCTTCAGCTGCGGGTTCATTCTGTCTCGGCAATTGCATTATTATATACCATAAGGCGATTGTTGTGTGCTTCCTGTTTTTCTCAGCTGTCGCTCTACTCTCCTCTTGTTGTCTGTCTCAGTTCCTACAGTTTTTGTTGCTGCATGATGATGTCTGCTGATGCATGTTATTCCCCAGATATGAAGTCTAATAAAATCACTTTAACGCTTCAGGGTAGTGTCAATCAGACAGCCTGCCTCCCAGGCAGCTACCAGCCCAGACAAGGCCAGGGCAGCTGTGAGACTTGCCCTGCTGGTTTTTATTGTCAGAATCAAGGTACAGCTGATACCTTGACTTTTCATTGAATTATCAGAAAAAAATTGTATTCTTGCACACAAATATACTTTGTTTTATCTGTTCACCAGGAATGACCCTTCCAAGTCTGTGCGGAAGAGGATTTTATTGTTCCAGCGGATCAGCAAATCAACGTCCCTGTCCAGAGGGGACGTATGGAAACGTATCAGGACTTGCGGAGGAATGGCAGTGCTCGCTGTGTGACCCTGGGATGTACTGTAAAGGGAAAGGTGCCATGCATGTTATACTTTTACACTTACTTCTTATGTGTTTCTCAGAGATATCTATAATGCCAGACAGCTGCTGTATATGTTCAGTCATAAATCACAGAAAAATTGAATGTCTCGTTTTTTGATACGGTGATAAAATTGTTGCTTTAATACCGTGTGTTCGTAGGAGGGACCTTCCCTAGAGGGCTGTGTGCTGCAGGTTATGTTTGTGTTGGGGGAGCCTTCACACCTTCTCCACTTGATGGTGTGACTGGATTTCTCTGCCCTCCTGGCTTTTACTGCTCTGAGGGGACGTCTGTACCAAAACCCTGTCCTAAAGGAACATACAGGTCTATATTTTACGATATCCTTACTTACTTCCAGACAATTTATATGATAAAAAAGCATATAAACGCTACAGCATTATTAAAAATTGTGACTAAACATTACTCTCTGTGCAGCTTGTTGTTAAGTTGACATTTTAAGATCCATTTCAGATCTGCAGACATTCAAACAGGCAGTGATCCATGTCCACCTTAATGCTCATTAATATGAAACATAACCACTAGATGAAACATGAGCTGTAATGTGGGTTGAATTGTTTGAGGTAGTGGCAAGTAGTTCCCCTCAGTGAAATAATACTGAGCAATTAGTGTCCAAATGACGTGAAAGTACTTGACAACTTCTGTGGTTTACGCTAAACAGAACTGCACATGTTTTGACAGTGAGCAGAGTGGGCTTGTGGATGAGTCTCAGTGCCATAGCTGCAGTCCAGGCTTCTACTGCTCGGAGAGCGGCCTCTCCGCAGTCTCTGGGCCCTGCCTGCCAGGTCAGGCGTCACACTGAGGAATCAGTTGTGCTACTCTGGGGCGCTATACTTTCTCATGTAAGAGTGCTGCTTTAAAAACTATTCACTGAAGTGTCTTCCCTCAGGTTTCTACTGTCTGGAGGGGTCTCAGACAGCCACTCCAATATCAAATGTATCTGGAGGGGTTTGTCCGAGAGGCCACTTCTGCACAGAGGGCACAGATGTTCCCTCCCCTTGCCCAGCTGGCACCTTTCAAAATGAGACCGGGGGAAAAGGCATTGATGACTGCAAACCATGTCAACATGGTAAACAAAAATTTCTCAACTCAAGTCTACAAACCAACTTTAATTTCACAATCTTTCACCCTCTCAGAAGATGTTTTCCCCTTTGAATGTCTTTGCCAGGCTGGTTCCAGGATTTATCAGGACAGAGAGAGTGTCACCCCTGTCCTCCCGGGTTTGTCTGCAAGTCCCCAGGTCCCGGTTCCACTAGGGGGAGCTCTACAGGGATTTCTAGTCCAATGCCTTGCCCTCCTGGTTACATCTGTCCAAGAGAGAGTCCAGGGAGTCCACCTCTGTCTTGCCCCAAAGGCACCTACAGCCCAAGACAAGGTCTTACCAACATAGGTAAAAAAAAGAGCCTTTTCTAAAATTGAGAAAATAATGTAAGTAATTTTTTTCAGCAGTTTCACCTTTCCACAATAAAACCAGATATTTTGAAGACCTAGACACCAAATGTTTTGCCTTTGTAAAGGACACAAACAGTGCGATTGTCCCAAAGTCACCATGATTGATCTCTCCTGGCAGACAGCTTGCTTTGCTATTTGGACTGGGGTCAAAGTTGTCAATGTGTGTTTGCAGGTGAGTGCCTGCTGTGTCCCACGGGTCAGTTTTGTGGGTCCGAGGGTTTGGTGGCGCCATCAGGTGCTTGTGCTGCTGGCTTTCTCTGCCTGATGGGTGCAACAGTGCCGAACCCGACTGACAACAGCACTGGATCTTTGTGTCCCCCTGGAGTTTTCTGCTTTCAGGGACTAAGAGCAGGTAGATTGAAAACACACCATGTCTTTGAATGAAAAAGTTGTTTGTGAATAAGCTAAGTGTCTCATTTTTGCCACGAAATCCTCAGTGTGAAAGTGTTGTTTTCTGTCTTTGCTGCAGGTGTGTGCTGGGCTGGGTTTTATTGCAGCTGGGGCTCAAGCAGGGCAGACGAAGCTCTTTGCCCAGCTGGTTTCTTCTGCCCCCGTGGGACGCAATTTCCTGTGCCATGTCCTGCAGGAACATTTAGCTCTCACACAGGCAACTCACACCAAGAAAACTGCACCACCTGTACCCCTGGATACTACTGTCAAGGTAGAGTTATCTCCTGCAAAAAAGAGCAGGACAATTTTCTTCAACAGTCTATCAACAATCACACAGGGAGGACACACTTGGGAGGTAGGAAATGCAATTTGTTTTCCAGCTGTAGCCACAATAAATTAACATGCAGCTCAGGATAAGGAAAGGTTGCTTTAACAAGGTACACTGCTATGATCACAGACACATCAAAAGGACACAAAAGCTTATCTAGATAGATACTGAGCATCCATATGCTCGCTTTTTATTAAAAGCAGCAAATTCACACTTTTTCCACAGGGATTGTCCAAAAGGATTCAGGGAGCCACATGGTTATTTCTAATTAAAGCAGAGCTGATATACTTGGGGGTACAATGAGGACAGCTTATTGAAGTTACACCGTCCTTTATCTCTGCTCATCTAACTGACAACTGGTTTCATAAAGTCCACTTCTTTAATTACGCAGCTCAGTCTTATCTCGCCACGAGTTGGTGACATTCAAAGTGATGAAAACACCCTTCATTTTACCTCCATTAATCATGTCTTTTTGATGTTGCCCAGTTGAAGGTACTGTGCAGCCTACACTGTGCCCCGTTGGATACTATTGTCCTGCAGGACTGACTCTGGGGCTGGAGTTCCCCTGCCCACCTGGCACTGTGCAGAACCAGCTGGGAGCCTCTGGTCCTGAGGCCTGCCTGCTGTGCCCTGCTGGTACTAAAAGCATGAATGACCTGTACATGAGCAGAAGTTACCTTGATTATACCTGTGAAACAGCTTTAGCACAGTCAAAGCACTGTAATTAAAATCTTAAAGGTAATATTTTTAAAATCTTTTTTTTCTTCCCTGCAGGAACTTTCTGCTCTCATCCTGGTCTGTCAGAGTCAACAGGACTCTGCGAGGCAGGATACTTCTGTCCCGCTGGATCAACAAGTCCTAACTCCACCGAGTATCAGGTCTGCATGTATCATTTGTTGTCTTCATGTCTGTCTTTCTACAAACTTCTCTATCTCACCTTTAAAACTACACAACTGGGGTTTCTGCTTGTAAAAAAGGAGTAAGCAAATGTAGCTTAAGTTTTTGCTCATGGTGGATTTACATTGGTTTTTTTTTTTTTTTGACTGATTTCATAAGAAAGGCTCCTCACCAAAACAAAAAGAAAGAGAGAGTATATTACCATTTGAGCCTCCATCCACTGGCTCCCAGGTAACTTTAGAGTTGATTTTATGATCTTAATGATGAGTTTTAAAGCACTATCTGGACTTGCCTCCTGAGTACATTGCTGATCTCCTCACGTCTTTCGAGCCTTGTTGCACTCTGAGGTCCTCAGCCATGGGTCTGCTGACCATTCTACAATTCAGTAGGGGAACCACTTCCACTCCTTGGAGAAAAACTGCCCATACCATCAGTGTTGTTGTGTGTGCGCGCGCGCCCGCGTGTGTGTCTGTGTGTTGGAGGAGCACAGCAGGCTGATGAGAGCTGTCAGAGCGGACTGAAGCTGCTCCTATATGTTTAGCGTTTAACTGACTGAATTTTGCAACTCTGTTCGTCGTTTTCGTCTCGTCCCGTCAACGTAAACGCACTTTCGTCTCGTCACATTTTAGGTCTTACGTCTTCGTCGTGGAAGAAAAGGGAAATATTTTCGTCAACGAGAACAACACTGGTTGTTTTCGTTGACGAAAATATTTCCCTTTTTTGACGCTGACGTTGACGAAAATATTTGACGAAATATGACGAAAACAACACTGCATACCATCAGACTGGCAATTTCCGTAACCTCTTATAAAACTTGTTTAAAAACTAATATTTCTAAGTGTGTGTGTTTTTTTTTTACAGGATATGAGTTTTTAAGTTTTTAGTTTCAACTTATATCTGTTGCTTTTGTCTTTGCTCTTTTTCACCTTTTAACTCACTAAAAGTGCTTTTATTATTATCATTTTATCCGAAGAATCTATATTTCAGTCATGTATCTGTGAGAAATATCAAATCCGGCATGTGCTAGATTGCCTGAACACAATTGTTTAATGCTCTACTTGTGATAAAGCCTGTAATTCTTCTAATGGCACAGCTAGCTTAAATGTCAGCCTTGTTTACAAGAAATTAAATCCAGCAGCATGCACAAAAAAATCCACTTGAGTTATCAGTGACGCACTAAGGATGAACCCTCCAGTGCAGCTGTCGAGGCCTAATTCCCACGAGCACATACAGACATAAAACCGAGCTTTGACTGTGTTATGATTTTGAGTGAACACGTATCTGCTGTCCTTGTTTGTCACTGTGTAAGCTGTCCTCAGAACTCCCTAAAGGTAAACATGTCAACCTCAGACACACATTGATTAATCAAGCAGAAATATTGCTGTATTGCTCAGCACATTTATAGACTAAGAAGAAGTTGTTTTGCTGTCATGACCTCATATCCTTTAGCCATCACATTTGCAGTCACACCACAAGCTCTGAAGTCACTGTGCTTTGTGCCCATTTTATGATGTTGTGTGTTATGACCATTTCAGTCTCTTGAGTTCAAAATACCTTCAAGGCTTTTGGTTATTAAAAGTTCACAGTTTTGTTCATTAGTGTCATTATGTTTATATTTTCTTTCCTTATCTTAGGGGAATTCTACCAAAAGCCATCTCTGTCCTTCTGGTCACTTTTGCCCCCCTGGCACAGGCCACCCTCTCCCCTGCCCCAAAGGCTCTCTTTCCATTTCCAGAGGCCTGAAGAGAGAAGACGACTGTCCGCCTTGCCCCCGCGGTTTCTTTTGTGACAGGCCTGCAATGAAAGAGCTATTAGACGCTCTCCCGTGTCATGCTGGGTAAACACATCTGCTCCTCTGCTTGTTTTGTTTTCAATCTCAGCGCTCTAGGAGTAAACTCTCTCTCATCTTTATTTGTTCCACAAAGTGCAAGGGAGCTGTTTCCCATTAAAACTGTATTTCTCTACACTCTCTTCCAAGTACTTTACTTTATTGCATCAAAGTATCGTATTGTATATATGTATGACTGAAAAAGAACAACTAGAACTGACAGCAACATTTCCGCTGCTCAAAATCAGTTAAAAACTGTCACACGCAGAGATCACAAAATCAGACATAATTAAGGGCAGCAGATGCCTTTTACTGAAGTGTCTCCTGTGCCTCAGCAGGAGAGGGGAGCAGGTGCCTTCAGCTGGACAAGAGTCATAATTAAAGCACTTTGTTTATTCCTACACGTGGTTGCCAATATCCTCTGCAATAAAAGGACAGCGCTAAACCCATTTAAAGCACCTGTGGCACCTCGTCGTGGCTGTCGATCCTTCAAGAGTTTGTTTCCTATTTCATTTGAGAGCTTTAAATTAGAAAACCTGAAAGGAATTAATTCAGCTGTCTTCAAAACACTTTTGACTTCAAAAATGTTATATTCATCTTTTCAATCATGGATATTTAAAAAAGCGCTAAACATTTGCAACCATCAGAACCTGAGAATCTTTCCATTTATTACCTCCATCCTCATTAATTTTCACATTTTTCAGGTGTCATTTGAACTTCCAGCATTAAAAATAACACCTCTAGTATAAATGTGCCACTGCAGTCATGTAAACAGTCAATGTTGATGTAGTTTTATCACTGTCAGTTTTTCCAACCTCTCCTCTGGCAGCTTGTAGAGATTACTGTGATATACAATCAGCTCTTACAGTTTTTTGCCTTAAGGTATGTATGCTCGAGTGGCAGCTCCAGTCCCACTCCAGCTGCCAGTTCCCATGGCTACCTCTGCCCTGCTGGCCATCGCTGTCCTGTTGGCTCAGCAAACGAGGTGCCCTGTGAGCCTGGCACTTACAGTCCTGCTCCAGGAGCAGCCCACTGCTTATTATGCCCCAAAGGGAACATGTGTTCCTCTTCAGCTACTCAAGAGCCCTCGATCTGCCCAGCTGGTGAGGACAAAAAAAATGAACTCTCTTCTCAGTATGATTCACTTTAGATCCATATTCCGGCTGTAATTATTAATTTAACTTGTAAACCACGATTAACTCGACTGATAAATACTCTTTTCAGGTCATTTTTGTCCCACTGGGACAGCCCTGCCTCAGCCCTGCCCTTTAGGGACTTACAGCAACCAGACAGGAGCTCAGTCCCCATCTGCCTGCTCATCCTGTCCTAGTGGGATGTACTGCAGCTCATACGGAGCCTCAGCACCACAAGGTGTCCACAGCCAAAACTCTCTTGGCATTGTTTTATCTTTTTAGTCAAAAAGTTCAACAATGAAATGAAAATCAACAACTGTTTCTTTGGTTATTTTCTAGGCTTTTGTTTGCAGGGTTTTTTCTGTGAAGGTGGAGCCATGGAGCAAACACCACAGAGCTCTGAAAGCTTCCCCGGGAATGGACTTTGTCCTGTAGGCCACTACTGTCCAGCAGGGTGCCTCTCTCCAGTTCCTTGCCCTCTTGGCAGCATTCGCAACACCACAGGTACGCCTGCTGTAAGAACTCATCATTAAATGGGTTTTTATTTTCTACTGAATAATGAAATATCAATGTTAGGTCTACTAGTGTTGTGTCATTCGTGAATGATTCGTTCAAAAGAATGAATCTTTTCAGTGAACGTACAGAACCGAATCACTTCCTCAAGAGATTGGTTCGTTTCTCAGTTCAGTTGAGCTGTCAGAAGTGAAGCTTCCACAGCACGCAGTATTGCTAGGCGAGCAGCTAGCGAGTCGCTGCAGGGAGGGAGGGACGCCTGAATCACTTGGTGAAGGAATCACTCAGTGAACTCCACTTTCTGGGATCATTTTCGTCTGAAGGATACACTTTGGCGACCGTTGTATAACAAACTTAAAACGTTTGGCGGGCAGTAACGAGAAGAGAGTGAGACTCACCAGCTGTAGCAAGCTCTTGACAGGACCGGCGGAGGGAGAGAAGTATGAGTTGTGTTCAAGTGAACTTTTTTTTTTTTTTTAAACTTGAACCGTTCAGCTGTGTATCAGTTCACGAAGTAAGAGTAGCAGGCTCCTTCCGCCCAGCGCTGAATGATTCAGTGAGCAAATCTTTTGAACGATTCTTTTTAGTGGACTGATTCTAACGGTTCAGTACATCTAAATGAATTGCCGTACCCATCCTTAGGGTCTACATCTCTATGTACCCTTTCTTTTCTGTGTTGTTGTAGGAGGTGTGTCCATGGAGAGCTGCTCTGCTTGTCCCGCAGGTCATTACTGCTCCACTGAGGGACTGTCCAACCCCAGTGGGCCCTGTGCTTCCGGTTTCTTCTGCCCGTTTGACTTCTCTTCAGCCACTCCATATGCCTTCCTCTGTCCCAAGGTGACGTCTATTCATACACTTATTTGTCCCTCTTCCTCTTTATTCTGTCCTGAATTCCCTCCCTCTTTCCTATTGTTCCTCCTGTTTTCTGACACTTTATCTCCTCCAGGAGTTTGTCCTGTGCTCTGTATTATTAGTATCCTATAGCATTAAACATCATACATTCTCTTGTAGGGACACTACTGTCCAGAGGGCTCTGCTCTGGCCCTGCCTTGCCCCACAGGAGAGTACCAGCCAAACCCGGGTTCAGATAGCTGCATACCGTGTCGACCTGGATTCTACTGTGAGGAGGCCATAGTGGGAGAGCCATGGCCCTGCCCACCACACTCCTTCTGCCCTGCAGGTACTCTGATAACAGATCAGAATCTGAATCAGAAATACATTAATAATCTCCAGGAGGAAATTGCTATTAGTTACAGTAACTCCAGAGCAAATAAAGTAGAAAGAGGAGATATGTAATAGATAGAATAAGTAAAATAAGTAAAAATAGAGATAAAAAGATAAAATAGGTAAAATAAGTCAAAATGAAAAGATAATATACATGTACACTATATACAACACAAAATAGTGGGCATATAAACAGTAAGTAGAGTCCAAGTAAAGACTACTGACTGTGGGTGTCAGAGTCACTGAGGGAGGAGTTAAAAAGTCTGATGACCACCGGCAGGAAAGATTTCCTGTGGTGCTCCGTGGTGCATCGTGGAGCGAGGAGCCTTCTGCTGAAGGTGCTCCTCTGCATTTCATCAAAGATGATGGAAACTTTGATGAAATATTTTTATAACTATAAGAAAGGGGGAAAAAAAGACATCACAATCATGACTTTGCTCGGTATTTCATCAGGGAAATCATAGGTCATACAAAGTAATTAATCTTCTCTTTTCTACTGTATCTTTTTATAGGTACCATGGTGCCCCAGCTTTGCCCTAATGGGACTTACACACACTCAAACCAAGGAGGGCTTCAGGAAGAGAGAGAGTGTTTACCCTGCCCACCGGGGAGGTTCTGCAGGTACACTGTATGCATCCAAACGCTCTCATATGTGCACTCCTCTCACTTTTACAAACATGCAAAAAACACAAAGAGATGCAAATTAGCACTCATGCTCACACATTCAGGCACATGCTCAAAGGCAGGCACTCACCTCTGTTTTAATTATACTCCTAATTAGCAACATGCAGGTGTATTTCATGTTCAGGAGTCACGGTTCATGGAACAGCCGAATCAACACCTTCATATGCATGAAGATAATGAATGTAGATATGAGGTGAAGATGTTGGGAATTGTGTAATCCTCATTCTGTTTACCTAATGAACCATGCATTTTGATGTCTCCTGTGGTCTAATGGTCTTGTGTTTGTGTGGTATTTTTGTTTGCTCACATACAGAGAGAGTTGTTTTTTTTTAATCAATAGTCTAATCCTGAATTTTTATCTTTAGGGCTGGAAGGATCCAGGGTTTGTGTGCTGCAGGGTATCTGTGTGTGTCTGGGAGTGCAGAGTTCACCCCTCTGACACCAGAGTTTAACCTGACCCAGTGTCAGTGGGGCATGCAGTGTACTGGACCTTGTCCTCCAGGTATAACACAACCCCTTCTCTGTGTAAAGCTGTCTATGATAAATATTTAGTATGATGCATTGTCTCTGTAACTTTTTTCATACTTTCTCTGACTCTTGAGATAGATCCTCTGCAACTTTTCAACATATACTGCTATTGATTTGATCTTTTAACTATTTAAAATGTTGTTTACACCAAGAGTATTTCTTCGACAGGTTTCTACTGCCCTGAGGGTGCAGAGAAAGCGCAGTCATGTCCTGTAAACACTATCAGAGTCTCCCCGGGGGGTGCCAGCCCACAGGACTGCTCATCCTGCCCACCTCAGTATTGGTGCAAACCTGGTATGAGCTGATAATGGACTTCATGTTTGAGTGTTTTGGAGCCTTTTTGAAGGTGTCCAGTTTTTGTGGTTCAATATACTGTTGTGATGTATTGAAAAAAATAGCAGAGTTTGAGACAAACAAACATTTTGAGGCTATGTAAGTAAGTCAAAGAGAGAGAAATAGAGAGAAGCCTTTCTCTCTATTGCTTTGGATATTTTACATTGCTTACTTTCAAGACAGTCAGTAGCATTAATTCATGTGTCTCATGTGTAAGTTGCAGAGAACGAGGATAAGCCTTGAGAATATTTGACGAAGCTGAGGTTTATAGAGTTAACCTACCAGAAATTTAGCCAGAGGCAAGTCCTCACTTTGGCCTGCTCAGTAATCAATACAGTATTGAATCAAAATTATCAAGAGATATGAGAGAGCATGGAAAATGTAGCATAAACCTCTCCTTTTAAATATAGCTAATACTTTTCGCCTCTTAACTTTTAGCATGTGTGTGTCCGCAGGAGACCCAGTCCTTCATCTGTGCCCTGCTGGTCATTACTGTGATGGTCTGCCTGATAGTGATTTCATCAGAGGATCAGGTCCTAGGCCTTGTCCTCTGTACACCTATCGAGTTTCCCCTGGAGCAGGCAGCAAGGGTGACTGCCTACCATGCCCTGCTGGTTTCCTCTGTAACAGCACAGGTCTGATTCTCTTCAGCAAACAGACAGACACCTGCAACCTCATTAAAATATGAACTGCAATGAACTATAGAAATAAAAAGTTCCTCATAGTGAGTCCCTATAAATATAACTGTTTTCCACTTTCCTTCTCCTACTTTGTGTGCCTTCTGTTATTTTTTCCTTTGGTGGGTTGAAACTTAAATTTGCAAGGACAGATAAAGAGAAAAGTCCTGCTAGCTATTAATTTCAGTTTGTATGCACACTATTATACGAGCCCCTGACTCTGGGCGTGAGATAAGAGAAAAGGAGGTGATTGAAAAATTGGTGATACCCCAAGCTGCTGTAATAATTTAGGGGTGGATTTACAAAAAAGTGTGGGGTTACTTTCTCTAGTGTTTAAATCTCAGCAGATGGTCTCCCCTCATCTTCCCACCTCTGGTTAGTGGTAAACCACAATCACAGCTCCTTAAGAAAGATCAATTACGACCATAAGTTGGAACCTTTTCAGTAAGACTAATGGTTATATGTTCTTCATTAAAATACGAGTGTGTGTGGATGATGATGCACAGGTTTCTAAAAAGCTATTGTTTTCTAGGTCTGACTGACTACTCCAGCTGGCCATGCCCACCTGGTTTCTGGTGCAGTGGGACAGGACCCCTCATCCTCTGCCCCGCAGGCACCAAGAGGCCCCTTCCTGGAGCTGCTGCACCCAGTCAGTGTGAACCATGCACAGGGGGAACCTTCTGCCCCGATCCTCAGCTTACAGGAAAGCCCAATGTGGAAGGGATCCCCTGCAGGGCCTCGTTTGAATGTCCTGCAGGTGGGTTTATTGGCACATCTTACAGCATAAACTTAGTATATTAAGTCCGGTATATATGCAATGACTTTCAGTCCTTATTCTAATAAAGCCTCTCTCCCTGAAGGCAGTAATAAAGTTCAGCTGTAATGAGTGTTTTGTTCATGTTCCAGGTGCAGTCTCAGAGAAGCTGTGCAGAGCCGGTTCATACTGTGGACCTCAGACAGCTGAGCCTCCAGTCTGTCCTGAAGGTTATTTTTGTCCAGAGGGATCCCAATCCTACCACGACCCCAAACAACAGTGAGTGCATGAAAGTTTAAAGTAACTGTCAGGGTATTTTTGTGCTTTTTTAATAGAACAATAGAGATGTATATAAAATACATATGGACCAACGATGGCCACAGCACTGCCTCAGACCTGGCAAGAAAACCAATATCTAGAAAACTGATGTTTTAATGAGAGGCACTAACTGACTCACTGTAAGTTAAAGCTTTATAAATAACCACGTCACTCTGCCCCACAGATGCCCATTCCCCTATTACTGCCCAGCAAACAGCTCCGGCATGAAGTCATGCCAAGGGGGATCCATGCCTGTCAATGCCAGTGGGCTCAGAGGGTCCAAAAGCAGCAGCTGCAGCAAATGTAAGGGGGGGACCTATCGTCCACACCTCTCCCCAATCCTACATTGCCTTCCATGCCCTGCTGGATACTTCTGCCTCCCAGGTATTTGACTTACTGCCTCATATTACTTCAGATATCATTTTTTGTCTAGTCATTCATGCCTCTTAAATCCAAACAATGTATGAATTTATTTTGATCCCTCAGGTACAGACCAATATGGAAGTAATGCTTGCCCTGTGGGTTATGTCTGTCCTGTGGGATCCACCCAACCAATACCCTGTCCACCAGGCTCCTTTGGTAACCTCACTCATGCTAAGACGACGGGTGAGTGTCACCCATGTCCAGCTGGAACCTTCAACCACTTGCCCGCACAAAAGGCCTGTTTTCCCTGCGGCAGCTCCTCCACCTCAGTAGCAGGTTTGATCCTCAAAGATGTTCCTCAGATCTCTGATGATACTTCTGAAATGCTGATTTTCACACTTTTAAAAGCCTTTTTTTCCTCGTTGGTACAGAGAAATATCCTCACTTCACACCTCTTCACTCAGGTTCCTCTTCTTGTACCTGTATCGGTAAGAACCGTGCATTCCAGCACTCGGATGGTTCATGTTTGTGCAGAACTGGTTTTATCTTCTACAATGAACTGGATTTGAAAAGCTTGATGTCAGACAGTGAGTTTGACTGCCAACCTGAGGTGAGTAGAAGATCAAAACTCAAAGTTTCTCCCTGAGTAAAATTATTTCTTTTGGTTACGATAGTTTTTGCAAGAGCAGATTGAAGTCTGCAGGTCTGTTTCTATGCAGTTATGAAGCCTGAGATTTCTTACAACTAAAGTCAAGGTTTAAATGCAGAAGTATTTAACCGCTAGCTGTAAAATATGATGCAGTTCATACATCAAAAAGGGAACAAACTCCAGCAGCCCTCAGGGTTAAGCACCACAAACAGATTATCAACCACAAGAATGCATGGCACGACAGTGACCTTACTGAAAAAGCAAGCTGTTTACTCCGTTTTTTCAGCAGATTTTGATATTAGAATAACACTGTGAAATATTCCTCTGTACATGTTTTCATTCACATATGATGTAATGAGTTGCAAGGTCTGCATGTTTGAAGTCCTTTCAGATGTTAGGTCATTGGGTTTGTGTTTTTAAGGTGAACAAAAGGTGTACCACAGGGCAAGTTCGTCTGGCAGCGTCTAGAGACTGTGTATCGCCCTCCCTTCATTCCTGTAATATCACCTGTGGACCACATGGAGGAACTCTGGATGTGGAGATGGGCATGTAAAAAAAACTAATCATTTTCAATGAAAGTTTACAACATAGTTCTATTATATAATGACCTAAAAAACTTCAAATTTTGGTTCAGGGTTCCATATACTGTTGTTTTTTTCCCCTTTCTGTCTTCTCTGGCTGGTCCTGATGCTCAAAAGCTGTCAGTGTGAGCGGTATGTGTCTGCTGAGGAGCTTTGCAACACTTCCTGCCTTTCTAGGCTGCCTCAACTCTCCGCTGAGATATCGACAGATGGCAACCTGCAACTCAGCTTCAAAGAGAGAGACAGCATGCAGTGGGTCAGGGTAAGGGAGAGTGGATGGGGATATTGACAAATTGATGATTTGCTGTACCTGACCAGAGTTCTGATTTTTTTTCTTACTGGTTCACCAAAAGTCCCGTCATTTTCAACCAGTTTCATCATTTATGGTGTGAATGTGCTACTGTCTGTCCCAGTAAGGACCTGGATATCAGTGCTGAGATCAATACTGAATGTCCAGTACCTCTTTTCAACACATTTACAACTGGCTAAAATACAGTATCAACATCACCATGTCAGCAAAAGTATTTTTGTTATAATTTTGATTTTTTTTTTCCATTTGGGGTGAAAAGAGGATGACAATGGTGATTGTGATGGTATTTCTCCAAAGTAATTTTTTTCATTTTGCCATAAACAAACAAAACTATTGTGCTTTATTGACTGTTAAATGATAACAGGAGGGTTTAGAAATCTCCTTTATGGGGCATTTTAAGCGACATCTGCTGCAGAAGACATAAAAAGCAGACTATGCATGTGCAGGCGTTTCGGTTGTGCAGCTCTTACTTCCCCGGTAGAAAAGTCAAATCCAAAACTGGTGTTTCAGTGCTTTTTGTTGGTGTCAGTGATGCATTGTTGTCAAATCATTCAACTTAACTTAACTCTACTCAAACTTGATTTATAGAGCACATTCAAAACAACTGGGGTTGACCAAAGTGCTGCAAGGATTTAAAGTAGTAGGGATGATGAAAGTGACCCATACAATGCAGCAATTACAATAAATAAAATGAAAACTAAATACACAAACACAGTGCTATAAAATGGAATAAAAGAAATAAAAATTAAGTTAAAATTTTGCCATCAGTCCACTTGAACTCGATTAAAAGCCAGGGAATAGATACGTGTCTTTGGGGAGGACTTAAAAACCTTTATCTGCCTAGGGGCCGCCGCCACGAAGCCTTGGTCATCTTTGCTTTTTAGCTTCATTTTAGGGAATGACCAGTAGCTGCTGATTAGAAGATCAGTGTTCTGGCAGCCACAACGAATAAAGGGATTGGACTCAATAGTTATCCCTATCAGTATGTGTGAGACTGATGAATAGAGAAAAATGGTTTAAACATTTTAATTGAATTAACATTTACAAAAATGGAATAAAAAACACTTTAAATTCAGATTTGAACATCTCTTTAGCAAACCAAATAAAACCATGAATGTGTCTTTCGAGCAATAAGGAAAAAAAAAGAAAAAGAAAATACTTTTTTAAAAACAGATTTCCAACAGTTTACATGTCTCTATATTTTTTCAGTCAAGACTGTGTAAACCAGAGAGCATTTTAAATGTACTTTTTGATATCTTGTCATTTTTCCCTTGCTTTATTGAGTGTGCTTTGGTTTTGTGATGGATAGGCAGTTCTAATTTATCACGCGTCTGTCTACTGTCTACCCCCAGACTGTCGTGAATGTTTTAGGACCAGATATCCATGCCAAGAATATGGGTAAAATCTATTTGGTTCAGTTTGAGCCTGAAGGGGTGTTCGGTTGGATTCCCACACAGAGACATCTCATCCATCAGTTCCTGTCAGGTGATTTGACAGGACTCGTTATGCATTATTATTGTATGTTTTCTACAGGAATGGGGTTGAAATTGTTGCGTAAAACCAAAACATGTCAATATTTCTTCACCTTTATTTAGATCCATCACAACTCCATGATGCAAGATCTGCAAAAAAGAGCAGAGAAGCAAACCATGATGGCAAAGATGCAGACTCATTTGTTCTTCCTCGTATTCCCAACCCCATCACTTGTTTGACTGCTGGTGACATGCTGATTTTCCACCTCACCATCAACCAAACTGGTACAATAAGTTTAGCTGACTATCATTTTGTATAACTATGTCAGTGCGGTGAATTTAAGCTGCTAACTTCTTCCTCCTTTTGTTTCAATAACTGAGACCGCCGCCGTAGCCACTTCCCGGTGTATCAGAAAGATCATCTGTTTAACAGTAACCCTAGCTGGGATTTTGGCGCCTTCAGACATCTTGAGACTCTAATGAAACAGACTAACTTCAACTCCACAAGGTACTTTTGAGTTAATACTGCAGGTAGAAATTTTTTGATTATACATTTTGCATGCTTGTCTCCTCTTTTTCACAAATTATTTTCCTTTTCCTTCCTTTTGTCAGGTTTGCACATGTGTTCATGGAAACAGGGAAGTATGTGTTTGTGGACAGCGCTGTCCCAGAGTGGAGTTTGGTGGTGGTGGTCAGCGAGGAGGGGACAGAGTGCGACCCTCGGGCGTCTATCTTCCAGCCAATGACGCCGACACAGCTGGTCAAACACGGGATTGTCAAGCAGCACAAACTCAACCTACTACCTGACTGGGGAGTGATAGCAGGTGTGAATCTTACCGTCTTACTCAGTGTTTTATCCTGCATGTTCAGTATTGATATGAGTTACCCCTTTCCTTTTATCATACCAACTGTTTGTAGGGATTCTGGGTCTGCTGCTGGTTGTAGTTGTGGTTCTGACCACCACAGTGCTGGTTCTGCGACCTGGAAAGACAAAGCTCATCTCTCAGTGGAAGCATAAGCCAAAGTGGCGCAGCCTCGGGGAGCCCATCTGTCCAGTGGACTGTGTTTGCAGCGCAGACAGGTCTGTTAACTTGACTTCACAGTAATGGTGTGTTTCATCTTCACTTTAACACACTGTTGTTGGAGTTTCTTGTGGCACATATGTCTGTACTCCGTCTATGCTTTAAATTAAAGCCCTTGCACAATCTTTTTTTTAATTTAAGCTTCTCTATATTGACTATTTCAAATAACATGAGATCTGTGTTAAATGTGTTTGTGTTTTAGCATAGCTGTCCCAAGCCAAGGTGGCTTCCTTGGCAGTAGGGGTGTAGGAGAGGGAGCAGAGGCTGAGGAGCCCGCTGTGACTAAAGGAGGTATGGTCACTGTTTATAACCAAGTGTCCAAGCCTAACACCAGAGCATGATACATCCATTTAAGAAATGTAGAAGTAGGAATAATGACTGAATATAATGGTTAGAAATTTTATTCTGTTTGAAACTGAAATGGCAACAGTTTGATCCACAATTTGATCTTCTCGTCTTTGATAAAAGATGACAGTAACAATGATGAAAAGAAACAGCTGTAAAAAAAAAAAAAAAAAAGTAGAATCTAGGCCCACTGTCCTGCATGTTTTGGATTTTTCCCTGCTCCAACACACCTGATTCAAATGATCAGCTCGTTATTAAGCCATTACAGAGCTTGATAACGAGCTGATTATTTGAATCAGGTGTGTTGGAGCAGAGAAACATCCAAAACATGCAGGACAGTGGGCCTCGAGGACTGGACTTGAGAACTACTGGCTTAGAGGACCTGGGACACACACATGCACTCCAATCCTTCTTTGGCACAGTCACACTTGCACTGCAGATGCAACAAGGGACCGATAATTTGAGCAAACAAAAAATAATTACCCCCCTCTTGAATTGAAGGTGTAGTCATGGGTTACCAATTAACTGACAGCTATCGATGACCTCTCACACCTATGCCCTGACCAGTTCCCACTTTGTTGCTCAGAAATACACCCAAAGTGCAATCCTAGCCAGACAAGCAGCCAAGAGAAAAACTCTGACATGTCAAGGTCTTTTTGTTTTCCTCTGTGATGCATTCAAGTGTATCTGACAGGACATGATTGTCCGCAGACAGTGAAATGATTGAACACATGTAACAAAAAACAACTTGAATTGTTTATACTAACATCAAAATCAGCTTGGAATCAGTCAGCAGTTGACAAATCCATCTTTGAGACCATCTTTTAGAGATGATTGACACCCGAAAGTGGCAGGTGGGCGTAGCTTTCTCGCTCTAAGCTGAGGCGCCTCCGCTGTTCCAGACCAGACCATTTTCTGTGATTTTGAACCGTATTTTTTTTATACTTGGCAATTTTTTCAATCAGTCTTATTTGGCTGGGTGCTTAAATAACACATTTCTCTGGTGTGACAACCTCAGAAAACACATCTTTTCTCCACTTCACACAGGCTTTAAGATTTTGCAGCTATTGCAGCAACTTTTAAAGTCTGTACTCAGGCAAGGTCATGCTTTTAAGATTTAACTTGAATACGCCAAATTGCAGTTACCATGAAAATGTACGACTTACATCATTTGGAAAAAGTGGTCAGTTGTGAGTACATCTGAGGCTGATGTAAAAAACTGTCATAGCAATTTGTCTTATAAAGTTTTGAAATGGACCAACTGCAGGGCCAACAACCATGTAGTCCATGGAGCCATTGGTTTAGCACCACTGAAAATCTACCTCAGGGATACAAATGTTGGTTATTACTTGAGATTACTTTAGTGTAAATTTACCCTTCATAAATGACTACAAATGTCTTCTCAACTGTCGTCCTCTCTCACACACCCTTTTAATTTGGTTCCAGTTTATTTACCATAGTTTTTTTTCCCTTTTCTTATGGCGTAGAGCTGGCCTTAATCATTCTCATTTTGCACACTTGTTGCATTATTCATGCAGCTTAAAAGGGTGTAAAAATGTCTATTGCCCCCCCTCATTATGAAACCATCACACATGACCAGGTAGCGGTTAACAGCCTATTCCCAATATGATTGATGATAAAGAAAATAATAGCACTACACACTAATGACTTATGCTGTTATCTCAAGCTCCCCAGTTAGCCTCTGCAATTTTAATTCAAGCACTTATCATCCACTGCGTGCTGCATCCTGGACCGTCTAAAAAGCTTTATGGAGTCAAAGACTCTTTTGGTTTCAGCAGGCAGCCATTCATCCTGGGTGTATCTCATTTACTCTACTAGGGTGGCATGCTGAGAATTTACCACTTATTTTCAGCCAGTTCTGACTTGTTCAATATTCACACTTTCTGCTCCTTTCAGGGAGTCTGTCAGGGCGCTTTGATTTGGAAGAGTTCAATGTGAAGACTCTTTATGATAAACTAGAGGACCAGAACCTCCACATAGCCTCACAGCTCGCCCGATACCGGAAAGACACACAGGAGTTTTACAGAAATATGTGTCAGCAGACTGAAACCCTAAAGGTGAGTAATACTAGTTTAAAGAAAGAACTGGCCATGAAAATGAAATTGAATTAAGTTAAAATGTGTGTGTTTCAGAGCCATTGAAAAAGTTATATTGTTTATTTCCTTTTAGAGTGTCTTCGAGAATATGGACGGCAAAAAACTCAGTCTTTTTAAGGAGCTGTTAGCACAAAATGCAATGACAGCTAGACCATCTAACAGCAGTGTGGGAGGAGGAGATGAACAAGGTAAAAGTGAATGATGATAATGACCTTAAAGAATGATAGAAAAGCTTTATTTTACCACGTTATGGTCATTGTGAATATAAATTAATTCCTTCCAAATCCAAAAGTGTAAAGAAGTGGTTCACTGAGACAAATTTCTGCATACATAACTACACAATCATTAAACATGCTAATAAGCAAACATGACTCAACAAAATGAATCATACCCGTCTCTAATGTGTCTGTCTGTTTACTGTTTCTTTTACCGGATGGAAATTCCCCATCACCCACAGCTGAGGCTTTTGTAGCATCATTGGAAGCTGTTCTGAGATCGGTGGAAACTCTTTTATACAAGCCAAGAGGAGGCACATTGCCTGGTCCCCGGTTCTGTCACACTGGTGCTCATGAGGCCAGAGAGTGTGACCAGCAAGCCAATGACACAAGCATCTGCTACACCCAGGTAACGTGGTCTCATTAAGTCTGTTTCTTTAAATGATAAGAAGGGGAATCATTTTGATTTTCAAAAACTTTTGACAGTTTTCACCAACAAGTATGACCAAAGCAGAAGCGCTTCCCAATGAACCAGGTAAAGAGAAATTCATGCTAAACTTTCATGTATTTTGAAGAGTATCAGGATGATCCAGCACCCTATTCAAATGGTTCTGTTTGCCTAGTCCCCTTACAGAGCACAGCCCCATGTCTGAGTGACCATGACCTGTGTAAGTTGGTCAGCATAACTCCGCTATTCAAGACCCTGCAGGAGATCCAGCAATCCTTGCAGACTCTTAACACTGCTGCGGCTGATGAGCATCTCCACAATGGTACAGATGACAAGCCACGAAATAACACCTCAGATGTAATTAAACTGAAATTAAAGGCATGGTTGACGATCTGAGAAGTGGTTGAAAAAAACTGAGCCATTGAGGCAGATTTGAAAAAAGCGTCCCACCCCCCACACACAAACCTCTCCCCTCTGTGCTCCACGATAACTCGAATCGCCTTCCCTATGGCACAACCCCTCTGGCAGAGCAAGAAGCCAGCTGGCAGAAAATCCTACGCTAGCTTCAAATAGGATTCACCATGTTGGATTGCTAGTGACCAGCAGCAGTAAACACCAGCTCTGCTAGCAAGCACTGTCTGCCGCTGCCTGGACAGCTACCGTGTTGACATTGAAGAGACTAATAAGAGTTATTTATGTAACATGTGCCACGATAAAAGGCAAAAATTGCCTGTTCAACAAAAACTCTGCTGTCTCAGCATCTGTTCTCAGGTCCAAATCCCAGTGGAGCCTTCTCCACCGCTCGAAGAATGACCCGAGGTTTATTCAAGTTAGATTCTTCGTTTTGTCACATTTCCTCTTCAACTCTGCCTTTCTTTTGTCGGCTTGCGTTTTCTTGGCACTTTTGGCGGTGGGACAATCAAAAGTGGGTTTTTTTTCCGTCCTCCTCTATCACAGCTCCTGTAGCTAAGCTGCTACGCTACTTTTAGCCGTTCAGAGGTCCGAGGAGGGCCGGGAGAGTGGGAGGGGACGAGTCAGAACAACGGGAGAGGTTGAATACAGCGAGGTGATTGGATGGCGAGGCAGAGCTGGAGATCGACCAATAGGAGCTGTCCGGGACGGATGGCTTCCATTGGTCAATGTTTTTGCAGCCCTGCACCTGCTAGGGTGAACAGATTTTTTTCCTCTTCTTCGCACTAGAGGACCATAATTGCCATATAAATGAGGCTCATAATAATTAACAATCTCTCCAATCGCCAACCATGCCTTTAATATATCTTGCCAGTTTTGGTGATTGAGTCCTCTCTCTGATTCAGCAGCTGCGGAGCTGCCTGTCCAAGACGACCGTGATGGACAGCTTATCCCCACTGCGTTGGACAACCTCTCACCTCAACACTCAGCCATTTTCCTCTTTGGTTGCCAGGTGATGCAACTGCTTGCAAACTGCCCCTCATTCCCCTCTGTGCTGCTGCTGCTGGCCAAGTCTCTCCCTGTTTCTCCAGCTCTCTCTAACAAGGTTCTGCTGGCACACTGCTCCAGGGACTTCTATTTTGATGAAACCAATCAAATCCTTTATCTGTCAGAGGTAAAGCTTAAACACGCAGGACACTTCATCGCTACGATTCTGCAGTCCATGGCCCACATAGCATCAGGTAATCAGACAGAGAGAGTCATGTGACCCAGTTGTGTCATGCTGTCACAATTGTCATGCACTGTGGCAAAGTGAAACAGCTCTGACAATCATCTTCAAAAGCACAGACTCGGTAATCTTCTTTGGAAACAGTATATCTGTTCTCATTTTTTGTCCAGCGTCCAAACCACAAAGCTTTATGCCAGCTCTCCATGAGGCCATTTCAGCATTAAGCCTTCAGCTGTTCAACTTCTCTTTCAAATGGAGCACAGCAGAGGTTTGTAAGTGCCTCACACATCCTCCACATACTGCATGGGTACGGGTGGATAACTTTTTTTTCTGCTTTATTCCAGCAGTCAAAATCTGATGCTTCAGAGGGGCAGTGCGGCACATTAGCTGAGGAATTTCTCAACATTAGATTTCCCAGTGAGCAGCACTTCACTGAGCATTTACTAGCTAAAAGGTCGGTGTGAGAGATGAAAAGAAAAAGAATGTATTAATTAAGTGTTAGCTTTCACAAATTTGATAAATGTTATTCCCATTCTCGATCATAGGCTTGAGAATTACAAATACTTCAAGTCAGAGCAGCTCATCTTGGATCTGAAACAGAATTCAACTGGCAACATAAACACAGGTGAGAGCAGAGTTCATCTCTGTTTTCCAGAGCAGACAAATCCTTAAATCAGTGGGATCAACTGGAACAACTGCTCCACACAAAACTATTCATTGAGACAGACAAACCATCGAGAACAACACCTACTATAACGCATGGGTTTTTTAATGAAACATAGCAGTCATAAATGTGACACTTTGCAGGACTTAATGAAGTAGTTTTTTTTGGATAGTTGCTTCATAAGAAAGCTAAAGTAAAGTGCACAAACTATTGATTTTTTAGCAAATTTATGAAGGTCTTACAGATAGTCTTTCCTCTATGTGAGAGCTGTTAAATGCTTTCAGATCACAGCCCCGGAGCTATTGATCCATTATAGTATTGGCAATCTATCTACTGAAACCCACTTTGTTACTTTAATGCCTCAGCATACACCAATGAACAAATGAAAGTGAGCTCTCAGATTTAAGACAGACACATTTCCAGCTCTATATATTCAAAAGATGTGAACATCATTAAATTGTTACAGGGAGTCCTGATGAGAGACGAGGGGTGTGATCAATATTATAATGCCTTTGTCACCTAATGAGCTTTTGTTTCAGAAGAAGGGTCCAATATGTGTCTTTAATGAGCACATGACAATAAGCACAGAGGTTCTGTCAGATACAGGAGGTGGTTGTGCTTTGACCAGATTCACATTTATCCTGTAGTTCATTATGAGGTGTTGCAGCTGTTGTATAAATCAGGATAGATTTTTATTCTGAGTAATCAAAGGTCTTGTGTAATTCCTGCAGGTTTGCTGCCCAAAGGGACCCCGATGCAGGTATCACCCAGTTGCAGATTTAAAGCCCCTTTTAAATCAGTTGAATGGTTACCTACCTCATGTCACTTTACTATTTCCTCTCCTACAGGTCTCCTATGTTGAGGAGGAAATTGACCGCCTGAATGAGTCCTTCCTTCAGCTGAGCATGCAGCTACAGAAGAGAGCTCAGATGAGCATGTGTCTGAAGGAGAGAGAGAACAGCATCAGCAGCCAATCTGCTGTAAGACGCTGGAATATTGAATTACATTTTTAATGACTTAATCAAAAGAATTATGTCTGTACGGTTATTTATTTTGTTTTGCGAAGGCTTAGAAGGGCTCACTGTGGTTTATTGCATAAGAATATTGGCAAGCTGAGATATTTAGTTTGACGAGCTCACTACCCGGGGTTTCATACATATAAATAACATATTACCATTGTACATTCAGGCGATGAATCATTGAAATGTGTGTCCTTCATGTTGAGTTTTATTGCCCCTTTCAGCCTCCACTGACAAGGAAAATGTGTAAATGAGTATGCATGGATATGATGTGGGCCAAGTTTGTATTTGCATATTTACAACATTGCTTTGGACCGTCTGGATGAATTCATTTATTTCCGTTATTGCACATTATTTACAATACATTCTCTATGATCTATTCTTTTGCCAGAGGGCAACACCAAAAAGCATGCAGAGCCTCAGCCGTAATGGAACAATCCTGCTGGAACTGAAGAGACGCTATGTGTCCCAGCGCCTCGATGAGCTCCAAGCTACATTAGGCCACATCAGACGGTGCCAGAAGCATGACAGCGAGTCAAGAGACGGGACAAGGGGCCTTACACAAACCGACAGCAGCAACACTCAGCAAGAGCAGAGGCAGCAATATCCTGGCATCAATGGCCGTGGTCCCAGTGACTGCCAGCCCCAGGACAGTTGTCACAGCCAACAAACAGTGGAGAGCAAAGGTCTTGGCCCATATACAATAGAGAGTCATATTTCTGAACAGCAGAGGAGTGAATCTGTGCTGGATTGCAAGTTGCTAAAGAGCGAAGGTCAGCATAGTCTTACAGTCCCAGGAGAGCAGGATGTCTCTGGTCATATCACAATAGAAAACACAACTGAACACACAGATACAGACAACCTGTTGATGGGAAAGTGATTCTTAATCGCTTAGGAAGAAACGTATTTCTCTGTTATTTCTCAGTTTCTTTTGTTTTGAAAATATTCTCGTTTGTTTGTAGAGGGATGATCTGAGCAACTTCTGCCGTCATTCATATATTTGTGAAACACTTCAGCCGTGTTCTCTCTGATTATCTCTACTCATGCACATGAATAATTCCTGGGGAAAAGGCAGCCATGTCGCACAATCTGTCATTTTGTCCAGTTTTCCAGTCAGGAGTTCAAACCCGGGCCCTTGAGACAAGCTCTGCTCATTAGCATATTCAATAAACTCCAGCTGAGTGAACACAAGGTGAATCTTGTATGCTTTGATGGTTCCCAACTCAAGCAACTTCTCTCTTATGCAAAGGTGATGACCCATGTCTTAATGAATATTTAATATTACACTGGAGTTTTTGTCTTTTTGTCTTGTCCTACAAACATGCTAATCATTTTTCCTTAACCTCCTTCAAGGCAAACAGGTTGAAAAACTGAAAGTATCCTCTAAAAGTGAAACCGCACTACAAGAAAAAAGACAGCTTTTGCCTTTATTCTGTTGGAGTGGTTTATATGAAGCATTAGGTCTCAGGTCCTTGAACAGAAAGTGAGTATTCCTACAGGGGGCATTGAGCCAAATCAGAAGGTCAGACAGAGCATGTCGTCACTTACTATCAGTGTTAGCTTTGAGCTTCGTGCCAAGCCCCTCTAGTGTTGAATTTGGCACAGTCCTGAAGCTGTGTGTTTGTGTCTGTTTGTTCACACATGAGTGTGTGTTTGTTCAGTATTTCCCTCAGATTATGTGCCTTATCAATTAGATTAGCTGCTATGTGCCTGTGATCTGGCCTGTCACAGCGGGAGACGGCATCGAATAACTCCGTGTGGTGCAGCTCTGGAGCCTCAGTGTGCTAACCTATGTGTGAGGATGCACAGCAGTACTACATTATGCTCGCTCTAGTTGTTTGGATCATCTGAAGGGGGTATTTTTTTTAATGCTGTGACAGAAAATGCACATGTAAGTGTAGCCAAATGCAGGACTTGCATGAATCTAGCTGTTTGTGCTACAAAACAACATCTCCCAGCGGCTCACAGTTTCCAGAAGCCAGCGTGTTTTTTTTTTATGTCTCTAACATTTTTTTGAACTTATGCAGGCTTTTTCATACTCAATTTTTGTTTAATTTTAAAATAGCAAAACCCCAAAGAAGCTTCACATAGCATCAGGAAAGAAGAGCCCATGATGTTGAAAAATACATTAAGATTAAGCATATAGATTACAGATGCCAGGAGAGATGAGGCCGTCTTATCATTCCACATGTGAGCATTAAGCATTTTTTATCAAGCGCTGATCAAGCATCACCGTCTCCCAACATGTGACATCTCATGACTGTCTGCTGTAATTACATTATAATCTTGAAATCCCTCCAAATCCCAAGAAATCTGCTCCCCACAGGCCCATGTATACAGTACATATAGGAGCAAACACATCTCTCTGTGACCCACTTTACGCACACAGACACTGAAATGGCTCTTTCTCTTTTGTGAACAGCCTGTTAATGCTGTGAATTCAACCACTGAAAAAGCTTTTAGCCAAAAGGCACAGCGGCCGCATCATTAGAAGGATAGAAATACATTAGTTGAATTAATACATGTAACTCCTACTTTGACGTCCACTATATTTCCTTCAGGGCATAAAAAAAACCAAACCCATTGGATGTCTGTTAAAAAAAAATGAAAGAGCGGGGGGAGAGCTGGGTTGATGCTTCCTGTTGTCTCATAGAGTTTGCTGTCTATGGCTAAGCAGGCCTCCTGTAGTCATCATGGCACCACGTTACTGTTGCTATGGTTTCCTTATCTGCAGGATGTGGTTCAACCAGGCCTGCCATATTTAGTCTGCTCCTCAGAGCGCCAGCCTACTGCTGATGCTGACAGCAACAGAAGAGTGCACTCAGCTGCCTCTGTGCTGTTCTTTTTTCTTGTTTAAATCTGCAGGTTTTCTGCTAAAAACCTGTTGACGCACTCCTTCAGCAGTATTCATTGTTTCGCAGCTCTAATACGGCACACGTATTGATGTTTCTACAGATAGATAAAAGAAAGAAAAAGAGGAAAAAGACAGTAGGAAGCTATATTTATGGTCTCCTTTTGGGTAATCCTCTCTACTCCAGAAACAATTGCTGCAGGATTAGATGCAGTGATGTCAAAGTCAGATTATTGTGGGTCTTTTAGGTCTGAGGATGCTTTGCCAAGATTTAAAAACTCAAATTCTGTCTTTGTGCTTTCAAAGTCAGTAGATTATAACATCAAACATCATCTAATCTTGATTTTATCCTGGCTGAAATAATGGAAATGAAAGAAAATCATACAAGTTACAACAGTAAAGTTTAAGATTGTGCAAGAGTGTAATATTGATGTCACATAAGTTATGGTCTCATTTATAAAATCTGATAAAAATGATACATTTCCTTCTAAATATTGGATCATAAACATGTAATCTCTATCCTATATGTAAAAGAAGCAGTTCTCTACATAAAAGAAGGAATACAAAAAGATTTATAGATCTGTAGAAGGCAAGAAATAGTGACATGCCCACATACATGTGCTTACATATGTAATGGATGATCTGCATGTATATGAACAATAGGAACAAAGCAAGGAACACTGAGTCTATTGGCCATATTCGCTTTCTCATCACATCTTTCAGCCTCAGGAAGAGATTCAAATCACTGCCGTTTTCAGTAGGAGAGAAAAAAAAGGTGATATAATTACACTGCTTAGCAGTCACTTCAGTCCTCTCTGCTGCAGCTTGTGTTGGTGTGATGGACAGAAACCAGGCACCAATCTTTAACTACTTCAATAGGTGAATCATTTTAACGGCAATTAGTGGAAGAGTTCCCGTTCCTTTTCCCTCTACACTCAGCATCCGGTGTATCTTAATTGGTTAGAGACAAAGAATTAGAGGAGAAAGGACGGGGCTGTTGTTGCAAGAACACAGTCATCAAGTAGGAAAGAATCCAGACTCACATATGCAGATAACTGGAGGAAAGGTCAGGCCTTTTTGAGAGGCTGTACCTCAGAGGAAAGATCAGATAAGTGGGCTGTATCCTGCAGTGTTTATCTACTTCAGTGCCTCTATGAGACAAAGATACAGATCAGTGGACATGCTTTGCATTCATATGGGTTGAAAAAGTACTAATCCTGGCATGTAAGCTTCAGTGTATCGATACAAACTGTGGCCGAGAACGCCACTGCTGCACTTAGGCCACAATGGAAGTTAAAAACGCAAAGAAAATGTGGCAGTACAAAAAAAAAGTTAGTGACTTTGAAAATAAAAGGATGCAAATAAAAAAAGCAACAACGGAAGTAAGCTGCTGGGGACCAATAATGATGATGCACCGGTGTTTTACGATCTATGCACAGAAGACAACGGCAAGAAGACGAGCAAAGAAGTAAGTGAAAAGGTTATTGTTTAATTTCGCTTTGTGGGCTTTTCAATGTGTCATTTGTTTAGGCCATGTAGCCCCTGAGTCAATTTGAAGTTGAACTGGAGGATGCTGGTGTAGTGTTAGCTTCAGTTCAACTTTGACTGTGTTCAATATCGACTCAGGCCCAACATGGCCTAACCAAATGACACATTGAAAAGCACATGAAGCGAAATTGAACAATAACCTTTTCACTTACTTCTTTGCTCGTCTTCTCGCCGTAGTCTTCTGTGTTAGATCATAAAACACCAGTGCATCATCATTACTAGTCCCCAGCAGCTCACTTCTGTTGTGGCTTTTTTTTTATCTGCACCATTTCTTTTTTTATTTGCAGCAGGCTTTGGTTTCTAATTTTTGCATCAGTAACTTCCATTGTGACTTCTTTTTTTTTTTTTTGCATTCTTATTTTATTTGCAACAGTGGCGGTTCTCGGCCACCGTAGGTACATACACCTGCAAGCTGTGTGCTGTATGCTTGTATCCCTGCAACCAGGCTGTTTTGGACGTTTCACTTCAGTATTTTACTCTGCCAATCACATGGTGCTGTTTGCTTCTTTGTACTCAGACTTTGGTGGATTAGAAGCGCTAAATCTGATGTGAGACAAATGAAATGTCCTGAAAATGAGTGAGCTCTGACAGCAGCTGTCAAACAAAATTACATAACATGTAACAAAAAAGTAGGGTTTTTTTATTTTAAACTTATTTTTTTGAGCTTATAAAACTTGTATGGGTTGCATGTTGCACACCAGATAAAAAAGAGATGCCTTTTGTTCAGCACGTGTTGTGAGAAAGGCACACACAGACCTGCAGTGGTAAGTTTATTAGGCCTTCTATGATGACAGTAATACGGTCAAGCACATTGTGGGAGGGATTGTTTCACGCATGCGTATCGAAGCCTCTGCTCCTCGCCAGCGGAAAGTGAGTGCAGGAAAACAAAGGCAGTGAGCCGCGGCTGGGAAATATAATCTTTCATCCTCACTGGAGCAAAAAGACTTCTGACAATCAATGCTTTTACGCTCAGAGAAGTGAAACCGGAGAAGTCTCCTCGTTGTTTCTGCTCATTGTGCGCGATTGAAGCTCCACGTTTCGCCGACAGTAAGTGTCTACATCTGCTTTTGAGAATCCACAGGTTCCTCCTCATCGCCTGATTTCTCATCCTCATATTTTTCTGGATTGTTCTGAAGCTGAGAAGTGAAATCTGTCGTTCCAATCGAGTTTCTCCCACGGGCTTGTCTGTGCCACCGACTGAGGGGGATGATGAAGTTAGTTCTGAGTAAATAGACGAGACATTGTGAGTTATCTGCTTCCAGTACATTCTTGGACCTCCCTTTTCCAGCTACTTTTTGGAACCTTCACAAACCTGAAATCTGGACTTTCTTTGGGCTGATTAGTTTGGTGTGGATTTCAAGTCGTGAGGAGGAGTTAACCTGCGCGCGCATCTTCCGTGGAGAGGCGCTGTCCGTGGTCCTGAAGTCATTTATTTACAACTTCTGCCAACTCCAGGGTTTCTCCAAACTGCAGCTTTAGAGAGACTTTTGGCACCAGTAGCTCCAGAAAGAGCTTAATATGGTAACTCAGACCAGAGTTCATCTGCACACATTGGTATTTTTGATATTTGGTAAGTATAAGTGTATAGGATATGATTGTTTGCTTGTGGATTGGATACGAAGTTTGGTAACACTTTACAATAACCATAACTCATAAATGGTAAATAGACCATTTATAAATGGTAAGCAGATGGTTTATTAATGTTTAATCATTTATAAATCGCATATAAACCATTAATCAATTGTAAATTTTACAATTTTAAAAACCTAACCCTAACTTTACAATAACATCTAAGTAATGTTTATAAGTGGTTTATAAACCACTTATCAATCATTTACAAAGAATTACAAACATGAGTTGCAACTTACCATCTAAGTAATATTTATAGATGGTTTAATAACCCAATATTCACCATTTACAAAGTGCTACTGACACACATTTTGATCTAGATGTTTTACAACCAATATTTAAACCCTATATCAGTGTTGTTTTCCATGACGAAGATGTGACGTTGACGAGCTAAACATAAGTTTTAAATGACTAAAATGTGACAAGGCGAATGTGCGTTTACGTTGACGTAAAGAGTTGCAAAATTCATGAGCATTTCGTCAGTCAAACGCTTAACATATACTCTGCAGTGTTGTTTTCGTTGACGATGACGATAAAATATTTTCGTCAACATCATTGTCAACGAAAACAACACTGCCCTATATAAACCTTTAATAAATAGTCTATTAATAATTAATGCAAATTATTAATCATAAGTTCATTGCTTTTTAATGGTAAAGTAACTTACATTAATAAACTATCTATTTGCCATTTATAATTGGTTTATATGCTGTTTTTAAATAATGATTCAACATTAATAAACTATCTATTTACCATTTAATAATTATGGTTATTGTAAAGTGTTACCCATTGTTTTTTGTTTTTTTTAGAGGGACAGTTTGATAAGTTAGGACCTTGTTAATAGATTTTGACCCCTCCAGATGGCTGTGAACCCACTTACATCTGCATAGTCAACCCCACAGCCCAGCGTCAGCTCTAAAGACAATTTAATCTATGCCTAACAGATGACTCAAGAGCTAAGCCCTATTTTCTGTTTCCCTCCCTTCTCCTCTGCTCTACTTCCAAGAGTTTCCATGTGTTAGTATGAGACCTAAAAAAACACAAGATGGAATCGATGCTGTCACTGTCTGCCCAGAGGGCCTTTAGGTTATATAAGAGCTCTGGATCCGGCACAGAAACAGTCTCACAAAGACATCCATGTGGCGAGTCCACTGAGAGTGATGGCTCAATACATTCTAAAGCGAACCTGCGCGGTCATAACCCCCTCATGTTACCAGCTGTTTCCTGCCTTCCTCTCATTAGTCTACATCGTTTTTATGCATTTATCCGTCTTTCTTGTAGCTGTCCTCCTACAGTTTCCTCACTCCCACCCCTCATTTATTCCTCCCCCCTGCCAGCTAATACTAATGGATAGAGGCCATCATTAGTGCTTCCTGGTGTGGATGATCATGGATTTGCCTTCAGTATTGTGACTTCAGTCTCTCTAATGCTCACAGAGCTGAATAATTGAATTTATGTCTTTTCTAAACACCTACTGAGTCTTGGATCTAGTTTAATAAAGGATTCAATGGAAGCACAAAGTGACAGAGCTGATGACCTCAATAAGGCCACGAGTTCAGAGCTATAGAAAATAACAGGACCCTCGCAGTTGAGTGTATGTGACGTTATTCTTACAGTCTCTAAATATAGACCATCACTTTGTGCTAACGTGTTCAACTTTTCTCTGCTCAGCATTTCAATATGGTTGCTGTACCACTACACCAAAAAAAAACAACAAACTGATCTGAGCAGGATTTTAAACAAACCTAGATATTTCCACTAAGTTTTTTTTTATCAGGATGGCTACTGAGCTGAGTCATTCTAACATTTCTTTACACTTTCAGTCAACCTCAGCCAGCCGGTATGCGTGGATGTCCCATCAGGCACAGAAGCAGTCCTGGGGAAGTCCATGAAGTTGACCTGCATCTCCTGTTTAAAGCGAGAGGAGATCAAAGCAAGGACAACTGTGGATTGGTACTACATACCAAACAAAGGGGAATACGAGGATTTTAGTAAAACTCATGTAATTCACAGTTGAATTTTTGTGAATCATTCAACATTTTGTCATGCACATTCAAAGCGAACAGTTAAATTCATGTCCGTTTGCCTCTTTTTCTTGTCTAGATTTACAGGTTTAAGGGTGACGCTCCACAAGAGCCTGATGGACCATATAAGGGCCGTCTATCCTGGAACGGGAGCCAGGACCTGCAAGATGTCTCCATTGTCATCAACAATGTTACATACAATGATAGCGGTGTCTACGAATGCCATGTGCTCCGGGAGTTTGACTTCGACTTCTTCAATCCTTCTGTCTTTGAGAAAAAGAGGATCGAGCTTAAGGTGATAGAACGAGGTACGGCTGATCATTTTTCACTTTCTTACATCTTATTCTGCCAAATTACTGGTCCCTGACATGTCACTACGGCTCAAGATTCAGTCCAGCAGAGATTTTGTGCATGGATGAGATAGCAGAATTGAGCTAGAACTGAAGTGTTTTCCACCGAGTGCTTTCAGACAGAAGTATGCCTCTGTGCTGCGACCAAAAATAGACATCAGTCAGAGGAGATCTACAACTCAAATCTGACCCTTTGGCTGTCTGTTAACCTTTATTTATATTTATTTTATTTGTATTTTTTAAACAGGAAAAAGGCTGGAAATGTTCTGACAGCCTAAAAGCAAGTTTGTATATAGTCATAGAAATATCAACCCTTTCAAGTGTTCATACAGGGTCTGAACAGGAGTAGATCTGATGCAAAGTAACTCAAGTATCCCTCCAGTATTAGTCCATAAATAAATGATTTCACTGCATGCATTAAAGTAGCTATGGTAGTGATTTATGTTTACAAATCTGCTCAGAATGAAGGCCAATTAAATGAAAAGCATTTGCCTTGCAGATCTGGAGCAGCATAACTGATCATTTCATACCAGCAGTGCTACATTTTTACAGCATGTGGCCTAGATGTTTGGCTCAATTTGAGAAACTGCAATAAAGTTGCATACAGCACATGCTAGAGGATTTTTCATCAGTGCTGTTTTGAATTATTTGTCCTAAGTGCCCTCATTGTGCAGTACATGCTCTTCCTGCCTTTCCTTGTTTCATGAAGTGTTTATACGAGTACTTTAAGTGGCTTTTTAATTTTCATATTTGTTTCCAACTAAGTGATGCATGAGGGTGAGAGCCGTCTGCCACTAACAGCACCACTCCCCCTCTTTCCTCTTTGTTGTGACTGTACTAAAGAGGAATAACTGTCTGTTTGTTTTGTCGTTCTTTATTTTCCATTGAAGCTATCTGCTGTTGTCAGTGAAGGGGTTAATTCAATCCAACTTCTTTTCTGTCTATTATAAGGGGTAATGTATATTGCTTCCCGAATGCTTGGCTTGCTGAACGTGTCATTTCTCATCTGGATTGAATGTACAAAATGTATATTTATAATTACCTCTACCCATTTTTCAACTTCACATGATTTATATTTCCTTGCACGTGGTATATAGTTCACTATCAGAGGCATATAAGATAGGCAGATGTTCAGTGAAGGGTTTGGTTCACATCGAGAAAAAACAAGACTGCAAATTGAATATGATTGTCCTCCGAAGTGGAACTTTTTGAAATATACTATACTCATCTTTTAGACATAAAAACCCATGTTTCATGCATGTAGTATCAAATTTCATAAAGCCTTCAGCCCGAGCACTGTACATCATAGCTCAGAGATTATGTTACAGTGATGCTGTCCATACTAGTAGAATGGATTAGTTTATGGCAAACATATCTGTGCTTTCCCATCTGAGGGATTATTTTACACTAATAGCCTCTATTTGCAGAGGCTGAAGAATCATGCTGGTGAAAGCTGTCAACTGTCCGCTCAGCAGGCTTTCTGGAATCTGGTACATGCTCACTGTCACAGTGGTTCACAGTGCCTCACAATATCCTGGAATGCTCAACACAAAAGGGATGGTACAAATTGATATCATTATTATTTATTTTTTTTGTACAAAACTGGCCCTAATATTGTCATTTTAATGCTTTCTGCTTGCAAATGATGAAGGAAATACACAGCCCTCTTTACCTCCGCCAAGGAGGTTTTGTTTTCGGTAGCGTTGGTTTGTGACTTTGTTTGTTAGCAACTTTACGGAAAAAATTAACAGACATATTGACCTGAAATTTTCACCAGAGGTGCGTCTCAGCCCCAGGAGGATCCCATTACATTTTGGTGGTGATCCGGACAAAATTCTGGATACTGTGATCCAGAACACACAAAAATAAGGGTGTCGTTGGAATTTTCAATGCTGAAAGATAACGAATGGGCGGCACAGTGGCGTAGATAGGCGGTACAGTGGTGTAGTGGTTAGCACTGTCACCTCACAACCAGAAGATCCTGGGTTCAAATCCCAGTCAAGGGATTTCTTGTTTTAGGAACATTATGAACAGTGAACATACCAGTTTAAACACAAATAAATGTTAATAAAAGACACATAACAGTAAAAGTTTTGGTGTGAATCACAATATAAGGGGGGACATGAGCTGCTTGGTGGAGGTCTGCGCTCTCCGAGTGCTTTTCTAGTTTAAATTGTCACCCACATTTAACTATCTCAGTGTTCCCAGGATGTGAAGTTCTTTGATATACTCAAAGCTCAAATATGACCCAAAATATCAGGCTTTAAAACAAGCCACAGGGTTCCTACGCAAGTATGGATATAAATTTGATCAATTTCCAGGTCTTAACAAAGTATGGAAAATGAAAAATAAAGTATGGAAAAATATTTGTTTTCAGACTATTACCACAGTTCTAAGATACTGTTTTTTAAAATGGAAAAGTAGGTATTTCCAAAATATTTCTATAGAGTAGGGTATGGATAAGTATGGAAATTCCAACTGTGTAGGAACCCTGAAGCCAGAGAAATGTGTTGTGCACTGAGAACCACTGTAACTCTACATATCTATCATATTAAATAATTAGGTGTTCAGTGGAGATTTGAGCCACTAAAGGCACAGGAGACCATGATTTGAACAAACCCCCTAATTTGTTTGTAACATGGTAGACAATTAATAAAGTCAAAGATTGCTTATTGACAAACAGAGCAACATTAAATGTCCCATGTGTTTTTGATACATACACTGCATTGTATGAAAAACACTTGATACTTGATGTAAATTAACCAATTATAAAAAGATCTCCACAGAGCACCTTTACTCTCTGGGCTCTGTGTTAAAATGTTGGTAATAACGTACTGTATGATGCATAGCTAGTGCATGATATCAAAGTTTGTGTTCCAACAGGATGTGAACCAGAAAACATGACTTTCTTTGCTTTAAGTTCAGCTTCATGGTAACTACTGGAGGAAACTCTGGAAATACACCATAAAAAATTTGGATTCATCTTTTACATCTGATGGTTGATTGCAGGTCAACAGTGTTGCACGTGAATTAAGCTAAGCATACTCTCTTGAATTTGTGAACTTATAAATCCCCTCTGCTTTTTTCTTCAACACAAAAAAAGCAGACAGTCAGAGGTAGGACAAATATTGAATAATGCATGTTTTCTTCCTGTTATTTTCACTCCACAGCAACCAGAGACTCCACAGCGCTGTACTCAGAGATCATGATGTATGTGCTGCTAGTGTTCTTGACCTTCTGGTTGCTGGTGGAAATGGTCTACTGCTACCGGAAGATCTCCAAGTCTGATGAGCAGGCACAGGACACAGTGTGAGTCTCACACAAACAAACTTCCAGATACACGACAAGGATAAGTGTAAATAAGGGTACCGATGAAAATAATGAGCTTTCTTTACACAGCGAGTTTTTCTCTGTCCTATGACTCAGCAATCAACGAGAGTGTGTGCGTCAAAAAAAGTAAAAATGTATTTTTGTGTGAAATGTCAGACCCACATCAGACAAGGTAATTTAGGAGGAATGAAGAGACAGAAAGCTGCACAAAGAGGCAGGGATAGAGTCAGACAGGCAGACAGAAAGAGACGGACAGAGGAGTAATTGAGTCTAAACTGCTTCAAACTGTAACCCTCTTGCAACACTGATCTGTCCTTTCACACTTAGACGGCCTGACACCTGAATAATTACACGCCCTGCTGATGACTGCTCTTTTTTTCCCCTCGACAACCTTTTTATATCTGGGCTGGATCTACAGCTCCATCAGAAATCTCCTTTTTATGCATGACATTGTCAGCTTCGACAAAGCCCTGAATGACCCTGTACAGTCAGCTCCCTCAGGATTGTGGTCGTTGATGGGGGCAGTCCAGGTTGACAACTTTTGAGCAGGCAATTTATGACCTGGACCAAACAATCACGGATACTCAAAGCTCATGCTGAAATGGTTATTACGGTGCTGAGGCTTAATCCTGATGCCTAATCTCATTGTTGTAGAGACAAAAAAACAAGAAATACAATGAGTCCTCTTCAAATAAAGGCAAAAAGCCAAATAATACATTAAACTAAACTAAATCCAAGTTCTATTTTCCGCTTAGAATAAGACATTTACTTCAACCTCTGAGGTGAATGTGGTCTAATACAACCTTTCTTACTGGAAAGAGACAAATACATTTGCTCAGCCTTGAATTCATGTAAAGTTATTACTCTTGGGTGCAGCTCTAATGAGCAGCTGAACAGTATTCAAAACTGCATGTGTTGCAGTATTTACTTTGCAGAGTGTGTTTAAAGGTCATGCAATTTGTAAATGCCCAATCATGTGTTCAATAACCACACTTATTTGGTTAACACGTTATAAGCTGTGCATATGAATCAGGTTAAATCTAAAGTAATGACCCCATAAACTCCCATATACAGTAAATAATGATTGTAGTAGTTAGTGGTGCATTGGAGGTGGAAGGAAGCAGCTGAATAACTCTTTCATAGGAAGAAATTATCAACCATTTCACCCGAGGTATAAAGATAAGTTTTATTGATCTATGCACGGATCTGGAGTGCACATTAAGTTAAGCATCAAATGATCGAATGTGTATACCTCTGTAAACTTCACCGCTTCCTGCTGCTTAAAGAGTTAATGGGTTGTAGCCACAGCTATTATTGACCTACAGTATATGAAAACACATCAGTGCACACTCTCAGAGAGGCTGTCACAAAGCTTCTACGGGACTTTGTGACGCATTAGTAGCTCTGACAGATTACAGTACAGTGATACTAGATGAGGTTTAGTTTCATATGTGCTGACACTGCTACTAAACTCTTCTTTTCATAATGAATTTGGAGCTCATTTGTCTCTAATGTATATTTGATCAGGGTTTTGCTGTATTTAACAATTAAAGTTCGCTATGCCAGTCTGGTCTTCCGAGTTTGCAGCTTGTATATTATCTGCATCGTAATTCAAGAGAAAATATTCATGCACCAAGCCTAACAGCTCCCAAATACAGGAGATTTAGTTCCACTGTGGTGTTGAATGTTGGGTAAAAGGCACTCAGACACTCCTCTGCTTTCTACCAATCTACAGGACAAACTACCTAGCCATTCCCTCTGAGCTGAAAGCAAATCCAGTCGCTCCTGTTACCCAATGAAAGTGGTTGTCAGTTACACGGTATTTTACATGTGCCTCTCTCAGTCTGACACAGATCTGTGAAATCATCCCACTCATCGTTGGCTCTTCGTGTGTGTGTGTTTTTGTCATGTCTGAACACTTATGTAGTGGAGTCATGATGCTTAGAGTTCATACCCGTATAAGAAGCTGTTTTCATTCCTGCTGTTATTCGGGATGCTCCTCTGCTCTTCCTCGTTCTTCATCCAGTTTCAACCACTCTCATTTTCAATTATTGTTAATCAGGGATACAAGGAGGAATTAGATGTGAAGACTTGGCATTAAATGCGGTTTTACAGCTCCTGTGAGGAAATTGCAGTTTGTATTGATTTTGGTGCCCCCTGTGAACAAAGCAGTACGTCCTATCTATTTGCTGTCCACTACATGTGTAGTCTTCTCTGACAGAAAATCCTCTCCTACTCTCTTTAAGTCGCAAACACGTCACTCACCGTCAATCTTTGCCCTCTGCAGTGTTTGTCTGACATGGTGGAATTTATAGAAGTAAGAGAAGTTACTGTGTTAAAAAACCAGTCAACTTTCTGATAATCTCTTTTGTTCCTCACATGACGGCATCAGTATAAATTTAGTCTATTTCATGACCAGTTTAAAGTTCCTCACAGGAGCTTTTCATTGATTCCTGATTCAGGAAAAGCTTGATGTGTCTCATCTGTTTTAATTCGAGGAGTGTAACTTTTCAGCTGTTCAACATCAGCATGACAGACTCGATTACGTACATCCTAACCCTTAACAAAGAAAGTAAATCAAAGCATATCAAGATGTCTCGCATTTGCATGTATATGAAGATTTCCAGAGTTTTAATAATCCTAAAGGACACGCTTGTTTATTCAGTCATGTTGAATGTATTTACAGCTCAATATTGCACCTATAAAGCTTTGCGTATGAGTTATTCCTTGTTGATGAGAGAGATCTCTGCTCTTTTCAGGTATTAATCAATCAAGATGGATGTTCTCTCGTCTCTTTGAAGGGATCGTTTCTCCTGAGTGTGACACAGAAATCCTGCCAACCGATCTCCCCTGTGTATCGACTGAGTCTTGTGAGGAGCCAGTCAAAAATGTCCAAGTGCTCGATTCTTCTCCTTCTTTCCCTCTCATTAATTTTCTTTTACCTTTGTGCCAGGCATCTGCAATCAAGTGCTTTCACAAACACAGCAGGTTAAAGGAAAACTCTGTCACTGTTTTGCACTTATATTCAGATTTATACCAGCTTTTGCTTACTATGGACCTGCCCGTGATTAGGGTTTCTAAAATTTCTGAATAGTTAGTGGTGCCTCTGTGATTTTATTTTACCTAAAATCAGAAAAGATCCCCTTAAAGACACTGCCCTGCTGCTGTTATATACAACCTATACACTGACTCTGTAGTATTGCACAGTGCATTTTGTTTTATTACAATTTTATAGACCATGCTGACGTTTTGTGTCAAAATTTTATTTGTATTCGGCGATATCTACCTGATGTATTTTTATGGAAAACGATTTCGGAGCTTTTCTACTGTGCGGATGTGTATTCCTTTCTGTTTTTTTTTCTGTGTGCAGCCCTTAAACTGCTACGTAATGGAAAAATCTGCTAATATTGAACCCTGTCACTTTACTCCAGTTGTTTGGACTCTCTTTCCTATACTTGTATTAATCTCTCGACTTCGTTCAGCTCTGACTGCTGAGCTCTGGTCAAGTCTCACAGTGCATACAGTTACTCTTAACTTTACTCTTAAGCTTTGACTGTTGCTGGTGTTCTACAGTAGCATCGCTATTGAGACTAAATGTGTGCCTAATTCTATAGTACAACACTGTAGAAATGTTTATACTCTGTGATCTAATCATACCACACTGTTCTTTGCCTATTAGATATCTCTCCTGTGTGAGTGAGCTGCTGCTTTTGAACTATTAAACACATTGCATTTCGCTGTTTGTGTAAGTGCTCCTCTGTTCCTGAGACACTGAGGATTTTTGAGATTAAATTGCAGTGGGGATGGATCCACTTTTGACTCTCTCTAGGATGTTGAGAGGAAAAATATTCCACCGACTTTTTGCAGCTTGTTATCTACGCCTATGGTGGTATTAAAAGAAAAAAAAAAACAGGCATCTCAACTTTTTCAGCTTTCATTAACACTCCTAAAAAAAGCTTCCATCAAAAGATTTTCCTTTTTGTTTCAACTTAAAGAAACTGTGCATTTATACTTTTAACAAAGCTTTATAAACCGCAAGATAGAGAGCGCTTTATTCGGTGGAGAGCTGGTCTAGATAAGCAAGACTGAAGAGGTTGAGGAAGACAAAGAAAGCCAGCAAAAGGTGAAGGCACTCAAGGAGAGACAGGAAGGGGAAAAAAAAGACTGGTGGTTAGAGCCAGACGTAATTTTCATTGCTCTTTTAGCTAGCCGTGACCCACAGCGGTGACAGATATAGTAGCAGCTGTTGTTATAGCAACCAGGGCATGCCTGTAGCAAGGCAGATTTCCTGGCAGAGATAAAAACCTGCAAGTTGAGACTCATTATTTATGTTAAGTTCTAAAAAAGTTAATACAGGATGGCTCAGTATGCTAAAAATTTTTAAGGCCAGTCACCCAGCATGCTTTGCGACAAAATGTTGGGCTTTCTTGTAATAGGAGAAATGCCTCCACAAACCTATCACATATGTGGTCATACAGTACAATGTACCTTTATCCTTCCATCAAGTTCAAATAAATTGGTTATTGATTGAACGACACATCCCATCAACTCCCAAACAATAGGACGTCATGGCTTTGAGATTCATTGTGAAAATGCAATGCAGCCACCCTCCCCCTCTTTCTCTCTCGGTCTCTCTCTCTCTCCTTCTCCCTCTATTGTTACACAGTGCCTCCCTAAGGATACAACCCAGTAATATGGCCCACATTCTGCAAATATATGTTTCAATTAAACCACAAGGCACCACCTGCCTCGATGCTATGGTGAGTTTTTAAGTCACAAAACACCACATTAAGAGCAAACTGTGCTTTAAACACTCCTAAAGGGGAGGCAATTTTCTTGGAAATGGAAACAGGTAATTTATAATGCTTGTCAACAAAAATAAATACACCATCACACTGAAAAAAACAACCCTTGAAAAAAATCCCATTTAATCCCCCCAGTTTATTGGCAAGTGGCCATATCTGTCTAACTGTTTGTCCAAGACTGAATAAGAGTTGCAGCTCCCTGCTCCTTGTTTATAACATTTGACCTCAAATGGTTATTAATGCAATCTGAGCTCAAAATGCCTGTCTATCTATGCTGGGTCTTTGTCTCCCCCTAGTGTGAAGCATATCATGTCATTTGTGACATAACATCAAATACAGCTTATGAATATCAAAGTTTCTGCCTGTTTGTCAAGCCCTTGCTCTTTTTCTTTCTAACTAAGGACAACATTTTTCATTTTCAGGTGACTAAAGGTAGCAAGAACATACCTTTACCTCAGATATTTATGGTATTGATTTGTTGATCCTATCATATTTTGAAGGCTGGGTTGGTAGCTGTAGCCCAAGTGTTTTAATAACGGTGTTTGCAGCCAGACACTGCATTCACCCCCAAACACAGGTTATTGATCACTGTTGGTCAATAGTCACTTTGCTGGAGCTGAGTTCTATCTGTTAGAGCATTTAAGAGTCATCATAGATGGGGACATATTGATGAAATACAAAGTGAGCGATTATTATGCTGTCTTTTCCACTTTCTAACTTGGATAGCATGTAACCTGTTAACCATAATGCCTGTTTTTTTCCACAGTGGCCCCCTCTTCTCCTACCCTCTCCTGCCGAGGGGTCCATCCTCTGTGTGGTAACAGTCTCTAAGGGGATTTTCAAAGCATTGTGTCCAACCAAGCCGAAGCTAAGAGGGTGTTTCCACAGTCACACTCCTGCCTAACCATTTCCATTTCTTTAAGCGGCTGAAGGTGGGTGTACAAATTTGAAATGCAGAAATTCAATCACTTCCTCCAGGGGTAGTTCTATGTGATATCCAAGGTCAGCACACTCATAGTTTTTAATCTACACACACCTCCCGCTTTATACTTCTAGACAGGGTTGGGTTGTGACTTTGCAAAACACACAATAAAGAGGCGACAAGCATATTATTCAAATGTGGAATGTGTGAGTTTTTGCTTTGTAAAGGACCTCCAGGCTGAATCAGATGAGAGATATTTCTGGGTATGAAAACAATCTCTCTGTATGTGGGTATAAAATGGAAATCAAAGTCCGAGACCAAAGAAAGATTTCTAGCTGGATGACTTTCTTATCATCGGGAAGGTTTGGTTATCAGCAATCCTGTTAATGAACATGTATTTTTATAAACTCAGAATCAAGGGTGACGGGAAAAATAATGAGGCCAGTTTGGAGAAGTAACAGATCATTATTACACAATGTTGTCTTGTATTGATTCAGGATAATTATTTCTACAGATATGCCACATTACACATTCATCAATTCAGAATTTGTCATTGAAACACCAAACAGGAACAGTTGAAGGATCAGTTCAAGTTTTGTGGAAAAATTAGGACCATTGACTTTATTTTTGTGGGTCTGGTCTTTTTCTAGAGAACTGTGAGATTGAAGTTTAAACCCAGAGGAGAAAAAAAAGTCAGACCTCAAACAGTTTTCAGAGGCTGAAATCCTCTCCTCCTCTCCTGTAGAGAACAGGTTTATAACTACCAGAGGCTTAGCTAGCATTTAGTTGGTTTCTCTTGACATGGGGACTACAAACAGAGGATAACAGCTAGCATGGCTCTGTTCAAATTTACATACGTACACAATTACAAAAATCAGAAACAGCATTTTGATAAGTGTACTTCAAAGTGCAAATCCAAAATAACAGAGCCAGGCTAGCTGTTTTCTCCATGCACTGGTCTTTATAAACTATGCTAGTGTTAAGCTAGTTTATACTACAGTGAGGGGGGTGATTTTTGTTATCCAACTGAACTTAATAGTAAACTGGTGCTTCCATGTATGATTTTATTAACCTTAAAGACTACACATGAAAATCAGAACTGGATTTATCCCCCAAAAATAATGAACTTTTGCAACAAGGCTTTGCTCCAACATACTGCCCCTGCCTTTTTCATGTTTTCTTCACTCACATGCCAACTCTACACATAAATGTCATGTGATTACAATATTTGCATGTGAATAAGATGATGCAATGCCAAAATAATTGGGGATACTAATGCCTGCGTCTAACTTTAATATCACGTCTTCATGTATTTGACTCCTTCTTTACTTTAAATGATGTATACACACCTTCTCCTGAGAATTATCCCGTAGTCTGTGCGTGATTATATCAACCTTGCCGATATAGAGTTGCTATCTTACCCCTGTGGTTTCACTCGAGTACTAAGGAAAGAGGTGGAGGTGTTTGACAAAAAGAGAGCTGCACCCGAATATAGAATAAGACGAGGTGTCTTGAGTGTATTATTCATTGACTGTAATGCAATCCATCAAAGATCACTCTTACAAAAGTGGCCTGCTGGGTGTCACCTGCATGTAATGAGCAGATGCTGCATGTCCCTCCATACAGATATTGTAGAGCAATATTCTATAAACCCTCAGTGCCTTTCCTTATCTCATTCTTCTCTCAGAGACAAAGCTCTTATTTGATTCTTGTCTAAATCTGCGGGAAAGACGGATGAAGCGACAAATCCAGGAGATTGATGTGTCGAAAACCAGGTGTTTCTTCTTACCTACTGTACGTACAGTGGAGTACCCAGGGATGTGATTATATCTCAAAAGCTCAGATCAAACGTTGCAGCTGATATGTGATGTTGGTTTTCACTAGAATGTGTTTTTCTACCACACCAAAGCCTCTCCTGTTGTCTTTGTTATTATTTATCCCATACTGCAGAAAAATATATTTTCAGGCAGTCCAAAACTCTTCATCAAAATTGAATCCATGAATTAAACAACAACTCTTCACTGTATACCATAACCTCTCATTCCTCCCTCCCGCCCTTCCCATCCATCATCCCCTTCCCCTGTTTCATTCATCCGCATTTCAAACAAGAGACATCTTTGATTAGCAAGACAAAGGAGAAAGCCTTAAATAAAAAGAACATTTACAAGTCAGACTGGGGAGCGTGGCAGTGACTGGGCTCCGCTTTCCAGTCCGTGATGAGAGGATGGAGCTGGCCTGTAGCACAATGACGTCGCAGCTCTATTGTTAGTGAAATGAACACCTGGCTGCCAGAGAAGTGCTAAATCACTGCTGTGTGTGTTTAGACACACCTGAGGCCCACCACACCAAGTGGAACAAAGCAGAACATTACATTGCAGGCTGGCTGATCTCTGAGGTAACTGTGCCTGAGAGCTTCAGGTTTTTAGAAAAATTAATCCAAAATTTGGCTGGTCGGGGAAGGAAATCTTGCTCTGGGTGTTTATTTTTTTCCAGAAACAAAAAGAGTGACAAAGAAGCATCACTAAACCTGATTCAATAGTGGGAAAATAGGGTTATTAGTTACCTTCACAAGATCCTTTTTTGCAGTGTTGCCCAAAGTTTGTCCTGATTAGGGAAATAAAGTTTACAAAACACTGCCAGATCTTTAACAAGCTTGCAGCTAGTTAGGTAGAGCCCAACATTGTTTGATAAATGTTATTTCCCCATTGCTATAGATTCACACAAACACGCACATCCACACCAGCACTTTACACAAGTATGTTCACACACATGCCTCAATGTGCTATCATTAGAAATGACATCACGACTCACATCCAGCGACTCCTATCGCTAAAGATCAGAAACCCGATTAATTAAACTCTTCAATCCCCTCTCCCACTGGCAGGTTCAATCTTTGGAGGATAAACCTATAGACGGGCTGTGAGAAATAACAGCTGCTCTTCTCTGCTTCCATCTCATGTGAGGTTCTCCGCTCTTATTTCAACGATAAATCCCAAGTCTGTGTAGATACTCGAGTCAGAACTCCTTTACACAAAATCCTCTGGGATCAATTAACTAAGAGTGCACATGGCGTGTTTGATGTTTTATTGACCCTTTTAGTGTCAGTAAGTGCCAGATTATTCCATGTGTGCTTTAGTATTATTAACATAATTCACAGCTTTGAATTCGTGCTTTAAATAAGCCCTCTAAGTCATTGCACGATCTGGACATTTTGGAGTCAGAGGTCTGGGAAAGGAAAGAAATTTCTCTTTCAGAGCTCCAGAATCTGGTCTACTTGGTCTTCAAACATTTACAGTCTTGTTAAAAGAGGAGTTGATGAAACACAATGGTAAAGATACCCTTGGCCTAATTGTTTTTCCAGTGACAAACAAACATTACTGCCACTTCTAAATTCAACCACTTGGTGTACCAGGACTTTTTTAGTGTACCAGGGCTTCCTATCAGCTGCCTGTGCTCTCTTTATCACAGATGGTCTTGGCCATTAACAATAAAACATGAAATAAATTACCTGTGCTGCACTATAACACACTTGTGTAACATTACATTTACGCAAACATGCAAAACAAGGAAGATCTGCGAGAGCCTCCATCAGACTCTTCTTGAATGATGTCTGTGCACCACGTACCAAAACTCCCGTTTAGGGTTCATTAAACAGCTGGATGGAAAATTGGGAAGGAGCTGTAAAATGTCTGTACACTCTGAGGAAAACAAGCCAGATTCAATACTACAGACAGAGGCGAGAGAAGAGAAGAGAAAAGACAGCATCATTACCAGGGTCTCCAGACAAACACACCACGTTTCCCTTAACAGCATCTTTCTCCTGCACCTCTCAGCAGCTTAGATCAAATTTGCTTCCCCTAGTGAATTTGACCTACACTGCACCATAAAAATCACTTAGACCGGTGAATGTGAGCTAGGTTGAATTGGATCGTGTTACGTGTTGTGCATCTGTGGAAACCGCCACAAAAAAAAAAAAACGGTTTAATTGAATACTAGAGGAGACCTTGACTGAAGCGTGGCTCTTCCAACAGTTGAAGACAAATTGCCTCTCAGCTGCTTTCCACAACCAATTAACCTACAGACACTCGCAAATATGAGTTTTGCACTTTTACGAGCAGCTGAGAATGACAGAAAAGCAAAGCCTGCATGGTTAACTTCCTGTTTTTGATAGATGGAACAAAAATAGCTCCGTTCTTTCACATATTTGAGTAAAAAAACATACTTTCAGATAAAAACAAACGATAAGATGTAACAGCAGCGGTGACAGAAATCCTGTGGTTTTAAGAACTTCTGGGGTCGTCTTGATGTGGTGAAGAAGATTATGACTCATTGACTGTTATTTGCAGGTGGGTGATGAATATGAATGGACTTGAGATGGTTATTCTTTTAACCTTGACTCAGGGTAAATTCACAACAGAGAGCGCACGTGTCTTGGGTTGATTTATTTTAATTTCTATCCTCGAGGTCCCCTAATGGGGCTTTGAATCTGTCTCTGCTCATTGACTGTGACTGATCTATACAGCAAGAGATAAAACAAGCAAATACCATTAACAAGGAGACTTTAACTAACTGAGGTTTTTCTCTGAGTATTGTATTCTTTTTTTCTAAGTGGTTTTCATGTGTGTGATGTAAGAGGACACCTTCATGAGGGGACATGGAAACATGCACACACACAAACACACAGCCACAGAATGATGCGTGTTTGTCCAGCAGAAAATTAATTTCCTTGGGAGAAAAATAAGTTAATCTGGAGCTTTTCTTGTTTCAATCATGTCATAACAAGCAGAGCGAATATATTAGTCTCCTCTGTCAATTGAATTATGAATTATGCTGTCTACTTTTCTCTCTTAGCACAAAAAGCCAGGGGATAATCTTCGAGTCTCACAGTATAAAGGTAGACATAATATGCATGTCAACAAACTATATTTCCCCCAAGAAAGCCGAGTCCGTCTTGCTTTTCAGGGAAAAATAATAAAAACATTAAGGGCATAGTCACATAATGTGTTTTTTGTGAAGTAAATTACCAATAACATCTTTTCATTTGTTATTCTACTCCTCTAATATTCACAAATTCTCAAATTCGGTGGCTGCTCTTTCAATCCACGCATGAAGCTGTCTGACGCACTCGCTGTGACTGTGACAGCTGATATACTCCAACATCCCTTCGGTATGATGTTGACAAATCATCAGGATAGAAAATTAACTTCTTCCAGGGATATTCAGCGACCAATCATTTGTGCAAATACACACTAATGCCTCAGTGGAAAGAGAAGAGATACGCTCAGCAATTGTTGAAAGCTTGTTATTAACAAATGTTGTAAATTGTATTCAAGCTCAATATGAACAGAATTAAGATTGAAGTTCCTGAGGTATTCAATATACAGAAGGTAAAGGCTGCAAATAATGCAGGACAAACCCTGGTGGGGAAGCACAGGGCTGACAAGTCATGCTCTTAATAGACTTCTTTGAATAGCTCTGCTGAATTAACAGTGGGGGTTGGTGGAGGTCTTGGTGTTGGGAAACAGGAATGAGCATTAGAGGAGTCATGAGCTGGTTCGAAATCACTCATGCTCAACGGGACTAAGTGGGGAGGGGGGTAAGGTGATTTTTTTGTCATTCTCCTGTTGCCAAGCAACATATCCAGGTATCCACAAGCAAAGTGACGAACCACTAACACCAGCTACTCTACAGGAGCCATTCAAAAGACCACAATGGTGCTGCAGTGGATTGTCATTAACTGCATAGTTAGCTATGTGTTTCCAGGGGTTATTTATGCAGTTGTGCTAGTTTAATGCTAATTCCTCCTCTCCCGGTAGAAAAGCCGTCCACTTCATGAGAGAAAAGCACAAGATACACTGAAAATATGAACAAAATAAGAATGCAATAATAACAATCCTGCTTTTAAAGTACCTTCCTAATATGCACTGCTAGATATTCGAGGTTGTTTGATTGGGTGATGAATGTTGAGATATTATGAGCTTTATGTAAGTTTGATGTCTGACTCAACGGGGAGTCATTGTAATTTCTTCGCACTAGGTCCAGTCTACTCCAAATTTCTCATGTATGTTCGTAAAACCAACATAAGCAACAATAATGTAATATTGCATTTATTCAACTTGTATCCAGGCATCTGTGTTGATAGCAAATGTGTGTGAACAGGCGTCTGTACTGTTACCATGAACTGAATACAGAAAACACACATACATTAAACCCAGGAAACAGGCAGATGACCTTGAAACAGTAAGGAAAAGCGTACAACAGCTGGTTTTTCATTGTTTGTTTGAGGGAAAGACTTTCCCTGGTTGCCATTGAATTTGCATCTATTCTCATGGGCGTGATTTTAAACAGCAGTCAAACTGTGGGAAATTCCTGACAGCTTTGAAACTCGGTAACCACTGTGTTTTCACTGCTCATTTTAAAACCTAAAACATCCTCTATTTACCCCTTGGCGAGGCATAAATTGATCCAAAGAGTGACTTTTTTGGATGAGTTATAAACCTATTTTTGAATTGATTTTGGAGCTACAGGCTATCTCCTGGGATGCACCACATGTGTGTCAACTGTAGTTGGAGACATCACTGTCAGACCCCTAGTTAAAACATGCCTCCAGTGAAAACTGGCTCAAATCACCCTGCCAAACCCACCAAAACAAACTTATCTTAAGAACTCCAGACCGATGTTAACGAAAAGGAACCAATTAAATCACTGCACATTTAAAATGTATCATTTGTGTCTACCCAGCCACTGTTTGGTCAATGGTCTTCTTTTAGGAGAAGTAGCCCAAGTCGAACTTTCCCTCCACTTTAAGTCTTCTTAGAAACTACTTCAAAGTGCACCATTATAATTCCTACTCGCACCAACTTTTGAAACAGTTTCACAGTCGTATATATATAGAGAGAGTAATTATTAACATGAAAACTTCAGTGGAATTAAATGCAACTTTGAACTTGGACGGTGTCTCCATAACATTTGAACTCATTAGTCGGCAAACTCAGGGTACGCAGTGTTTGGCTTGAGGAGAGGATGATAGAGTTCTAATGAGCTGTGAGTATGAAAGGTACATACCTACAATACCTTCTGCTGATTAAATGTCCCCAAATAAACAGAGTGTCCCTGCATGTGAAATAGGTTATTTTGTTTAGCTGTAAAGATTTTCAAACAGCTCCTTTCTGCGTTTCACATTTTGTGTTTAACTAAAATGGTAGTACAGCAGACGCATTTATCTCGTTTGACCTTCGACTTCTTTTTTATCACTTCTTCACTTTGTTAATCACTTGCCATAACAAACACTCTGAGTGAATAGCTGCATATACCAATCTGTGCTGCCCTTGAATTCAACCCACACGGAGAAACATTAATTGATTGTGATGGTTGTGAAGGTCCTGCTGAGTGACAGTCAATAACACATTATGTAGTAAGGACTTCTGTCACCAGTCATAACGGCGGATGCAGACCGGCATTTGCACGCTGACACGGACAAAATCAAACACGCAAATTTATTGAAACATGGCCATTCACATATTCACTCACGCACGCACGTACTCTATATGCCAATCAAAGTGCACTAAGTGAGAGAAAGCCAGCACTTCCACAAAAGCCCATTGTGCTCTGCCCTGCACTGTACCTCGTCTCTTAAGGACAGTTGCTCTAAATATTTCAGTGGTTTAAATCCACATATTAAACTTGCTACAGAAACATAAAACATAAAGGTAATTCGCAAAGTATTTAGAGTCGAGCACAAATTCTAAGAAAACCCGTTGAAGCATCGTGGTACTTGATTGCATTTGAGAACATGCCTGAATAAAACTGAATGTTTAACTCCTAAGCTTTTTTTTTTAAAGACTGTGTCCCCTGTAGCTGTAAGACAGCGGGATCCCTCAGATCCTCCCTTTGTGGTGTCATTTCATATTATTCATGGCCTCCCTACAGCTTCCATATGGGCTTCTGTTTCATCCCTCCCTTGGCCTCCATACATACATAGTCCCATCTTCTTATCTCAGGCTTTCTCTTGCCCTCCTATCTCTTTGTATCCACTTTCTGAATCCCTCTACCCATTTCTCTTCTGCCTCCCGGCAATCACATGGCAGCATCAGAGCTGCGGCTGTTTAATGCTGTTGTGCGGCACTTGAAAAGGACACCAAAGATTTGTTAATACACAAGCTTCACGCGGCTTCAGATTGAAAATGAATTTCAGATGCGGGCAAACAAAAACAAGAGGGATCCTTTCTAGATTCTCTCTCTGCACACGACTTCGGAGCACTAAAAAAAATAGCTGATTTGAGAGTTTGTTTCTGAGTTAATACAGAGCAAAGTTCAGCAGATATGGCTGATAGATTGAAGTAACAGAGGAATAGTGAAAAAAACAAAAGGGTGACTTTCTTGTTGTTGACGACAGCAACCAAGAGGAGGTACAACATGATTAAAAGACAGGGTAGAAAGATGGATCAAAAGAAAGACAAGAAAGAGACAGAAAGCATGAAAAAGACACAGCATGACTGTCTTGGACTTGACAGGCTCTGTGAACAAAGAAGAGGGGATACATGCTTGGCCTGGGGATGATTGTCAGGAGTGAGAGGAGACAGCGCTCGGAAACACCCACACACTCTGGGCAAGGAGACCTATTGCCTGATTGAAACTCCTTATGTAAATAGAGAAAACATCCTTCAGGAACAGAAAACATCTCCGTCGATTTTACAGGATTTGAAGGGAACAGGACAGTTTTGTTTGTTTGGCAGCAAGCCTGGACATGAAAGGTGTCAGGCTGAGACAGAGCAATTGTAATGTAAGCACGTAAGTCTAAACCAGCATGTGCAGCCATTACACTGTCACGAGAATCAATGCGTGGCCTTTGACTCTGACTGTGCATGCTTCAGTTACACTCCCTGAGATGGAGGTAGAACGTGCAGGTTGGACTGTCTATGAGGGAGCCTGATTTAGATATGGTCCATTTCTTCATCATTCATGCATTTCTAGTTGGCTGACAAATTCTCAGAGGTCGGCGCTCCCAGGCCTTTTTTATTCCTCAAGAAATGCCAAAATAAGACCTACTTTGGTCACACCGTCTGACTTTGATAATTGCACACATTAATTAAAACATTTTGTCAAATAGCAACCCATGCAAACCTCCACTGCGACCTTCACTACCAAATAACATATTTAGCCGGAGCATTGAATGCATTTCTAACTAATTAAAGAGGGGCGATGTGGTCAGGTGGAGAGATCTGACAGTCTGTGGGTCTGCTCATCAGTAAAGGGCAAAGACGCTTCATGAGGTAGAGACAGTAATAAAACAGGCGAGACAAGAACTCCTGGACCTTTCTGTTTTAGTATCTCTATAATTCACAGTTCCAGTGGATCAATACAGATGATAAATAACTAACTTTTCTAATCACTCTGCATCAAAGATATTACTACATTCCTGTTATACAGCCTATATGCAAATAAGTAAAAATGCATCCAGGAAATTCCAGTCTCCTTCACCAGCGGTTAAATATTTACATGGTGCATTAGGACACAGGAAAAACATTACTGAGACTGAGTCCAGGTTAGCCTAGGTCAACTCTGTTAAACCCTGATGTAATACAGATTAAAATATTAAAAAAATGCCCATTATGTTTACAGTGCTATGGTGAAGATTCTCATTAAGGAACTGCTACAACGAGGGCAAAAATAGATATTCATAATTACAAGAAAACTGTTTAAGAACAGCACGTTTTGATATTTGGAAAGTTTCTCAGGGTGGAATAAGTTAAATGATTTGTTTAATTTTTAATAATAAATGTGTTAACATTCATTATTACCTCTTTGTCAATTTCCTAAACAGGAACATCTATAAGCAGAGGTTAACAGTGTTCCAAAGGTTAAAGATAAGTTGAAACATGACATTTTAATGTTTGGTAAAACGAACGTCGAATTCAGATGGAAGCTATGAATTAAATTCCAAGTGATAAAAGTAAACGAACTTGTGGAAGAACTGCCTCCATTAAACTAACAAGTCAAATCAATCAATCAATCAATCAATCAAGTTTTATATATATAGCACCAATTCACAACAGTCGTCACATCAAGACACTTTTCAAAGAAAAAGAGCAGGTCTAGACCACGCTCATTGTTACATGAATTATCAAGACCCAACCATAAGATGGGACAGATTTGACCCATCCAGTCCAACATGTGTGACAGTGGCGAGGAAAAACTTCCTTTAAACAGGCAGAAACCTTGGGAAGGACCAGAGCAAGTTCTACTATACTTACTATTCATTCAACACAGAGACGTCGCCGACTTCCCTTGGACCCAGAGAAGGCAATCTACCTTTTTCTGACTGAGGACCATGGCCTCGGACTCTGAAGTGCTGATTCACATCCCAGCTGCTTCACACTTGGCCGCAAACCGCCCCAGCAAGACCAGAGGGTCACTGCCCGACGAAGCTAGAAGAACCACATCATCTGCAAAAAGCAGCGATGCGATCCTCTGCCTGCGGAACTGGACACCCTCCACCCCCCAGCTGCACTTAGAAATTCTGCCCATAAAGGTTATGAACAGAACCGGTGACAAAGGGCAGCCCTGGTGGAGTCCAACTCTCACTGGAAACGAATCCAACTTACAACTGGCTACACAGACCAAGCTCATGCTCCTTTGGAAAAGGGATTGGACACAGAGACATCAAACTGAAAAGTTTTACAGCGATCTGTATCTGGTAATCATTAACTTGTATTTCTATTCCAACACCTCGCTTGTTATTAAAATTAATAAGGGTCTGTCTTGTACACTTAAAGGTTCTAGCTGTAGAAATTGCCATTAGATCAAGTGACCTTGTGTATAATATGCAGAAGTACGGAGCCCCTAAAGGGACATGGATGGACTTTTTTTTTTTGCGAGATCTCGCAAAAGTATTGCGAGATCTCGCAATACTTTTTGCGAGATCTCGCAAAACGTATTGCGGGATCTCGCAATACTTTTTGCGAGATCTCGCAAAAGTTTTTTCTCCATTCAGTGAACCGGAAGTAAAACACGCCTAAAATAGCCTAAAATAAGCCTAAAATAATAATAATAATAAGAAGAAGGAGCAACAGAGCACGGATGATGTGTACCATAGACATAATAAAAGATAGACCCTGCATCGGCCGCTACCACGAATGGGCGCTGTCGAGAAATGCGGCCGCCATCTTGGTCCGGTCATCCGCCTCACTCTGCACCACTGTCTTCCTCTTTGGCCTACAAATGACTCTACAGTCAAGTGTAATGTTGAAAAAACGTGTAATCATAGCTGTGAAAAGTTATTCCTTGAGCCCTGTTCTCTGCTGTCCGCCTGTTGGCACAGGAATACGCCGCACAGTGCTCCGGCATCGCTGAATGAATGAATGAATGAATATGATTGACCGGAGCGTATGGGAAGCTTGACCTGACCAAGATGGCGGCCGCATTTCTCGCTGCGCAGCACCCCCAGCGGGGTCTACCCTTTTATTATGTCTATGATGTGTACGCTCCTCCATCATGTGTGTCTGTTTTACTTCCGGTTCACCGAAGTAGGACAGAACTTTGCGAGATCTCGCAAAAAAGTATTGCGAGATCTCGCAATACTTATTGCGAGCGCTCGCAATACTTTTGCGAGATCTCGCAATACTTATTGCGAGCTCTCGCAATACTTTTGCGAGATCTCGCAAAAAAAAAAAGTCCATCCATGTCCCTTTAGGGGCTCCGTACAGAAGTGACTGCAGCACGTGTTCAAGACTGGCAGAAGATGCTGTGTAGATTCAAGGCTAGTCTGAAATATGCACATTTTCATCTTGTAATTACTCTGTTTCAAAATGCAGCCAAAGGGCCCTTTGTCGGTGTAGATTACAGAGCAGGAAAAAAAAGCAACTTAATGCAACAAGCTGGTTGGGAATGGTTTTAGTCTTTTTTTTGTTATGATGTTGACGCTGACACCACTCAGCCGACAAATTAAGTTGACACACTGTGAAAGCACATCCGTTTGATCTGAACTCAGGCGTCCAACTCTGAAACAGCGCCCAACACTTCCTTTCAGCAGGTAAAGCAACAGAGCACCACTGGCCCCATTTCTCATGTTGCCATACAGTCTAGCCAGATTCTCCTCACAGCTCCTTTTGACAGAGATGAATTATTTCACCGTGGCTTTACTCTGGATGTAGTGTGAATGTTTGACCTGGTTGAATCAGATTATTCTCTTATTATCCACTCTCTTCAAGTCAGACATGCTCTCCTTCCAGACATTTAAGCTTTAATACTGTTGGATCCTATAGCTAGAACAGAGAAAGAAAAAAAAGAAAAAAAACACCAGTTGTCCCACTTTATAGCTTCTTGTAAGGTTGCCGTCCTCTTGCTCCATCTGCTAAAAAGCAGCCAAAACCGTATACTGGCTTTCCATCTTGAGTCTGGCTGACCTTTCAAGCACAGTTTTTTGACATCCAGTGAAGGAAAGATGAACAAGTCTAAAAGGTGATCGATTAGTTCTCGTCACATGACCTGCGTTGCGCTTGCTTTTTACAGAAGAGTCTGTCTTTGTGCACTCCAAACACATTGAATATGTACCAGGCTTTTCCTTGCCTGTAGGCCTCTTGAGCGAATCTAAAATATCTATCCCTCTTGGGCTAACTTGTCTTGCCATCTCTGCTCATTGTCTTCTCTGCTTCTCCTTCTCCCATCTCACTCAGGAGGAGCCTCCACACCAGGGCTAATGATCACATCATGAAGTCACTGCTCTGCACTCCAATTTCGGTCAAGAGCTGACTTCTTTAAAATAAAGATCCTTATCCTCCTGCTCCCGAGGCCACTTCAGCCCCTGCTGCCTTCATTACTCGAGTCTCTCTGTCCCATCTGACTCTCATTTCATTGTTTGCATTTTGCT